GAAAAAAAAAAGTGCAGCAGAGGCAATGCAGCCATGGTTACAAAGAAGCGGAGAGCTCACACAGGCTCTGGGGCCCCAGACGCTGCAGCCAGAACGCAGGCTCACTTAAGGGCGAAATCCCCCCCTCTTCCCAGACTCCTGAGCACCAAGCTGGGGACAGATCAGCACTCAAAACCTGGGAGTTGGCTTCCCCTCAAGGGAAGTGTCAGATGCCACCGACACCGATGTTGGAGTGTCCCTTCGGAAACCTCCCATGCCCACGAACCCGAGCTGGAGCTGGTCTGTGCAGCTCGTGCACAGGGCAGCTGTCGTGCTTGGCTCCGACTGCAGCTGGGGCTCAGTGGAAATTCACTCTGTGAGCAGCCCCTCCCATCAGAGGACTCACACCTCCCATTGTCACGAAGTTTCTTCACATCTGTCTGGCGGGGATAACGTCAGTCCGGCCCTGATTTAAAGAGCGGGTTCTTAATTGCATTAGTGAAACGTGATCTTTCAATTAACCTTCACTCAAAGTGCACAGATGCTCTCGAATCCTCAGTCCTGGCAGTGAAGCTGCAAGGAGACGAGGGAAGGACAGCCCCGCCTCATTCATTCACGTTCAAAAATATATAAGACTCCAGTGAAAACTATAACAGACACCTTCTGCAAGCAGAGTAGCCTTTTAGCAGTGTTTTCTCCTTGGATAGATTTTGACGAAATAGGCATTCAGCCAATCAGAACTGATCGTTTTTCTTCACACTATAGGACAATGGTTCCCATTGCCGGTGCTGGGGTGCTATCTGCATGGAGTTTGTATGTCCTCCCTGTGTTCATGTGTGTTTCCTTCAGCTGCTCCTGTTTCCTCCCACAGTCCAAAGACATACTGGTAGATTAACTGACTATACTGGAGAACTGGTCCTGGTGTGAGTGGGTGTGTTTTTCTGTGTGTGTGCCCTGTAATGGACTGGCCCGTCCAGGGTGTACCCTGCCTTGCAGCTGGTGGTTGCTGGGATAGTCTCTGGCTCCCCACGACCCTGAACTGGATGAACCTGTTAGAAAATGGAAGGGTGGGTGTTTACACTGTGTAGAAAGTGAAAGGGAGATGTCTTCAAATTAAAGTTCTGCTCTACAGCCAGCCTCCTTAGAAGACAATATTTCCAGGAAGTTATTTTCGAGGAACAAATCAGCTTTTTATTAATGCCAATTACCAGAACAACTCTCGGGGTTGCAAAGTTCAGACAGTCCAGCAGTAGCTCGCAGAAGCAGCAGACAAAGCATTCAGTGCACTAGCTTACTGGGCAGCAAAAGAGTGTGAACCCCCTGCTTCTAGGTGACTGAAATTACATTTATTCATCTCTTAACAGGTCAATATTATTAATATACTAATTATATTAAGTATTGGTCAACATTGTCCCTGATTTTGGAGACCTTAGCCATAGAATCTGGAGGACTGGGATATCCATCCATTCATTTTCACTTTATCCACTGCAGGGTTGTAGGAAAGCAGGATAATCTTCAGGCGGCAATGGGCACAAGGCAGGGTACACACTGGATAAGATGCAAGTCCTTTGCAGGGCATTCTCACACACTGACATGCACATGGGCCAGTTTTCCCAGATGCCAATTAACCTACCAGTGGGACTGTGGGAGAATTGTGGAGCACTTGGAGAAAACTCCACATAGGGAGACCATACAAACTCCACACAGACAGCACCCAGTGCCACAGCACTGCGAGGAAGCTAACCACTGCACCACTGCTGCACGAGAGATGGATTTCATTACTGTGAAATAATGTGAAAGGTTTCAGGTTTACTAAGCCATGCGTGTGACATATTTCACTGTCATTTCTGATTATTAAGCCACGATAGAGAGAAGAGGTTTTCACTATACGTTAACTGCAAAAAACACACACAGGGTCAGAAGAATGGCCACAAATCTGTAAAATGGCCAGGCTCTGATATGTTCACCTGATCAAATACAAAACAAAAACGGTCCAAGTGCTCAACAGCAGAGAGCAAAATGGTTCCAATAGAGTGAGGGAGCAAGTTTTGCTGGAGCTGCTGCGGACCTCAATTGTCTCAAAGTAAAAACTCCAAGTCTGGTCTGTCTAGACAAAAAATAAATAAATAAAGTAGAACTGCAGCAAAAAATAAAACCAAAGCTCTTGGAGGCCACCTAGTGGACCTGATACCAATGCAAGAATAAAAGAAATCATTTTGTAAAAAAAGGACAAAACAATCATATTTAAAGTAATTCCTCTTACTGGTGGCAGCTGAACATGCCATAGTGATAAAAGCAAGTGTGTTCTGATACCGTGATCAAGTTGTCTACTTCCAGAGGAGAAATGGAATAAAATCACAAATAACTAGTTTGAATTTAAAGGGTGTGAGGGATGTCACACTGTGAAGCAGCGAGCAGTTTTAAGTTAAAAGACTTGAAAATGAAAATGTGTTCACTAATTTAAAATAGCAAGGAAAGCAATTTATAAAAAGAAAGACAAGATATACAGTGTACATGTACAGCAGAAATAAAGAGATAGACAGATGACAGTTTTACTATACCTATGTCACAGATACCCACTGTATCTCTTCTGAATTCTGAGTTTACAGCCATATTGACATACTGCAATACCACAGTAAAACACAAGGGCATCCAGCGTTGGGGATAAAAAGGCTGTTAGCAGGAGGTTCCTAACTGCCCTAGCTCTGCTGCTGACTCTGCTGAAACTCAGTGTTTCCCTCTTCCGGATAAGGTATAATACCAAGACTGTTGTGAACCAATAACATTTAGTTTAGTTTTTCAACACTCTCGGATTTGGATTTGCCATTAGTTTATTAGTATTAACTCCAGTACAGCATATATTGGATTAGAAACACCTCTGTCATACACCTGTCAGTCATCTCTTTTGACACTCAACCATGGTGCCTTATACAAGAGTTAGTCAACTGAGCAATGGCTTATCTTTCTCCACCAACTGGGCATCTTGCAGGTCAGCTGCAGGCCTCTATTACACAGCTTTACCACATCAGAAATGTGAACAAGACCATGGGAGGGCTAGTTGGCTCTAGTATTCTGATATTTAAGGTTTATATTTATTCTTGTCATAAATCCCATGGAGTCCACTTCAGCCCTACAGTACTGGGAGTTGGATGCAGACTCCCCCAATCTTCTCTGTGAAGAAGTGTCTTCAGCTTTCAATCTTAAATGGTCTTGAACCTGATTTCCATTTGCTTCCCTAGGGACTTTGTGCTGTTTTGGATCTTGAAGGAGTGTCCATCATCAATACTTTTCAGGAAACTGAATACCTGAATCAAGCTAAGGTGATTAGTAGTGTATTCATATTAGACTCATAGCTAATATAGTAGGACATTGTATTATCCTCCAGTACTTCCTGTATGTGCTGTGGCACCGAGTCTACCAGTGTCTGGATGTCTGCAGGACAGGAGAGGCACCATTCCTTCACCAGAAGGACAATCAACTCACTCCTTGCTGATGGAGGTGGAAAAGCTTCCTCAGGCTTCCTTCCAGAATATTCAATTCAATTCAATTTTATATTGCGCCTTTCACAACAAGTTTGCCCCAAGGCGCTTAATCCAGTCAGTACTCTGCTGGGTTCAGGTCAGGACACATGGATAGCGTCGGCATCATGCTCCTCAAACCACTGGAACACCACACGTGCACTTTGGTGGGGTCATCCTTGGAGACAGCCCTCCCTCCAGGGAAGGAATGTTGCCACATGCCATGGAAATGATCATTCAGGACTGTTAAGAATCAATCAGCATTGATCTTCCCTTCTAGGCGAATAAGTGATCCCCACAACCCAAACCACCAGAATCCTTCATTGTAAGAACCAGGCACTCAGGTGACAGATGACACCACATAAAGACTTTATCGAGAACGTGGTGAAGAATATTCTTTTGACCCTTTCACATATCTCCATTGCCTGCTAGTCTAAAAGCTGTGATGAGCAGTTTGTGCACTGCAGTCTGACTAGGGTATCCCACACTGTAGGGGTTTGGGCTATACTGCGATCCTCCCCAACCCTGAACTGAATAAAGCAGGCTAGAACTCTTCAGGTTCAGAACTTGTAAGAACTGATAACCCTAGCTCACCACTATGACTTGCATACCTGTGTGGCAGGTGTGATGATCACAAGCTTTCCTCTCAAAGCAGACACTTCTCAGAAATATGCCCGAAATCCTGACTGAAAGTCCCACAGCACTCATGAGAGGTCACACTGATTAAAGCTGTTTTTTAAAGCATGCACAACCTTCGTGGAGGTCAGACATCTGTCTGCCCAGCTCTTGCTGAATCTCAGTCAGCTAATTACATAACCAACAGACACACCGTGCCAGTAAGATTACAGTTATAGCACTGAGACTTTCATCCAAAAAAAGGGGACTACTCCACCCCAGTGTGTGAGGAAAAAAGTTTTTTACTTTTAACCACAAATATTTAACATCTGTCTTCACTCTCTGTCCAGTTAGCAGAATCAATAATACAATCAAAAAGCAATCGACAGCTGCACTCAAAGCATATACAGTACTGCCTGGAACAGGTGTATGGCCAGGTAGCAGACCTGACTGTTCAGGCTGTAGGTTTCAGCAGGCACCTATACCGTGCTCCACAATTACACTGTGCTGGAAGTAAACTCACTGCATTGCATTGCATGAAGGGTGAAAAGCTGTAACATCTTGAACTGGAAATATCAACTCAGCTAATTGTTTTAGTTCCATCAGAAGTATATGCCTTAAGATTTTAATGACAAGTCACTGTGCACTTTTCATTTTTTCTAAGACCAAAGGGCTTTTAACTAATTGGGTTTTGTAGCACTGTAACAGTTAATGTATAATGTGAGAAAGAGCAGACATCAGGATATGTGGAAAAATGCAATTCACTAAAACATCTCAACAGTTAAAAATAGATTGGGGTATAAAAATGTAGTATTAGTTGCTGGTAAAATAATAAAAGAAGTGTTTAAAATGTAATAAGCAAAAAAAAACATCACAACTGCTTTTTTGACTTTGATGGTTGTTTAATTAACAAAACAACATTCCTGGTCCCTGACATATTTATTGATTTATTTACACATCCATTATTTTTAATCTCATTAGACTTGCTTTAACAGTTATATTAATCTCCTTTATTCTGATATCCCTTTAGTCACAAATATTCAGTTTTTTTTCCATAAGAAGTAACAGTCTTACCATTAATTACATGGTTTTCTTGTAGTTGTGTTCAGCAGTAAAACAAGGCACCTCACCTAAGACTGAACTCCATATTCTTTTTCACACCTGCAGCGCAGGGGCACCACTTCACAAAGACAGTAAGAAGCTGCTCTCAAAATGTAGCATTTTAATTTAGCGACCTGAATGTTGTAACCTTTGATTTGAGGCAGAAAAAAAAACTAAATTACAGAAATGAAAGGAAAATGGACAAAAATCAATCATCAATTCAAGTGTAGTTTTGTACCCAAAATGTTTGGTTGTAGGTCTGCTGCTCTGGAAGACAAAAATCACCACCGTCAAAAATCACCAAGCGATTGGCATTCAGTTCTAAATACATATTTGGAGAGAAGAGAATGCTGGGACAAGAAACATTTGGAACTGTGTGTGGTTTGGGAATTCAGAACAGGATCGCAGTGGAGTTCTGATTTCCGTGCACGGATGCCTTTGCTTATAGGTCAATGCAACAGATTGCCGGCAGTCAAGAGAGCTCGTACGAGGGCAGGAGGCTTTCGACAGAACGTTCTGAGCGCTAAAAGGACCAACCCGACACCTGAACACCGCAGAACTGCCAGCAGGAAGGAATTCCCAGAAAGTTTCCTCCTAAGTGTGGCAACTGACAAAGGATCAATGGGTGGCTTAGCCATGGAAAGGACAAAGTATTTGTGACAGAAGATACTGGTTACTGAGCACTTGGGACTTAGCAGGCTGAAGCTGTGCAGGCTGGACTCCGAGTTCCATGTTAATCAAAAGCTGCCTGCCTTTTAGGTCTTATAAATGGCGAGTGACTAAGGCAACTCAAGGCCTTCAATATCAGCAACCTGGAGCCTTGCACAGCAATGCAGTGAAGAAATCTGCAGAATGCAAAACAGAATGTAATTAGCTCTCGGGCAAAACTACTATAACAGTTGTATAGCCCCACTCTGTACTAGTTTACTTTTTGATACATCACAGCTCCACTATCTCCTTGTAGTCTTCAATATATATGTAACAATACCTCATTAGCACTGGTCCAATGAGATCCACTGAAGTTTAGGAAGATCCAATTCATTTCTACAAATACTCTGCACCTTTCAGGACATAGTGGCAGCATACACTTTTAAGTTACTCTCCGAGATCTGAAAATTAAATTTATTGGTTGTTTAAAAATTAAACATGGATTATTTTTTTCTGTACCCCGTACTGTAAAAAATTCCTGTTTATAAAGGACTAAGGAACAGAAGCACTGGTGCCTTTTCCAGATCCTTGTCGAAAAACAGAATTATGTTGGCTAATTGTAGCTAATGAAGCTGACACAAGAGCTGCACAACAACCTCTAAAGAGCTGCATAACTACAACCTGTTCTGCAATGTGTAATACTCCTGACCTTTTGGACTCTGTCCAAGAACAACCACAAACCAATGGGATCAAGTATAGTGTCTACAACACTTATTCAGCCATTGCTTTATTTCTCCCCTTCTAACCTTTTGCACTGAATTGTATTCGGTATGTGGCCACTGAAACTTGTAAAACATTGTTTTTCCACTTTGTTTAATGCTCTTCCAAACTGTTAGAACAGGAAGAAACACTAATACAGATTGCAGGTGCTAATCAAAGTCTGTGTCAGCACTTTGGCAAGAGATTCACCAATTCAGTAGTGCAATCAAAACTAGTTTTTGCAACAGAATACACACAATAACTGTCCTTTTTTCACCTCATAAAGGTTACTTGGCCAGAAGTGTGCAAATTTTGACTCTTCATGCCTGTTCATTGCAGATGGGAGAAGAAGGCTTTCAAGAAGGATTCAAGAGGAGTTCAAGTGCAAAAGAATTCGCAACAAGGAACAATGCAAACTGACACATGTACAGTACAAAACAATCTGAAGGCAGACAGGATTTTAAAAACGTATGGAAATTTGTTTGGGATTCAGAAGTACTAAGCTTTGGATTCAGACTGATTAATTCATTAGACATACTGGAAATAAAATCTGCTTGTGCTACAGTATGGCCTGTTAGTTGAAACCATGTTTCTATATGACTTTGCTGAAATTTGAGTTACTCTTCAATCTGATTGTATACAATGAATGCATAATAAGCACACACCATAAAGTTATCCATGTAAGGGCACAACAGAGATGCAGACAAGCATCCAAACAGAAGCTACAGAAAACATTTGGCTGTTACCTATCTACTTTAAATTGTTCATTTTCACAAAGTCAAAATGTGAAGGTCCATGCTACTTCAAACTTCCACTTTTGAGAAACAGGACAGCAATTAATAACATACAAAAACTGAAACTGTACGAAGAAACATATTAGTGAGATTAATTTCTGGGAGAACTATTTTCTGGTGGAAGATGGCTGGTGTGGGGAAATCACAAGTCTAAAATGGTCAGATGGAAATCGTGGTGTTATACTTGAACAAGATTACTAGAATCTTCAGACCGAACGAATGTTGGAGAAACATGAGTTTTCTTTCTATGATGCTACATCCAGAGTTACTATATAGCCAGAGAGATTCCTACGTAAAAAATGTCCAATCTATCGTTCAGTTTAGGAGGTTAGGTTAGAAGATGAACTCAGAAATCAGAAATTCAGTCACTTAGCACCATGAAACCATTACAACTTAAAACAGTAAAACAGTAAACTTTCTGACTATTACAAACAGAAGAAGTGGTTTAAAGAGAAAAAAAACTATTGTTCACGGACAACCTATGAGACATGATTTATAAAGAGCTGGTTTCTGCACACCTGTATTTGAAATGTTTCTGCTAAACACAAAGAGGTCACCTTTTAGACATTTTCACTTTCAGAAAAAAGATTCTGTAGAAATGAAGCTTGGCCTGAGTTATGGTTGTAAACAACATTTGGCAATGGAGTTTAATAACTACCTGCCACATTATCAGTACTGAGGTGTAAATCTCACTCATCTGCTCCATTCAGTTATGTTTTTCCACAGAGCTACAGGTCCCCAAACCAGGAATGGTCCCCATTACAGTACGGAAGTTTGACCTCTAGCTCAATTTATCCCTAAAATACTATGAGTGGCACAGCTTTGCACAACCAATTTGACTTGAACCTGTTTCACACAGTTTTAAATTAATTTATAGCAGTTTTCTATATTGTATTAGAAAAACTGAACAATAAATCATTTTTTGCCTTATGCTAAATGACTAAGATTTCCCATTAAAAACTGACAGAATTTCATAAAAGAGAGATTACCACCATTATTTTAAACTTGTGATTAGAGTATGTTATTTTTCCATATACAAATGAACAGATGGAACATCACAAGAATAAATTTTGCTTGAGAAGAGATATGTGTAGCTTACATCTTCACATCCCAAAAAATATTTGATTTCTAATATGCTATACTAGAACTCTGACATTACTGGTGCTTCTGTGGTAACGGTTGAAAAGAGAAGTGGAAACAACAATTGCGATTTCATTCCAGTATTTGTGTCCTAACCATAGCTCCCTTATGGCAGCTTCAGCTGATGTACCTTCTGTTTTGAATTCATAGCACGCACTCTTCCTGTCCCAAAATACCAGAAACATCACAAACCACACATGCCCAAAGTCAAAACAAGGTGTTTCTTATAAACTGCTATAACCCAGACCTCCGCCCTTGAGTAGATTTGTGGAAACCCTAACTTAACTCAGAGCTGACCTGCCTTGTTTTTAAAGAACATTTTGGATTTCCTGTTCTATACAATGTGTGAATATGCAACCGCAATGGCTTAGCTCTGGACACAGACATGAGGAACACTTGATATGCCTTCATATCCTCATCTGTTCCTGGCATCCACAATACAGTCAAGGAATCTGTGGATCAAATATTTTAACTAGGAGATGACAATCGCACCAAAAAGATTGACCCAGGCAATCATTGACCCAGAAACATCACAACCCTATGGATAAGCTGGGATAATATTGAAAAACACAAGGTATGCTGCTTCACATGGCAGTCGTTTTCATTCAATTATGTCATTTCTAATATACATGACCTTTTCTTACCTATGATTAAAGAGATAAAGTAATTACTCCGAGACTGGAATACAAATGCTGGTTTGCTTGTGGGATGTATTGCTGAACCCCATCGGATGCAAATTCTGATAAATACATTAAATTAAATATATTTAAATTTAAGATATTAAATATATTTAATAGTCATTCGTTACGACAGAGTGGACAATGAAAAGAATTTGTGGGGGGATTGCTATACCAATTGTTAGAATGCTTATACTGTAGCACCTATTATGAAGATGATTCTAAGAGCTGCCTCTATTTCCAGAAAACCTCAAATTTCCACCATGAATAAAATTTGATTGAACATCTGATATCTTGCCTAATACAAATGTTTGTGTAAATGTCTGCATTAGCATTTGATTGGTGTGAAGTTACTGAACACTGTAATTTACCGTCAGAAGATGATTATAAATGTAATTTCCTATAATAAATAAATACAAATATAAATGGATCATAACAAATTTGGGAAGTGTTGCATGAATTTGCTATTGGGCCTCTGTATAAGTCTGTATACCAGGTTCTGGTGAAGTCCAAAAACCTCAAAATCAGTTCCACAGGGGTAAAGAGGATCCAGAATCAAGAGTGTGCAAACAATCATCCTTAAAAATCAATCTAGAAAAAACGAATGGAAAACAAATTATAGCGGAGACCATGACGACGGTTTCCCAGTTAATCGGGAAGAGAAGATGAATCCCAGGCTCCAGACTTGACTCGGTGGAGACCCAAGAAGCCTGGAGCTGGAGAGACTCTGGAAGCTCAGTGACCCGGTCTGGCTAGCCCTGGTCTAGAAGCTGGAACTGGTACGATCAACAGAGAGATCAGGTGTTTCGATGAGGAGACACATTTTCAAGGACCACTGAAAGCCAAGTGCCACGCCTGGACCTGACACTAGGTGGCGCGCCGCTCCTTCTTGGTCAGCAGGTAGCACTGGATGGTCCTCAGGCGGTCCTTGGCGGGGGCGAACTCTGGCTGCAGCTTCAGCGTCGACTCGTACCAGTGCATGGCCTTCTCGAACTCCTCCTGGAAACACAAGAGCAGCATGGTCAGCGGCGGCTCTGCCACACGCGTCCTCCTTCAGCGCAGCCCCGCCGGGGGACACCCAGCCCAGCTCCTTTCAAAAACACCTTCCCGGCGCAGGACATGCCCAGAGCCTGAAGGAGTGATCCCAGAATGCACCTGGCAATGGCCCTGGTGTCATTACTGGGCTTCAAACCAGCACACAATAGCACTGTGCTGCTCACAGCACATACAACACCGTGAGCCGAAGGGTGTGCAAGGAGCACTCGAGCCTCCCAGAAAAACAAAACCACTGCGGGAATCAAAAACCTTTTAATACCTGACCACCGACTTCTACATAATCTCAAATACAGAGTGCACAGCTAAAACTCATATAAAAATGTGTGTAAGTGAAATAAACTTTTGAATCCGTTTCGGCAATGACACCATGCTTATCGGCACTCCCCCCAAAACAACATCCAACACCAGTGGGGAAAAAAAAGTAACATACTGGCAGGCAGACTGGGCTCAGGAAGACTGGCCCTGGGGCACGAGTGTGTGGGCGCTTGTGTCCCTGCAGGGTTTATCCGGTCAGCCCGACTTCTGGGAGCTGCGTCTCTCACACAGCCCGGTTTTCCCAGGGCTGCCCGCTTCAAACTCACCATGGCGATGTAGACATTGGCAAGGGTGAAGTGGTTCACCACAAAGTGGGGCGCTATCTCCACTGCCATGCTGGCCACAGTGATGGCATCATCCCACAGCTTGGCGTTGTGGAATATGTTGGCCAGGCTGATCAACGGGACATCCTGAGGAACACAGAATGATACCATGGATACTGATATTCCCCCGAGACCCCTAACTCATTTTTCCTTATCGACAAGCAAGGAAACTGATTCTCTTCTAAAGGATACTGACCCCCTTTCCCTAACAATATAAGTGAAGTCAAAAAGCTGAACACGAAGCACTGCACTAAGGAGCTAGCAGCTTTGAAGAAAATTAGAAAAGTGTTAATACCTGGGAGGTTAAAGGCCTTATGCGTATCCCTCCAAAAAGCTCTGACGCACCACTACACGCACCTCAGCTCTGTTCTGCCAGCGCACATCTGCCCAGGTTTGATAGTACAGACTTGAGTCACTTTTGAAAGTGTAAAAAGGGCTCAGAATGTCTTCTGGATCAAGCAAGTGCCCGGGCCTAGGATTCCTCTGAGGACGTGTGCTGTCTGGATGTGGGGGCAGGTGACAGATGATGTGAAAGCAGGGGACTGCACAATGGTAAATGAGTCAAAGCTCCATATGCAGTGTGGGGCAGAAAGGTTTACGAAGAAACCTGTGTTAAGACTAGACCCACCTTCATGTAGTGTGGGGCGTAGTTCAGGGCATGCCGCAGGCAGTCAACGGCTTTCTTCCCCTGGCCTTTCACTCTCCAGTAGAGCGCCGCCATACTGGACAGCACCCACGACGTCTGGTTCTGTTGGGGGAGAAGACAGGGCACAGCTGTGGCAAACACTTGCATTTAGGAACCTTCTCGGTCTCTTACTCCACGGCCAACCCAAGAGGGGAACCGGCTGAACGCATGACTACATGGGCCAAACAAATACTGCGTACTGGGCTACACGTTCAGTAACACACCCTATTCCTCTGCCCCAGCCCTTCCACCAGCATCCATATACCACTTCATGACACCATATCCTCACAACATCGTTGGAATAAAAGCTCATAGAGAAAAGACATTCTCCCTTGCTGTTCTCTTTGGAGTAAAACAATCTTTGATAATAATACACGGGAAAAAAAAACATTTCCTCCAGGGAAGTACCTCAGGAGGTTTTTTCAGACCAATGGGTGACATGAATGGCAATCTGACAGTCTTGGCATGACGACGTCAGGAAGCACTGCCTCACAGCCTTGCATACGCACCTTTTCCAAGACCTTGGCAATGCGTGTTCCCACCTGCTCAAATGCCTGGGGAGAATACTTGTCTTTTCCCAGATTCTGCAGAACCTGAGGGGAAGGGATATACAGAACATTGCTGCAGCACGGGCCCACCACTCGCACATCCAGTGGCCCAGGAAGGAAGCACTTTTACTGCAATTACCATAAACTGGGCCCATTTCTATCACCCTTCCCTGTAGTTGCTATTCTGACACTGCATGAGCACAGCTGCCTTTACTCCCGAACAGAGAAAATCGACATTCTGTAAGTCAACCATGGAGTCCGTTTCAGGTTTAGTAAATCAAACAGGCTTACACTACACAGCCGCATCCCTGAGAAACTGATGGAGGAGATCCTTGCTCTGCAACACAACCTACAACATGGTAACTACGCTCTTGCAAAAAATGCCATGGGTGTTTTAAGATACAGATTCCCTGTTTGAGATGATGATTCAATAGTCTACAATACTGCACCTTCATTTTGAGTATGAATTTTGCTTCCAAATTTCTGATACAGAGGCAAGAGTGCCACCTTTGTCAGTGATCTATCACCATCACTTCCTGCACCAACCAGCTGTGCTTATGTTCATTCTACACAAGTACTGCACTCCTGCACAACACGAGATCATGTAATTTATTTCACAGACCTCACTTTATTGCAGTTTATTTGATAGCTGGGCAACAGTATCATCTTCTGCAACTTTAATATACTTCAACTTTAAGGAACATGCCTGCCTTGAGAATCACATCATGAAGAGCTTCACTATCAAGAGCATCACTATCATTATTGCTGACTTAGTGTTTGCTGTCTTGAGGGAAAACTCAGGTCTCTATATCAGAAAGAGATGACCCACTGTAGCTATTTTTACTTAACATTTTCATAATCTGTCACGCGCAGATTATGTTGTGGAGTAGAGAGAGTTTAAGAGAATTTTTCCACGCTATCAGAAGAATGGAATCTATTCTATGCTGCTGTTTCTATGCTCCCATGAAACACACTAAATGATGCATTTTGACCTTCAGCTGATAATCTTTTACTCGTGAAATCCCTTCTGAAACTCCAAGCAGATCTCTCATATTCACAAGCACATCAAATTGGCACAGGGATTGTGTGTGAAAGGCTCTAACAGGCTCAACAGATGCATCAGAGTTTAAGGTGTCGGTGAACTACAGGTTTGATTTTATTGCAACCCTCACCACCAGCAAGGCCTGAAAAAGCAATCCCAAATCAGAAAGGACACAGAGAGAACCACTTACGTCTCCGCAGGAATTACTGCTGGTTACGAGGTTCTCCAAGATGCACAGATTTGTGTATTTGTTAAGCATGCGGTAAGAACAAGTAAGCAAGTATCTGGGCAAGTAAATAAGCGTCCTGAACGGAAGGGCAGCTGCTCCAGTACCTCTCGGAGCTGGCTCTCTCCGGTGTAGTGGATACTCCCCCGGTTGGCCACTCCGGACAGGTGGTCCAAGGTGTGCATGGAGGCCGGCAGGTTGGGGTTACACACGGGCTCCACCGCAGGCTCCTGCAGCGGGGTGGCGAAGTCGATGTGCTCGGTGATGCTGGGGGAACAGGCACAGAGCGGTGAGCCTTTGTCTGGCAGACTACAGCAGCGCGGGGGACAGCTTGCACCGGGAACAGGACCGCAGGGGAAAAAAAGAAACAACACAAAGCTAGCATGGGAGAAAGGAAAGCAGGTGAGCCAGCAGGTTAGAGGAACGAGTGGATGTTTCAGGTGCTTGACTACTGTTTCTCCTCATACTGCAGAAAGCTGATCATCAACCTTTCCAGCAGTAGACGTTTTCCACGTGCCGCTCATTTTTGGAAGACCCCTCTCCCCGCTGCAATTCCTGTCGTGTGATTCCAGAGATGGGAGTACATCAGTATAATTCAGGCAGTGCAACGACAGAGCCACAGCAGGAACCGAGAGCTAGACGAGGGAATATTCCTGTTACAATCCCAGCTAGAGGAACTGGAGCAAGCGGTCAATGTGGACTGCTGTACAGTCTCGTCCCAGAGCTGCAGTGTGGAGAGCACACCGTGGAGACTCACTCGATGTTCTTTGCCGAGACGGCCAGCCAGGTGCTGGCCACGGTGGTGAGCTCCACCCGGCGGATCCGCTGGCACTCGTCCGGACTGGGCCAGCCCAGGCTCAGGTAGTCCCTGCGCTTCCCTGCCAAGACAGAGCGGAAGGTCACATTCAATGGATGAATCAAGAAAAACAATAGCAGTGTCCAGTCAGCACACATGGGCTAGTCCCTTCACAACACCACTTGTCCTTCTCATCTAAAAGCAGTGCCCTCCCAGTTACCGTTACACAGAATGGAGAACCTGACAAGGCAGACAAGAACGGACAAAAACTGTACTCCTGTGTAAAAAAGTACTCGCAGTGCAGAAAGTATCTATTCCAGACTCCTCCAACCATGGGTGTAAAAAACGTTTCCTATTCTTAGGCTTAAAGGTACTTCTACACAGTTTCCATTTGTGTTATCCAGTTTGTGTTTCACTGATGACTCCACAGTGTTGTCTTTGTAAATGCCTTTGAAAACTCTGCATACCTGAATCAGGTTCCCTCATAATGTTTTCTGTTCCTGACTAAAAAGATTCAGTTTTTCATACTGTCAAAGCAGAACATTCCTTTGAGCCCAAGAACACATCTAGTTGCTCTTCTCTGGCCTGATTCCCAAACCCACTTTTTGTGTCATCGTGAACAAAACTTAAAACTTTAGCCAGGTCTTGCCACTGTGGAATCTTAATTTCTTCAAAGCCCTATATGTTATGTATAATACATTTTAGTGATGCATGTTCAAAAAAGTCACTGTCTGTGTGGCTTTAAGTGGCATTTAAACATTTTAATCGGAATAAATAGAATCTAAAAAATGTTTAACTATGTAGATTTGTCTGTGGTCTGACCATGAGGATCAGTTATTTTGACACTTGTAGAAATTGCTGACTCAACGCTGTGCTGAGCAGGGTTAAAGGGAGGGGCAGAGAAGGCAACCTGCGGGGCCCGGCGAGGGGATCCGGGGGCCGCTGATCTCCGGCTGGGCCTGGGCGCCCGCCCCCCCCGGGGGGCTGCCCTCCTCTGTGGCCTCGGACGGGTCTGCCCTGGGCTTTCTCAGCCTCTTCACCTGGAAAGTGATCTGAAAGGGGAGACAGAAGAACTGTGACCAATGAGAGGAGGCCCTACCTACCGGCGGTGTAGCCTGTTCCATGCTCCCGCATCTGTTTGAGTAAGGAAGTGCTTGCAGTGGAAGTGAGGACAGTGGCTCTCTTGCTATGAAGACAGCAGAGAAAAGGGAGCAGGCAGTGAAAGCTTCTCCAGGGATGACAATTAGTTCCTGGCACAGAATCTGTCAAATCCAGGGCAGCTCACCTGCCCATTGCATTCCCCTGATTTTCAAACCCAGTGACGGATGATTGCTCTGCGCTTGGACGTTGCGACTGTCGGCAGCAGGGCTGGATTTGGAGCAGCCAATCAAACCTGGCTCGTTTACCCAGGGGAGGAGGATCGGAAGGGGGGTAGCCTGGGAAAGGCCACGCGAGCGCAGGAAGAGCACGCCACCTACATACTGGCCAACGCCAAAGGACTGGACTGGTATTTCTGGAACACTGAATTTCTGCACTCATTCTCTTGTAGATTTGCTTGTATATTTGGTATCATCGTCAGAGATGTCAGCACCCATGGAGCCCTGGTGGGTCACTCAGGTGCTGTTTGGCACAGCTGAACCAGCATCAACCTTCCTGTTAGCGAGCACTGGTTTCCGCCTAGCTACTCTCCCATGACTCCCGCTTGTACCCAGTGCTCTTCTGATGCTGGAGCCATGAACACAGACTTGACCCAAGGCCAGGGAGGCCTGCCTGGATGTTGCTCTGGGCTTCTCTGCGACTTCCTCAGCGATTTTACTCCGTGCTCGTGCAGTGATTTGGGCAGGACGGCCACTTTTGGGAAGATTCACTATTGTCCCAAATCATCCTCAAGACTTCTTTCATGACTAGATTGCTTAATGAAGTAGACACAAAGCTGCTTCTAGATATCCCTTTAATTGAACTGATTGAAGGAGGGGGCGTTATCTTTTTCACAGGGACATCGGATGTTGGATGACTCCGTTTATAAAATAAACTAAACTTTGGTGTAATTTGTTCAACTCGGGCTTCCTTTATATATCACTGCCACCCACACAAAGCTCTAATAAAATAGAGCTGAAAATTCACAACAACTCTGAAAATCCGAAAGGAGGCTCATACTTTCTCACGGAACTGCACAAAAACCAGTGCCCGTCACGAAGCTTGCCTCGGCAATCCTCCTATCCTACATCTCTGCTTTCCTTTCAGATGATTTAAAGAGGGAGCCGAACCCACAACACACTGCTGCGCCCTCTCCACCGGCCCTGCCCCTTACTCACCCACTCGGCCTCATCGTCGTCCTCGCAGTTTCCGAAGCAGGGCCCGGCGCGCCCACTCCTCGCCCCGCTCTTCAGCACGCGGATGCCCTGGAGGTCCACGCGCCGCCCTTTCACGTCCAGGGCCCCCTCGAAAGCCCCCATCAGATCCTCCTTCAGCTGCCACTCCTCTTCCTCCTCCTCCTCCTCCTCCAGCCGCCCGACGCGCTGCGCCGCCTCGCCAGAGCCGTTACTGTCCACGACCACAGCTTAGAGGAGGGAGAGAGACACAGGGAGCCCACACAGGTCAGACCACTGACCAGCCTGGCCTCCTGCTCTCTAAATAAGACTTACAGGAATGGGAGAGACAAAGGGAGCCCACACAGGTCAGACCACTGACCAGCCTGGCCTCCTGGACTTGGCACCCTTACTAGAGCGAGAGAGACCACTGACCAGCCTGGCCTTTCGCAGCTGGCTGGCAGGATGAACAGGCAGCATGTAGCACGCGGGAATGATGCACAGACCACCAGATAACTGCAACAGCCCGATTTGCTCTTTCTCTTACTATTTCTGGCCCACAGCTCTGCATGAGGCATGATGCACCACGTCAGTCTCCAACATGCAGGTGTTTATCGGCTCTGTTTCGTGTTGGCAATTTTTAAAAAGAGCATTATCTCAGCCTCTCAGCCTTTCAAGTTGCAGGAGAATTTAAACCGCAGACCTGTGGCTGCAAGGAGCAGCTGGCATTCCTTTTCAGCATCTGGGTGCCCTACTTAAAATACAAATTTGACGTCCATGTCAACATTTTAACTTAATGTGGATAAGTTAACAGACGTCCAAGTCGGGACCAAACACCTGTTCAATCAGGAACATGAGTATCACTCCTCAAGCCAGGTACCGGCTTACTTTTTCGACGTGAAAGACGATAGAATCATGTCATGAAATGCCAGCTCATCTATTGCCAGTAAACCCTTTTATTCTGTAGTTAAAAGCTTTATTTCAGGCAATTTACTGTTAGCCATTTGGTTTATCATACCTAATAAAGAAAAACTAGAGAATCTGCTGGAAGAGAAAAGTGTATCACTGATACCGTGAGACTTACTCTCAAACTGCAGGGAGTCGCCCACAGTGTTGGGAAGCAGTTCAACAGATCCTGCAGCCTCCTTTCTCTGTGTAGTCGTCTCAGACTCAGCACCTGCTGGCTGTGACCCAGAGCTGCTCATCTCCTCAGTGCTGTGACATGAGCCTGCTGTCAGAACATAGGCAGCAGTCAGACAATCACCCTCCACCTTCAATATATCAGCAAATGTAGATCTGTAGCTAGAATCTCTCTCTCATTAAAACATTTGTATTGTATAAGCATCCCTGAGGGCTTGTTCTGATTTATGATGGGTTGCACCAATTCAGTGACACAGGAATAAGGATGAATTCTCTGTCAAATGCAGATCCCCTTAAAGAAAAAGAATAGGCTCTGTGTCAGATGATCTATGACATTTTGAAAATCACTGTGGACTTCTTGTTTTATGAACAAAATCATGGAAAAACAAGAGAAGCAGCTAAGCTAATAAGCAGCGAATTTCAATTAGAGTGGCCCAGTTCATTTTACAATCATGGGAGTGGTATGACAATCTAACACAGGCCAGCCCGACACTACAATCTGACTGCCAAGAGCGAGAGACGTCATACAAGAGAGCAGACCAGCTCTCAGCCAATCCACTACTCCTCTGTTCCTGCTGTCAGCCAATCGCTGACGCAACGCCACTCCAGTGCTTCGTTTAAATTCAGCTCACACATCACTATCCCCAGCGTCTGCTTTCACGCCATTTCAGAGAAGAATCTGCTCTGTCTGTGCGTGCGTAACTCCCCCCCAGCCCCCACACACCAAAAGTGAACCACGCCGGGTGATGGCAGAAGCCAAAATTAGCAGTGACATCAAAACCCCCTTCACCTCAGAAACGCTGGCATGTTTGCGCACTCTTTCGTTTTCCATTCCTCCACAGGAGTCCCTATTCACCCCACCCCACACTTTTTCAGCCTGAGCCCAGCCGATGACCAGCTGTGTGGCAGTAGCCCAGTGATGTTCAAAGTAAGTCTCAAGACACACGCTGAAAGGATGGAAGAAAAGAAAAGACTGAACCACAGCCACAGAAATGCAAAAGGATGAAAGGGAATGGGAAATCAGAGTAGCCTGAGATATTTTATGTCCTTTCTATACGCAGTATTCTAAATATAGTCTGCTGGTTGAACAGCAGACAGGAAGAAATTAATAAACTCAGATACCAGTCCTAACAGCACCATTCTTTTTTTTAATTTAGAGATGGCTTAAAAAATGAAAAATATATTTCTTCTGTATGTCACCTGAGCTACTGCACCGCCCCCTACAGTACTGCGACACTGCCACCTACACCAGCACATGGACAGGTGAGGAAGGGTACAGACAGACAGAGGTCCTGAAGCACATCTGCATTTAAAACCAGGTGAGAGTTCAAGGGAGCAGAGCATTAAACTGTATTAGCTGATTAGCATTCTGAAATGTTAATCAATACAACATAAAAACGGAAAAACATGCAAACTGAATATCTGTAAAAAAATGTAATAAATGTTTTCTGAAGGATAATCCTGTCAATAAAAAAATGATGCTGCTGCTAGTATAAGTGCACATAATGCTCACCACCATTCCACTGAAAAACAATTAGCTGAAGTCCGAATTCGGTCTATTCTCATTTGCCAGATCAGAGTAGGGAGGATAAGCTACTTGAAACAAAGCAGGTTATGGATTATTTTAACTACATAGGAACAACTGTCATGGTTTCTAGAGAAGATCCACTTTTTATAGTCTCCGATAGGCTTTTAGTTCAGTGAAACTAGACCTTCAAAAACAAAATCATCCATTGTTCTGTGCTGGGCATGCCCAAAATAATAAACCCTGCTCCACTGCCACCGTGCTTAAAAACCTTTAGATATCTTAACTTGTAAATTCGTGTAAGCTTTTGGCTAGAAAATGAGTGCAAGAGTTATATCAGAATTTGTTGACTGGACTGTGCATCATGTAGACTGCTGATAGATTTCAATCCATGACCTGCCAGAAAGCATTTAAATACTTAACCTTTAAGAAAAAGAAAATTGTTTTTTACTATATACCAATTTAAATATTTGTGTTTAATATTTTTCTGCAGCAAATGCTAATGCCCAGGTTACTACAGTAGTGGCCTCTGTTAATCATCTGTGACAGAAACGTGTATATTGTTCCTCTTTTGGAACATAATGCGCAGAAATTCGGAATGGAATCTGAGTACAAAATGATGTTGAGATAAGAGTCATGATATTTCGTATCAATTTATATTTAGGTGGCCACAAGATGTAATACAGTGGTGTTTCAAAGTACCCTTCAAAGCAACATCTACTCTATCCTTTTTCCATTCGGCAGTAGTGCTTCGTCTGTACTGTCCCCTGCCTGACGTAAAGGCACTGTCGAACAGTCTCCCCTAAAGAGTCCTGCATCGGGAACGCCGCTGTGGAACAACGGACACTTCATCCTCGGCATTCTATCGGACTCCCATGCCCAGCTGGGGAACCTCGCAGAGCCAAGTCAATATGCAGTCCTTTGTTTTAAACTGAGCGCAAGTATGACTTAAACCACACGTGATGCAAACATACAGCTAAAAACACCTTTCTCCCTTTACTAAGCAACTGCTGAACTGCACATTTAGTTTCAGATACAACACTGCAGCATACAATGACTCAACAGGGCCCAGAACAGCTCTACACATTTTGAGCTTTTAAGTCATCGGCTAGGTGTGCCAGTGTGGCTGAACGTGAGCTCATGCCACACTGTAAAGACCAAGAGCTTCCCCAGGGCTACTGATCAGGCCTCACCCCTCCGGCTCAGGTGAGCAGGGAGAGAAGACAGAATTCACGGCAGGCTCCTCTGCAGCCCTTCGACGTCTGCGCAAAACCTGGAAGAGCTGGTGAAATAAGACCACGGCTATTTTTATCTGCTTCAATTATTAACCGGCTGACTCCCTCAGCACATCAAAGCACAATCTCCTTCCCCTCGCAGCTTGCGCGGAGTGGGAGAGGGAAGGGCGCAGCGGCTCTCGGAAGGGAAACAGGAAGGGGGATGAGACGAAACAAGCGATGCACAGCGCTGCCGAAGACCGATTGAACCAGGGCTGTGTTGGCATTGACTGAAGCTATATGTGGAACACAGTCCCTGAGCAACGGGCTAAAATTAGCTGCTTTTCAACAGCAGTGGATAAAAGCACCCAGGGAATACAGAGCAGCAGCTAAAAATAGAGCAGGAGGGAGACTGCAAGTGAAGGAGGAGGGGGGATGGACAGACCAGCAGGATTTCAGGTAATTTTGCTGGATTGAAATCCCACATCCTAATATAAACAGCTGACCATTAGAATAGATGTTTGTTTTTTTTTTTAATTCTGGTGCTCCTCTGAAAAGTGTTTCACTTGCAGCCCTGCAGAAGTGGCAGGGAAGACGAGCGAAGGCATTCTGTCGAACAGCAGCCCTGCGTGAGGCGGGCGGCGGGCAGGCAGGGAGCCTCCTGCACAGTGAAGCCTGCTCCTGCACGAGCGCGCGCTGAACCCAGGAGGCGGAAGAAGCCATGCCCACAGACTGCCAATACCGCAAGCACAACCGCCTTCCATTGTGTTGCTGATAGTAGCTCACGTGTTGCTCTCGGAGCTTTCCGCGGTATCCTCTGCAGTGCGGAAGAGATGTTTCAAGACAACTCCCATCAACTTCAAACTTTTCATTTGGAAAACTGGGTTCCCGCTTAGCGATGTTTGCAATCAGCAAAAAAACTAAGAAAACCTTATATTCAGGGCAGCATTAAAAACATAACATAAGATTCCTAGGACCAAGTGTTTTATATGCCCTTCAGTAAATTAAAATATTTTATTTAAAGACACGTCAAACCTGCTCAAATTAAACTCCAACACTGTGCCTTTACAAAAATAGATAATATTTCAAGGTTATAACATATCTTTATAACCTTGAGTAATACATTGTAAACCCTGACGTAAGATATCAAGGTTGTGTAAGTGCTGTATTGTAAATACTCCCGAATCTCTGATTAAATTATATAAAGTTCTGTCTCAGAAGGGACAAACTTGTCCAATGACACTAATACAGTGCTGCTTATGGTTATTAGTGAGAACATAAGGATGACCACAAACACTGCCAAAAAATGGACTTAACAATTAAAAGAAAGGGTCCTTCCTCTTCCATCTAGGTTTGATCAGCCTAGCGGTGGCCTAAATGATGCGTCTTCCATACACTTTACTTGTTTTGTGGTTGTTTTGCTGGATTAGTGATGCTCCTTCTCATCAATCACGTTCTGGCGCTCAATCTGTTGGTAGTCAGTACAGAGTCCCTGCAGCATAAAAGCTGAATTTCTTGGTACCGATATCAAAGTGCTGTGCGATCTAACAAAGGATTCACACCAAAAGCATAAATGTCAGCTTGAGAAACAAATATTTTAGTGATCATGCATTGATTTGTTTTAACATTTGCCAAATCATCAATGTTTTGAACAACTGCCTGATTCTGTAAAACACTCTACACCCAGAACACTTGACATCATCTACAACACTATCAACTGGATCTTTCCCATGGAAAGTTTTTTTTTCCCATGACTCATTTCAAAGAATTAATTATATATCGTTATATGAGAACTAAAGTCACTTTCAATCTGCAACCACAATGTCAGCCATTATTTCATGAGGACTCATCAAAAGCAACAAAAATTAATGCTGCTACTACTTATCTGATGATTAAATCAAAGCAAGACTAATTATGTTTTAAAGCAACACCACAAAACCAAAACTTAATGTTAAGTTCAGAGTCTTTATATACTTAGGGTAGAGCATTAAAGCTGATTTTATCAGCACCTTCTTCTAAAGCCTATAAATAGCTGTATAAGCCACAAATATATTGAACAATGGTATCTCAATATAAATAAAACAAACCTTAGATACTGTGGCTTTGCATTTGATTACACTTAGATATGTTGAGATTCCCTTTCTTTTGAACTTCATTTGTGTGTCAAAATTTCAATTGGCTTCCTTCAGGCACAAAAGTTGCAAAGGCAGGCATACAAAACATATAATAAACAAATTTCATAAGAGATGAAAAAACATACGAGTAAGGAGAAAATGTCTTTCTATTATCATAAGAAAAATTTGCTCAACATCTCACAGATGGAACATTTATCATCCGTTTTCTCACCGCTTTATCCAGTTTAGGGTTCCAGGAGAGACAGAGCCCAATTCGGCAAACAAAGGGCACAAGGCGGGGTACACCATGGATGGGACACCAGTCCCTCACTGCGCAGGCGAACACAAATACAGTCGCGCACTCACTCAAACCAGGGCCAAGCTTTCCAGAAGCCACCTGACCCAGCAGTGTGTGTTCGGACTGTGCGAGGAAACCAGGGCACCCGGAACACGGGCAGAACATACAAACTCTGGCAGATCCCAGGAACAGAACGCTGCGCGCAGCAGTGTTCGCCACTGGGCCACCCCCGAGTCAAACACTGGCTCAAGTGTCATTGCTGACACTCATTAAGTGTCATTTCAAATTCCCATTATTCAGGTGCAGAAAAATCCCTAAAAAAGGAGGTATTACAACAAGTAGCGGCTCACTTGAGCAGGGAACTAATCCTGTGCCTGTCCATCCCAGCGCTCACCTCGCGGGGCCCAGCGGTTTCCCCCAGGCGTCTATGGCAGAGGCAGGTACTCACGCTCACAGGGCGGGCGGGTCAGGTTGTACAGGAAGGGGTAGAACTGCAGGCAGCGGATGAGCCGCAGGCTCCTCTCGCAGTGTGGGCAGGGAGCGGGGAGAGACAGGGCCTGTCGGAACGCCGACACCGCCCGGCTCACGTTGCCCTGCGCCAGGTACGCGTTCCCCAGGCTGAGGAGGGTGACCGGCTGCAAGAGAGAGGCCCGCGCGCACGTCAGTCACCAATACCCTTTCAAGATGAGCCAGCAGAGCCATGTATCGGACTACAGTCTTCAGGGGGAGATGGCTGCAATTATTATTATTATAATTACTGCTGTCAATTAGCCTCTTTCTGCCCCTTATTGCTCCACAATGAGTGAACAAGTGCAAAAAACTGGATTGCTGATCTGGTAAAGGTTTTTGCATGGAACACAGGTTGAGCTCTATGATCCACAGGCAGAGGGACTGAGCCTGTACCAAGACCAGGATTCCCCAAGGGGCAGAGCGCCCCCTGGCGAGGTGGGATTAGTTAGCTGGGGCTCTTTGGGCTTCCCTGCAAAGAGCGATTCCTGCGCATGGTCAGGCGCCCAGGGGCTGGCAGTGATGTCGACACAAGCCGCTCTGCCTCTCCCATCAGGCACTGCTCTCTGCAGCGTGGCGTGTCAGACGGTCAAGGCCAAATCCACTGCCTTCCAGGCAGCACGGCAGCCGCTGCCGGAAAGCAAGAACTGGTGATTCTAAATCAGGTGGGGATGTGATTACAAAAAAAAACATCCTGAGATTTGTTTTTAAAATCAAGAAACTGCTCAGAAACATGTTCAAGCAAGCAGACAATCTGTGGTCCTTGAGAGCTGAAGGGTACTGAGGTTTCTGGACCAAATCATCTCAAAATGACTTAAATCCCAGGTTACACATGTAACCTATAAACCCCGCGGGACTGGATTTCCTATGGATTAGGCTTTGGAGCCCACTTGGTTACATGGAGAGAGGAGAAACCCGTATTTACAACTAGAGATTGTTGACCCCTTTACTGCTTCTTCACGCTGGTGAGACATGCATCTGGGATTTCTAGCAGCTGGGAACAGCCTTCTTGCGCCAGCTCCAGTTTACCTCCGAGCCGTTGATGGCCACGGCGCGCTCCAGGACGTGCCCCGCCTCCTCAGGCAGCCCGCAGCGCAGCAGGAGGTTGGCAGCATTGACCAGTGGGATGTCGAGGTGCTCCTGGGGGACTGAACTGAGGGCGTGGTGCAGGCAGGAGAGCGCAGAGCTGACATTACCCCTCGCGCGCCAGAAGAGCGCTGCCTCGTTCATGACCAGCCACCGGGGGGCAGCAGACTGTGAGAGGGCAAGGTAGGTCAGAGAAAGAAATCTATAGGACTCCAGATTATAGTTAGGGTTTCTAGTGTTTCAGCATGCCCTCTCTTTAAACTACAATAATTGTTTTATGTGATCGGTACTTAATACATGGAAAGAAGGGTTGTTATGGGATAAAAAACTGGGAACTCCTCTTGTAATGTATAATCAGCAGACCAGGGAATTGCATCTAGCAATTGAGAGCTCTGTTAGTTTCATTACTGGTGGTGGCAACAGCTTAAAAAGAACAACATAACATGACTTCAATGTCTGGGCAGCATACAATATGGCAGATTTTCACAAGAGAACACAAGTCCTGCACATGAAGTGGAGAGCAGGTAAATTTTCAGTCCTGTGTTTCTCAGTAAGCAACACGCAATATTTAACTGGAACAATTTATTACGATCACTGCTAGGTTTGTGACAAAGGATGGGCTGCTGCCAAGATGCAAGATGAACAAAAGAAGCTTTAGCTTGAAGCCCAAAAGCAGCCCATCCTTTGGGAAAAGGGAAAGGAAACTTGATTATAAAATACAAAATGTATAAGGTTTTGTGGGATTGGATTAGCCATATCTGACATCCATGCATACAAGACATTTGCATTGATCCCCATTGTAAACTTTACACACATCTACAAGTGCACAGGGACACAAGTGCAAAGGAGAAAAGTCACTCCACCTATTTCTGCTTGTTCTCCAACATTACAGACTTATCTCGACTCAGTAACAAGAAGTGCTGAAAATAATTAGCAGAGAAAAAGCCTTTGGAAATCCATAGCAAGGTGAAAAACGCTTTCATTTTGGAAGGAACGCTCGAATTCATCTATGTAATATGCTAAAAAAATGACTGATTAACTGAAAAAGTAGATTAAAACTAGAAAGGTCTTGAGACCTAGGCAGCGAGGAAGGATGGGGAGCAGAAGGAAAAGGCTGAAAGAGGTCCCACCTTGGTCAAGGCCTGAGATATGAGAGCTCCAATCTGCTCCTCAGTGTGGCTGAGGCTGCCGCTGCGCGCAAACAGCATCTGTGCGGGACAAACATCTGCACGTGAGCACGGCTCTCCACCACAGCGGTGTAGGTGAGGCCACAGAGATGACATCTCCATCCGGGTAATACCATGGGTAATATGAAAATACTGGAGTGAAAAGGTATCATGGGAGGTTGTGACATCTACTGAAATATATTTTTCTCATTAAGGTTTAAGGCAACATTCTGTACTAACAGCAACAGGTCTGAAGGGACAGAACCTTTTTAGTCTTGAACAGAAAAGACTTCGAAGGAACCTTATACAAATACGTAACATCCTCAAAGGCCTTGACGCAGTCATCCCCTGTACTTATTGTTTCTTGACAAGGCCAGCTTTTCACTAAGAACTTGCAATCATTTTCTTGGATTCCTCACATCCAAATTCTTCGACTTCAACAGGAAACTGAACTGAAATTTGCATTATCCTTTTCTATCATCCATTTAAAATGCGAAACTACAGGATTTATCCCCCTCCTACTTTCACAAGGACAGCCGGTCAAGGAAATTGCAAAGGAACACTGAAACCCCCGACTAAGACCATCCTGAGCAGCCGCAGGTGGTCGAGACGTGCTAGATAAGGTTCCAGGTCCCCATCTCTTTGTTTCACACAAGTACGATCCCCGTCAGTACCTTTAGGAAACAGACCTGTTTGGCATGGCTGTCTGGGAACTCCCTCTCCTCCAGGGACCTCCCCAGAGAAGCTGCACTGCCCCCCAGGACAGGGACAGCCCCTGGGCCACAGTCAGGGGCTGACGGAGATGTCTCGGGTGGATCGTTCCGGTACAGCACATCCTGGACCCTGTAACAGTTCAGAAACCACAGTATTCGGTTGGGTAACTGCTTATACACTGTAAAACCTGCCCTTGCTATACGGAAAATTCAGATATATCCAGGTGATGGAGCTGTCCCACCTTCCCCACTCTTGTGATGTAACAAATCACATCTCTGAAAATGTCTGAACCATTTCTCCAAATCGCTTTTGCTGCACAGAGGTCTCCTGACCGGGCAACCGTGTCATGTGTCCACTGGAAAAACGACAACACAAAGTGCGCAAGATGATTATCACAAAGCGTGAAGCGAAACAAGACTAGTCAAGTACCTGCAGCGCAGGACAACCAGCTCCTGGAGGAGCAATAAAACTAGGAGGATTCACTCCTAGCAGCAGCTCTCAGTACAATCTCCCATTAACCTCATCACATCGACATACAAATGTCAGCTTTTTTTGGTTGTTTTTGTGATGGGACAAACTACTGTAGCTTCCTCACCGTTTTCATGAGTTCCTGGCCTATGTCTTTCTCTAGTTCTGCCCTTTCAATAATATATCCTTTTTACACTGGACTCCGGACACCTAAGACAGAAAAGGAAGGTAGTTGGACATTATCTGTGGTTTATTGTTTCTGGCTTCTTCGTTCATACAGCAGAGGTTAAGCAGTGGACCCCAACCCCAAGACTCGGCGAGGAGAGGTTGCTGGGCTACAACATTCCTTCTTGTTTTCCGGCTGACACCCATGTTGTGAAGCGATGAGCAAAGAACAGCATGAAAGAATTTCAGGTGATCACGTAAAAAACAGAGTTTTAACGCTGAAGGCTATCTGCGCATTTCATGCTATTCATTTCTTAGTTAACAAAACCTTTTTGGAATCATGAGCTATTAGTGAGACTTTGGAATATCGGCACATCACAAACACCAACACCAGTTCGCCATTTGAATGCAGAATTTGATCAAGTCCCTACAACCGACATCTTAAAGTTTCTCTGTTGTGAGCCGTGTATGAATTCACTAAATGCCAAAGTGAAATGCATTTTTTGGGCAACACGCGAAGACAGTCTCAAACGGACTTATTTTTGCGGAAAGCTAGAGGAACAGACTTGAATACACTCCTTCTCCTTCCAACTCCTTCTTTGCAGGACATGAAGATCGAGAGCCGTGAAGCGTCCAAGAACAGAAAAGCCCGATTTACTTAAACAGTTGAAGCCCGACAAGCAACCCTGAGCGCGTGACAGACTCGAGGCGGCCGGGGCCTCTGCCAGGCTCTGTGGCGAGACGGCCGCCTCTCTCCTCACCCTAAGCCGCGGCTCTCCGGCGGCAGGAAGAAGGTAGGCAGCTCCTCGGGCGGCGGGACGGAGGGGTAGGCGCGGGCACAGTCCTCCCTCCTGGGCCACAGCACCTCCGGGCTCTCCTGCAGAGAGGAACCGGGCAGTCAAGCCACCATGGGGCCCTCAGACGGGCTGGACAGTTAACGCTCGCAACGAGTCCTCTTCTTTAACACAGCCTTCTGTCCACCTTGACAGACTTACAGGAATCAAACTGCGCGCTTTGTGTAATAAGCTCATTGATATCTGCAGCTGACTGTTAATTCCCCCACACTCACATCACATCTCGAGATGCAACACGAGCTTCTTCACAGCTCTTCAGCTATACCTGCCACGAGCTGTAAACGGACACACAAGGAGGTCTTCTACCTTTCACAATCGCACGAGAATCAAGGTGAGCAACACTTGTATGAATGACGCAGGTTTCTACGATCATTACCAATGCAATCAGCATTGAGACCTGCCATCGGAGGTGAACCCTTGAGAAAACAAGATTTCATAAATAAATATATATCCTTAGAAAAAAGATGAGTACACTTGGAGTTTAGCTCAGTGTTACACAGCAGCTCTCCATGTTAAAATCAGCAAGGCTGAGAAAGAGATAATCAAACTGTAACAAGACATCAATCACACCAACTTGTTGGTCTGGCCTTCCTTATGCATCTCATAGAGTCTGGACTCATGCAGAAGGCTTATATCTGTTTCACTTGTGTGGACCCACAGTAGTAGGAATAATACAGAACAGGATAATCATTTTAACGTGCCTGGGTTAAATTATAGTATATCATCTGCTCACTAAATGTGGAATTCCGGATCTCAAGAGAGCAAAGCCCATCCCCAGCACTGGAAGAGGGGCGTCTGCTCACCGTGAAGGTGGAGGGCTCTTTGCCCCAGAAGGTGCCCAGGCTGGCGCCCCCAGAGACGGACAGGAAGGGCTCACGGACGTGGCTCGTGTTGAGGCCGAGCTCCGAGTTCAGGGGGGTGCTGCTGGCCACAGACACGTCCTCTCCAAACTGCAGCAAGGAGGTCGAGAGCAAAAAGGGACAGTTCATCCTTTCCACATAAAACTGGCTATGAACATCAAAGCTCATAGAGGTTTTCTTTTAACAAAACCAGCTGGAAATTTAAGCAAATGTAAATTGACTCTGTTAATGTACCCAAAATAAAGAAATGACCACAGTTGAACTCCATTCAAGTTGTGGAGCGATCTTGCGAGGAAATCAGATGCACCTGGGTGAAGACATGTCAAATCAGATCGATTGAGCGTTTAGCTGCGAAGGCGAGGAGCTGCCCCACACCTGTATGAAGTGCACGGTCTCGAAGAGGTCCCCGCGGTGATAGCGCACTGGCAGGTCGAAAGGGCAGTGCAGACTGCTCTGCTGCTTCCCCAGGCGGCACATCTGGTGATTCCCTGCAACACAGCCCGGCATGCAGCGTCAGCGCAACGCCCAGCACCCAGCACAATACACCAGCCTCCGCACAGGCTGCAACGGTTTCAAATGCAGCGCTCTGTATATAAAAATGTGCGCCGTGACCAATGATACTGTCCTCATGAAGTTACTGGGGCTATTAAAGCAACTGTCATGCAGGCTGCGCACCACAGTGTTTCAGAGCCCCTGCTCCGCCCCGGTCGCCCCGAGCCTCACCTAGCTGGGCCTCCTTGGCCATCTGGGTCTCGTGGATGATGTTGCGCAGGATCTGCTCCTCCTGGATGAGCTTGTGCTTCTCCAGCACCTCCTGTTGCCGCAGGTAGTGGTCGTGCTGCTTCTGGTACTCCTTCAGCTCGTTCAGGGTCCGCTGTAGCGACCTGCACAGGCACACGGGCACCGAGAGAGGCCCCAGACTTCAGAAGGGTGCTTGCCGGTGTGGCCATTTCCAGAGTGACCCACTTTAACAGGTTGGAATTCACAATCTGCATCAAGTAAACACACGCACTCCACAGACAGAGCCCGATTTGAACCCGGGGCCCCGGAGCTGCGCAGGAACAGGGTTACCTCCCACCCGATCACTGGTACACCGCATTCAGAGCCCCGGCCCTCCCCCGACCACATTCCTCCCTACCTGTGCTGGGCCTCCAGCCTCTGCTCCAGCTTCTGCTGGCACAGCACAGCGTGTTTGCGCCGCAGGGCCTGCTCGAACCCGGGCTTGGCCTGCAGGGCGTGGTCGTAGCACAGCACCGAGTGGTTGTACTCGCCCAGCATCTGCGCAAAACACAGGGGGAGACAGACATTTCAGCTCAGATGCGTGGTGCAAATGTAGGACCTGGCGGAGAAAGAATGGCAGAAACAAGCATGACAAGGTCAGATCACAAGATGTGATCAGATCAGATTACCACCTACGGTTAACCTTCTGCAAAAATACCTTAGAAAGCTTTACAAGGAAAGCAGCAGATAAAAACTAAATGGAGGAGTTACAGATAACTGGAGTTATCATGCTGCAGTGGCTCTTCCCTTCCACACCACCTCCCAGACACACCGCACATGACATGCGCCAGGTCTACAGAGGACTGCTCACCGCATAGATGTTGCCCAAAGTGTAGTGGCTGGTGAGGAAGTCGGAGGTCATATCCAGGGCAGCGTGGACCAGAATGGCAGCGTCCGCAGAGAAGTGTGCCCGATGCAGTACGTTGGCCATATTGACCAAGGCAATGTCCTTGTGTTGCCTGCAAATAGACAGAGAACATTAAGAGCAATGCAAGCCTCATCTGCACATATCTCAGGTGTTACGCAGAATTCCACCAGCAGAGGGTGTTTCCCCGTTAATGACATTAATAAACAGAAACTCGTGAAGAAAACCTGAACTGAAAATATGCATCACTGATGGTCCACAAAGAATCCGGTTCCACGTTACTTTTTTTTTTTACCAATCAACCTTCTCTCCATTCCTCATTGCTCAGCACGGATGCTGGCAGGACTCTGCTCGCTGTGCTTTGTTGTCAGATTTTATCTGTGCAATAATAGCAAGCTTTTTAAGTGGTTTGGGTTAGTACGATGCACACATGCTGCTGCCTGGCTGACTAGGGACCACCTGTGACCTCCCCAACGCAGAGGGTGACAGGCAAACATGGCGTGTGACAAACATGGCGATGGGACCAGGCTCTTGGGAAGAGAGTGGAGGCAGTGGTTATGGCTGTGTGCTGTAGGTCCAGGATTAAAATAACATGCAGCTGCGCCCTTGATCAATGTACATCCCTACGATTATTTCAACCAGCCCATCAAGAGTTCCAGCTGAAGATGAACCTGAATTGAGCTCTCCAAGCACCACAGAGCCTTGGGAACTGACAGCCACTTTGATTCATCAATGACTTAATACAAAAGGGTTCTCCACCTGGGCAGGACAGTGGCATGGCAGGTAACAGTACTGCCTCACAGCTCTTGGGTAGGTCTGTCTTTTAATTCCACTCTTGGGAACGTTTTGTGTGGAGTTTGCATGTTGCCCTCATTCTCAAATGTTGTCACTCGCTGGGTATGGTTGACGGCTGTTTCCAAGTTGCACCTGTGATCTTGTGCACATGCTCCTTGCTATGGGCCGGTGTCCTGCCCTGCATCCTGCTCTTCCAGGGAAAAGTGGTGTTCTGTTCAAGGAACTCTGGCTCACCTGGGAGAGAAATGCAGCGCCCGCACAGCACACTCCACCACCTGCTGTGGCTCGTTCTTCATCCTCCAGTAAAAAGCCGCGAGGTTGTAGAGAACCCAGGAGGAGGAGTTCTGTCGGCATGAGGCAGTGCATGACAGACATTCAGAGCTTGGCAAAACAAATACACTGGCATTTGGGAAGAAAACTGCTCATTACATTTTTACAGTACATTTTGATGGGAGTACTTCTCCAGGTTTGATCACTCTAATTCACCCAGAAGACCGCAAGTTACTTTTGTCGCACATTTAAATCAGATCTTCTAACACACACTTCTCTTCATCATTCATCACAACCAGCTATCCTGGTGGAAAGAAAAGAAAATTCCTCTAACCCATTACTACAGCAGTAAAAATGTTAAAATATAATGGAACATTAAAATCCATTTTAACACCTGATTAAGAACTAGCCCAAGAGAAACATTTACAGAACAATAATATTTTAGTTAATATGAATATTTAAAAAAAATATAAAAAAGTGAAATCCAGTGAAAATAACAGAAACAATCAAAATGTCTACAAAACAGCAGTTAAGAATTTATAATACCTTTATGATCCCTAACATCTCAGCAGTTTTCTCTCAGCAAATCTCAATAAACAGTCCTATCAGCGCACAACTTGTGCCTTCAACTCATCAGACCACAGAGGCAGGGTACCTGCTGTAAGCGCTGCAGTCAGACACCACTAGGTGGCACTCTTGGGGAAATACACTATATGCTAAAGGTGTAGGAGATGCCATTCTTCATAGGAGACATTAAACAGATCAATTTTCTGATCGCTTTTTACAATTCAGGGATGTAGGGTAGACGAAGCCTATCCCAGCAAACCACGTGCACAAAGCAGGATGCACTCTGAGCTGGACACCAGTCCATCGCAGGGCACACACACTCACACCAGGACCTATTTTTCCACCAGCTAATTAACCCACCAGTGTGTCTTCGGACTGTGGGAGGAAACCCATGCAAACATGGTGAAAACATACAATTTCCACACACAAGGCACCTCAGGAACTGCACCTAGTGCCCCAGTGCTGAGAGGCAGCAATGCTAACCACTCCACAAGGCCAAAACCCCAAAACTCTCCTGTTTTCTCAATTCCACACCTGTGTATTGAGGTTGGCACTAATCACCCAGATGGGATTTGCACTACAGTGTCCGAGGAAGTGGGCCTTTTCCTATGCAAGGTACGTGTTGGGATGAAAAGTGCTTTAGCAATGCAAAAAAAACATTAACCTAAATAATGAGAAAGAGTTCATTTTGCTAAAACATTCCGACTCATCAAATCTACTGCAGATCCCATGGAAAGTCTCCTAAATTAAAACATAACCCTCTGCTCTTGTAAATCTATATTTTAAGTCGTGCATCCTTGTTGTTAAATACTGCATAGCTAACTTTACCTGGGTAGACAGGTACCCATAATTGTGAACACAATTACAGTACACTGTGCAGCACCTTAATGAAACTGTAATTCAAAGAACACATTAAGCAGCACAGAATTTTAATGCCTAGAGCTGGCTTGATTTTCACACCACATCCACCATGACCACACGTGCCCAGACTGCACAGGCACAGCGGAGATTATTCCAGACAACACACGTAAGAGACGGTGAGCAAAACGAGAATGTGGCCACATGCAGGATGTCAGAGGGTGTAGATATTTTGAGATAAACCTATGAAAAGAGGCAGCACAGTGGCACAGCAGTTGGCAGTGATGCCTCGCAGGGTCCCAGGTTGCCGTCTGCATACAGTTTGTGTGTCATTTTTTAAACTTCAAATGGCAAACCTGTTGATTATACTTTGTGCATTAAGTGTTTTTATGCCTTTCCTCCAGGAGCTCTGGTTTCCTCTCACAGTCCAAACACGTACTGGTAGAATAACTGGCTTCTGGGCAAACTTGCCCTGGTGTGAATCGGTCTGTGTTTGGGTCTGTCTGTCCTGTGATGGACAGGCGTCCCTTCCAGGGTGTATCCTGCCTTGCACCCATTGCTTGCAGGGATAGGCTCCGGCTCCTCTGCAATCCTGTACTGGATAAAGTGGTTAGCGCGGTGGATGAACGAGGAAAAGATGACACACTATGTCTGCAGCATAGTCGATGTAGGCAGCAACAGATGATGCCAGCCAGACAGAACCAGAAATTGTCCTCACTAGTGAAGCATGATTTTGTATTGTTTTAAGGAGAAAATGCAGGTCAGAAAGTAATGTTAATAAAAGGCTGAACAATAAGGCTTTTAGTGTATTATGTAGCACCTGGCAACATTTGCCAAGTGTCTTGTGCTTCTGCCACTGCTCTAAGCACTGGACAGGACCACAGAAACAGACTGCAAAGCTTTTGATGTCGACCCAGCACATAGGACAAACCTCCAGAAACTGCATGCTAAGCCTAACACAAGTATGCTCACGTTACACTTTTCATATTTCAAAAGTGCATCGAGCTGTCCAGATCAGGTCAAATCAATTGCGCTATTGTCCACCTTGAAGCCACCTAGATAAAACAGCGCAGGCTGACTTGGCACAGGGGCACAAAGGCTGTGTTTGTGGCGCTCAAAAAGCCTGAAAAAAGACCTTTGTTGAAGGGAAGGGATATGAAAAACCTAAAGGACCCGACTGAGATGGTGCGGATCCAGCATGAGCAGCTGTCACTCTCCCAGTGAGTGTGGCCCGGGCGCCGTCAGTCAGCAGGGCAGTCTCACCCGCAGCAGAGCCTCGTGGATCCGGTGGCCCACTTCCTCCATGCTCCTCCCCAGCTTCCGGGACAGAGAGCTGAAGATGGGGTCCTCCTTGGAAAGGAGTGGGGAGGTGAGGTTCACCCTCTCCTGCACACCCTGCGGAGGGGAAGGCAAGCAATCTTAACACTGTTCCTGCCTCTGGATTTCCTTTACAAGAGGGGAATGCTTCATAGGCCCACCTCACCAGGACTGGGCGCTAGCTCTGAAGAGGTGGGCACTGGTTCCCACCTGAAAGACTAAACACAAAAGCAGAGCTGAGATGCAGACATGAATCTGGAGGGGAAGACATCCGCTTTACGGCCACAAAAAGGCCACTACATTTCCATTGTCTGCAGCAAGTGAGAAGGCCAGAAGCATTATCCCGAAACCAGAAGACCATTCTGCACATCTCTTGCACCCTTCGACTTGGAGACAGATCCAGACTGCATGATTAACCACACTGGACATTACCACACACGAGATCCCGCCAGTCGGCAGAACCGATTCTCAAAGGCTGCCCTTCAACAGGGCCAGACAAACACTGACAAACTGCTAGGTTAATTGGCTCCTGGGCAGACTGGCGCTGGTGTAAGTGTGTGTTTGTGTCTGTCCTGCCTTGTGCCTGTTGCTTGCTGGGGAAGGCTCCAGCTCCCTCACAACCCTGAATTGCATGAAGCAGTTCGAAAACGGATGAATGGGTCAACTGAGAGAAAGCACATCACCAGTGTTGACACCAAGAGTCAGTCTGCAGATGAGTGAGCAAGCTAGGGCCTTTTTACAGGGCTGAGAAAGTGCAGGGACAGGACAAGGTCATATACTGTATACTCACCCGCAGGTGCTGAAAGGCATGCACACTGTAGGGAAGCTCCAGGATCTTTGTACAGTCTGGTTTCTCTAGATCGGGAGGTAGTGCTGACTTGGGATCTACATAGTCTTCAGGGCTGCCAAGAACAAGAGGTCGTAATGACTAAGGAACATATAACAACAACCAATAGCAATAGAATATTACGACACACCAGAACGCATAACCATCTGGATGGTTTCATACTGTAACAGCTCACAGTTTAAGCAAGTGGAATTACACATCTTGAAAGAGAGTTTTGCAACTTCCACTCTTGTAGATAACCTTCCACACATCACAGCTGTAGCCCTCTGCGTCAATGGCCAGGTCAGGTGGAAAATCCAGAGTGTTTGTCAGGTTCTCCACAGGTGCGCTCTTAGACAGGGGAACTACCTGATGCCTTTGCTCTCCAGGGAGATGAAGGTGCCATCGTACAGGTCCAGGTCTCCTAGAGGGACCTTGGCAGTGATGCAGTCTGTGTCCTCCTTGTAATGCCTCTGCTCCAGCCCCGTGTCCCGGTCCTCATTCTCCTCTATGTGGATCTTCTGGGCCACCAGCTGTTTCTATAGAGGCAGAAAAAGAAGCTTTCAAAACAGCACATGCTAAACAAAAGCCAAACCACAAGATTTTGTAAATGCTGGGGCTGCACATCTGGCACAGTAGATCTACATTTTCATTTGCCCCGTGACAGAATAAGATGCCTCAGTTCACTTACCTCTAACTCCTTGAGGTAGTTGACTCTAGTTTCCTGTCGCATGAAAATCACCAGGTCATGTGGGTGTTTCAAGTTCAAAGGGGAATCCACCTGCAAATCAGACAACAGCTGCTAAGATTTTGAGAGCTGGCAGAACTAAATAAAGATCTTCACTGGAGCTACTGACGTCTCAATATTACTGGACTTAAAGCAAAGATACCACATTCTAGATCTGAAAGGAACCAACTAGAATAAAGCAGCCCAGAACACAGTAGAAACCCTACTGCTTTCAGCAGCCTGAAATCCTGCAATCCTGGTGCTGAAGGGCAGCCTGTGAAGCACAGCTCTCTCTGGATCTTAGCACAAAGCTCTTTTGTGCCCCGTTACTCAAGTACATTGCAGGTTACAAATAAGAGGAGTCCATTCAGTTCATTCCTGCTCATAGCAATTAAAGTTGCCAATTACGTGGTAAAGTTCCAGGTGGACTTTGGAAGGTGTCCAGATTCTTTCTACATTAACCAGACAGTTATGTTAGAAGATTAATCATGAATTTATTCCTAGTAAATGTTATGTGTTAAGTTCATAAATTAGATTCCTTTCAAGCTGAAGAAGTTCCCCTCTGGATGACACACTGGGGTCCCATTTCCCATAGATCTATCGGCTAAGTTAATGGGTCTCTCTAAACTAAGCCAGCCCGTTCAGAGCGCACTGTGCTTCTGAGCATGACTCTAGATGGACCAGCATGAAGTCAAAGTAACATTAGGGGGAAAACTATGAATTCACGAGAATTATAAATCAATACAACAGCAAAAGCTTACCTATATCGTATCCGTTTTCATGCACCTGCAAAACGCCAGCAAGTGAACTGACGTTTATTTAAAAGACTTTTTTCATCAAGTCAGCTTCAGGATGGCCACGCCATACTGACTCAAATGACTTATTTTACATGTCATAATGTTCCAGACAGACATTTTCGATGCACAAAACGTTTCAGTCACCGCGAGCCAGACACTGAAGCGACGGGAACACACCGACACTCCCCTCCCGTCCCACGCATCGTGGCAGGCAGGCAGGGAGGGGACCGTGCGCCTCCGAAACATTTTGAACGGACAAAGTGTTTGAAAATTAGACAGCAACAATAAACCACCTGGCTAAAGGGAATTAAGGAAGCACGAAGGGCTCTCGCAGCTGACAACTCGCCGCTAAATGATGCGAAGACAAGCAAACAAGCCCAGCAAATCAGCCGCCGACTCCCTCCTGTCATTTAAAGGGAAGCACTGCGCGACACTATGTAAACAGCCCGACCTGCGGGAAGGAGACTGAGACGAGACTGCACGCTGGAAGATCCATTGCTACGGGCGGATCAATCCAAACACAAGGCCCAGTATTGTGGCTCTCACGCTCTGCGTGATCTCCGCTACCGATGCCTCCTAGGGAGCTGTGCAGGTGTGACACGGGACTCCGTCCCTGGGAATCCTCCTTCTGGAGAAGTCTCCCTGCCTCGGCTTCTCGCACTCAAAGGCCTCGGATTTACCTGCTGCTGAATCTTGCCGTCTTCTGTCACGATCCAGTGGGTGGTGGCACCGCCGGGCTTTGCAAAGGTGGCAGTCAAGAAGAAACAAACCCAGCCCAAAACGGTGACCCTCCTCGGGTTGCTGGAACAGAGCCGGGGCTCCATTCCTCTCCATTGGTACTCCGCCATTTTTCTTCTCCGCTCACTAGCACGAGCCACGGGAAGCGGAAGCGCCGGAGTGGAAGAGGGTGTTTCCGCGTGCGGTGCAGAGGACGCCGCCATATTGGAAAGGGGCACATGCTATGTGCAGGTGCGACTTCAAGGTGATTACCTACTCGGGAGTTTGCTTTGTTTTTTCTCCCAACCTTTCAATGTTGGGATAAAATCAACCCTGACCATTCCAATTAGAAAAGAAATACATTCTTGGATTTTCCTTTAACCCTTGAGTCTTACATTTCTGATCACGTTTTCTCTTGCGTATTCCTCTTCTTACTGTAACATGCACGGAGATAGTTCGTGTGTGTATACTAAATTTGATTTTAATGCTAGGCATTAAAACGTGAACTACAGGAAATCTAATGCTTTGTCCTTGACTTTATCCATACTTTTTTAAATATTTGCAGAAGCTTTTTTGCATTTGAAATTGCTGTGATTTTGGAACACTGAAATGTTCATACTGTATGACTGTTTTAAACATATTTATGACTACATTTAATATAAACATTTGCTATTTTAACCTATCTAGAATAACAGATTATTTAGACATAAGTAGTGTGAGCACAGATAAACAGCAATATTAAAAAAAAACTAAGCCCCTACTTTTTCCTGTGGGCAAACTACAGCAAAGGTCACTCCATGAAAAAACTTAAGCATTTTACCTACAGGGCCATGTAAGCTCTACACCTTTCAAAATCAGGGTCCACAATGTAACCTCTGAACGTTATACACCCCAGAACTATACACTAACTTGAAACCAAGTCTAGGTGATATTTCAATATGCCTTATCAATATACCTCTCTATAAAATACTTAAAACCAGAAAGGACACTTATTGCTGTTAAAAATATTTAATTATGACATTTCACTTTCATTACTTACATCTAAATATTGGTGTACATAATGTAAGGTCAAGCAAACATCACTACCACTAAACTATTTCCAAGACTGTATGCTTATGTGGTGGACTCAAACATGCATTATAAAACCTGTACACGTTTAAACTGGATTGGGGAAAATGCCCCAGTAGAAAACTGCGAACACCGAACAGCTACATGCAGCTGTTTCATGTCTGAGTGACCATGCACACAAATTATGTTCACATTGAGCCAGTGTAGTGCTTTCTGCAGTGCCCTTTGTACTGGTACCACAATTCACAGATTCAAAGGACAGTTTTAATGTCAGATTGAGAAGTTCACAAAACTTCACAGGGACCTTGTACATTAACTATGACAGCAGAATTCACCTGTTCCTCATCAATAATACAAAATCACAGCTTTGGCCTCAGCAGTTTTCATTTATCTCCACCAGAGACCAGAAGAACACTGTGACTGTACGTAAAGAACAAACATGTAACAGCTCCAGTCTAACCACTACGTCCTTCTTTTACATGCCTCTGAACAAGTAAGAATCACACAAAACACTGACTTATGTGCTGTAAATTTAACAAATCTTTTCCAGAAATGCAAAATTTCCTTCCCTTTTGCTAAGAGAGGTCAATGCCATATTGTGTGGGAAATGAGAGAATGTGACCGTTTCAACTGCAGGGTGTGTAAACTGTTCTGAAGTTTCTTCTAGCACATTATAACCAACAATCCACTATAATCAAACAGTGGCTAAATGGATAATCTGTGCACGAAAATGTTCCCTTCAGCCCTTTAATATTTCTTGGTCAGTGATCCTTAACATGGTTAGAAGAAATGTCAAGTCATCATAGAAAATCTATAAAATTGATGTCCATCATAATCACACCACAATCTATTACACATTTGGAGGGCATCCTGCATTTCTGAACTTGGCATTCGTCTTAAGAATCAGGAATGGAAGTATTAAGTCATATTTCATTTTAAAAAAACCTTTAAAGAACCTTTGCAGAAAGTATCACTTTATTGAGCTGACCAATCTTCAAACACATTTGGTTACCCGATTCAAATGAAGTCAGGGACATAATCCCCAAATTTAGTTGGAAGCAACAGAACTTTGACAAAGAAATAACCATTATGTGTAAGTGTAAAGTAATTTTATGAAAGTGCTTCACAAATATGTAAATGTAGAAATCTAGGAACGTCTACAGAATGGCAAGACTTTCTTTAATTCTTAATGATTAAACATATTGCAGAACCACACAGAATATTTTCAAGTAGGAAAAGTTAAATAGCAATATGGAATTCTCCTTCTATCAAAAACATTCAAATTAGACAAATAGTAAACAAGATAAATTAAGTTACATTGCTAACACTTACAAACCTAAACATAAATGCAAACACACTTGCTTGGTGTAAATTTCATCGTTTTAATTGAAAAACATCTTAAATACCACTTACGGTAACAGAAAAGCCAATACAAAAATCATGCAAAGTTTTAAAGCATTTTTTTCTTACACCAAAACTTGCCAGAATCAACTTTCCAAAACTCCACTGGCAACAAAGCTTTAAAAGCCTATTGCTAAAATATTTAAGTACTGTTGCCTTCAAAATAGTCTATACATTACCAATTATCTTTGCCCTGGTCTTCAGAAATGTACCAGGATAAAGAAATGAGTGCCCTCTTGGTCTTTTTTAACCCTTACATAGGCAAGGCATGAATGAACAACTAATGAAGTTATAAAATGCAACATTCACAAGATATTACTAAACTGATCTTTTTTCTTCATGAGGCCAAAGCCATCTAATTCTACCACCCATTATCCTGGTGTTCTCATGCACACTTCGTCCAGCAAATTAAAAACAAAAGGGGGGGGTTAAAGTTAATGGCGAGTCCTTTTCCTGATGTTTGGAAATTACTGCTGTTCAGATATGCAAAAACAGTTAATTCCATCATTGCTCCATACAAACCTTTCATGTAAAAAAAGCTGTATAAAATCAAATAAAAACACAGGGTAGGCCTCTTAGTAACTACTTTAAAAAACATAAAACTGTCCACTGGGAGTCAAACAACCTTGCACTGGAGCCTGACAAAAGGCTTTTGTTCCATAGAAGCATGTTCAATAAACAGGCGTCCTGGTACAGTCTTCCTGAATGTGAACGGATTGAAAAAGTTTATAGAAAAAAATAAATCAGAACCTTGGATTCCTTAAGGGTCAGAAACCAAAATGTCTCATTGCTTATGGACGATTAGAAAAATAACAGGTGAGATCATCATGTTCCAGACAGTGTATAAAGACAGATGCATTGGTATAAAAGGTGCCCTCCCAGGTGCTCTGAGCAGGCGTCACTGCGTCTTGACTGGCGTGCTCCACAGAGCTCCCGTTAGTAGATCCTCCCTCGGCTCCGATTCCCTCGGCCTCCCCAGCCTCTGCCTCTGCCTCCTCTGAATCCTCCTCGCTGCTCTGGAACCCAGCACACAAGCACATCACCACACTGCTCTGCAGGTCTGGCTTAAGACCTTTCAGACCAATGAAACCATGTTGTTAAAGACTGAATTAACTCCAGTGCTTAAACTTGGATTAATTCATTGATTACATTCAACATCCACCTAATCTGGAATTTAACTCACAGCTACTGTTTTCTTTCACTACTGAATCGGTAAGAAATGCTCCTCTGACAAGCCTCCTCTTCAGAGCCATTGTTCCACAGTGCGTGACGTGCTCAGCTCACCCTCATGTTACTGCGAGCCTGCAGATGCCTTGTAGATCAAGACAGTTGCTGTTCTGCTAAGAGGTCCTGTCCGACTAGTGGCAGCTCACCTGGCAGTGCTCTGGCAAGCTGAGCACGACCACTTCACTCACAGAAGCGCAGGCAATTAAAATGAAAAACCTATGGCACCTTGTCTTGTAAAAGATGGGATGAGCAAAGTGCAAGATACCCATTTCATCACCACTCACCGTAAGAGAAGTTTCCAATGCTGCCACTGTACTTGCCACTTGGCGGATTATATATCTGCCGGGAGTCCCTCTTGGGCAAGGGGGACGGCTTCTTTGAGGGGGTGCTGGAAGTTGTATCATCACTAGTGGTACGTTTGAGACTGAAGAAAAAAATTGAAAGCTCTTTAATGTAACTCCTGTATCACCCTTTACATTAAGCCTTGCACTCCCATTTTTAAGATAGACTGAAACTCAGCTGTGGACTTCTGGTATCACAGTTATGGATTGTAAGATCCTTAATTAGAACACTGATGTGTAATAGGTTTATTAATTTCACAACCATAAAAAGTTAAAATTTACAGATGCACAAAAATCAAAGCAACTAAATTTCCTTACCCTGCAGCCTCTACTTTCTGAACTGGTTTCCACGATAGTGTCACTGTGCTCTTGTATGAGGGAGGGTTGTGGAAAAGGTCCTATGGATATTAAATGAACAGAAAAAACAAACATTCAGCCTTTTGGTCTTTAATTCACTAAATGATTAAACTACTTTGTATGAAGAAATAAACAGGTAATGATCATTAACACAAGACTGAATCAAAGTGTTCCACATGGTGCTGTATTTGGTCCTTTGCCTATTTAACATTTACATGTTACCTATTGGTCAGATGTGCCACCATGAACTTGGGTTTTATGACCATCAACAATTTGTAAACCACTTTCTACTGGCTTCTGTATTCATATTGTGAATTTCTTGGATTGAAACTTAAGACAATCCCAGCATTCAGAGTATCAGTCAACAGCATAAGTCTTCCCTGATGGCTTCTTAGAAGATCTTCCATTTCAGCTTACCTTTATTAAAACATTGATGTTGTTAGTGATCTTCAAGGCCACTACTTTTATTTTATTCTGAAAATGAGAAACATTTCAATTCAAGCATGTTTAAAGATGCATAATTAAACACAAAAAGATTTACATGTTATTGATTAGTACTTTTTTGATGCTAACATTTTTTATTTTGCAAACTGATACTTTCAAAAAGCACCACAAAAAACGATTTTGCCTGATGAGATTGTTACACATTTCCATTAAAATGATAGCTGTAGATTCATTAGCCATTTTTGTTCTCATGAATGTGGCTGTTGCCAAAGATTTTTAATTTTTGAAAAAAGCTGGCTGATTATTAATACATTTTCTGAGAACTAATTAATTCAATTTTGCTGTGATATTTTAAAAGGCTAGTAATCAGATTTTACATAGTTAAGCACTAACAACCCCTTTAGATTAAAATACCAGTATTAAAGTATTTTCTTTGAAATTAAAAATTTAAACAAGCCAATATATTTTACAGCAGGAAAAGCAGGAAAAGCAAGGGTACTTCATTCAGAGGTAGAACCAACAGGCTTGTATTCAAATCAATGTACAAAATATCCATCTTTAAAGCATGGATTTAATCAATAAATCAGAATGGTGTTTATTATATTTTCAAGTGTTTCAAAGCCTTTGAAATTATTATAAGCGCCTTCAAATCATTAAATCAAAATCACCACTAAGAACCATTAATCCACAGTATAATCTGTTCACCTCCATCAGGTGTCATCCTGAAGTGAATGACCCTGAAGGTGCTGTAACTAAGACTTACCTCATCTGTCTTCAGGGCATCCCCAGTTTTCCCTTGCAAGGCAACTCTTAATTGTCTGATATAGACCTGCAGCCCCCGAGCAAAGTACTGCAGTCTGTGGAGTGGAACAGGTAGAGGCATTAAGCTAAAATAACATGAAAAAGAAATTGACACTCTACTGCAAATTAGCTTCCATCACACGAAAGCTCCCCCGACTCCAAATGATCTCTCCATTTTTTCACAAAACTAGCTACTTCCCATATTTACAGTTGTACCCAAAGCACTTGGTATGGAAAAAGCTAACAGTAATTGTTAGTTGATTGTAATCAAGTACTGGGTGCAAAAGTGGATTTTCATGTGCTTTATTGCAGGATTTGAAACTGTGATGACTACAATGACTACAAACTACAAAGCCAGTATCAGTATGCTTATATATATATCTATCTAATCTCACATGGCTACAGCTGTAAAGCAACTGCGGATCCTTTCAATCAAGTACCTGATTTTGAAGTCTTTAAGTCTTTCTGCATTGACTTTATCAGTTAGAAAGTCAGGAAGTTTCTTGCCCAGCTGATGGAAGCTATAGAGAAGGCACTCCACATAGCTGAACTGAAGCTTGGGCTCCTCATTGCCTGCGTTTTCTCCATTCTCTGCCTCCTCTGGGGGTAAAGGCATGTATTCCTGACAAACATAACACAAAATCACAAGGCAGGGTTAATCACCTACAACAACCGCCAAAACCTCCTGCACTGCTTCTACAGTAACACTGCCAGGAATTTGTGATTATTATACCAAGCCAATGATTTTGAAACATTTTTTAATCACAAATGTTATAAGCCAGAATAACAGGCACAAAAAAATCAAATGCATGCAACAGGATGTCCTCACCAAAATGCAAAGTTTACATCCTGTTTCACTATTTAAAACCCAGCTCTCCATATGATATACAGTAAATGTTATATTGTTATGTACGCCAGGAGAAGAAAATGAATCCATCTTACCAGAAGTTTTTCAAAGAGCATGGATAAATTGGCTTCCAATTTATCCATATCCCCACAGAAAGGGCTCATCTCTGCCAACAACTTCAAAACCTACAGAGAAAAAGCAAACAGCATCACCTATTAAGTGCCATCTCCCATGGTTTGCATGTTTCTGGTTCAAACAACAAATCTGGAAAGTGTTACATGCCTTTGTGCAAATCACTGGGAATGTGAAATTGTGTTAACTTCAACTTTTGATAATTTGTCATTATACCTTGTCTTCTTTTTAAACCATCTCTATGTACTTTTCAATGGAAAGCCTCAATCTGCAGTCACAAGTAGGATCAGTTCTCTATAGATATGAACCTTGAACAACTCAAACCAAAAACATGTAACCAATGAAAGGACTGCAAGTTACAAACCACACTGGGGTGATCTGTTTCAAGTTTCATGCAGTGGGTTTGCTTCTCTGAGAAGCAGCAAGGATATATAATTTATATTATTGAGTTATAACATAACAGATCTCTAGTACTTATTTCTGTAAAAAGAAGTGCAGCCACAGCTTATCTGTCAGATAATCATTTCAGTCATCTGACATGCGGATGCAAAAGGCTCTTGCATACAAAACACAACCACTGTAATTCATACGCGTCACGGTCGTTGGTACAAACCAAATACTCCCAGAGTGGACGAGCACTGCTCTGGGATTAACTAGTGGGTAAATCCGACCACAGCTCATGGTCATAACCACAGGTCAGGCAGCAGTGCTAACCACATGAATCTGTCTTCGGCTCAAGTTTAGAAACTACACCAGAAACGTGTATTTAAGCATTTAAACATTTCAAAATGCTAATAATGATAATTGTCTAATATTTAAGCACTGGAAACCTAAACAATCTTAAGCAACTTTTTGCATATAAAGGAGACTATGCAGGTCACCTTGTTTTTCTGTAGTACACAATCACTTTAAGGCTGTTAAAAGTATTTCTATTAACCTACATCTGGAATAGGAATAGCAATAAGGAGACATTCTGAGCACAACAGTAAATCTAGGCCCCAATTTGACCTGAGTGCTGTTGTTGGGGTGGAATTTTTTTTGTTCAAACCTGCTGCTACATGGACCAACTGAATCAACAGACTACTACAGCAGGCTAGAAGGGATCATTGCATTTCTGCCTAACAACGCTACAATAGATTGGCCAACTCTCATGACAAAGTCAACTTAAACTTTAAATTAGGCACCCTTTTACATAATGTAATAAATTGTTGTAGAAGGGAAGCTAGGAGACGTAGAAATATTTTCCTGCAGTTCAAAACAAGATTCAGTTTATTGAAATAGTTCAAATTACTCTGCATGGGATCATTCATCTTAACACATTATCTACACTGTCCATCATACTTGGTCTTGACATACTTTACAGTATTAGGCCCAATTAATTTTAATGTTCAGAAGTGATATTCTTGTCAGAAAACGATTGAGAAAAAATCCAAACTACTTCAGCTTTGTATTGGAAAAAAATTCAAAACCTTTACTTTCAGTATTAGGATGCACTAACCTCTAACTGAATGTCCAGTTCAGCCACAGGACTGGTCAGCGTGCTGAGATTGGACATGACATGCTCACAGAAGTAGGTCACAAACCTTGTGGAATGTACATTTTTCTAAAATAGAAAACAATGAACAAATTGGAATTATTTCCTGTGTAAAATTAGTCAGATTAACATGACCAGTAATGAGACACTGACAAAGAGAACCAAGAGGGGAAAAATGTTTTTATATAAAATAACGAAATTTTTTCATCCATCCAGTTTATAATCACTTCTTTCAATTCAGGACTGCAGGGGAGCTGAAGTCTATCCCAGCAAGCAACGGGCATACGGCAGGGTGCATCCTGGACCAGTCCACTGCAGGGCACACACACACACATTCACGCCAGCACCAATTTTCCCCAACAACTATTTAAACCCACTAGAAAGGTTTTGGACTGTGGGAGCAATACTGGAGTGTTCAGGGGAAACCCACACGAACATGTGATGAACATACAATATCCACGCAGGTAAGCTACCCAGGAACTGAACCCAGGGCCCAAGCCTTGGCAAGGCAGCAGTGCAAACCACTGCACCACCATGCCTATAAAATATACAACTTATTTCTGAAATGTTAAATTCACCAATAAATAGCCTGAGACATGTCATGAGACATTTAAAATAAACATGAAAAAAAGTAGTAAGCAGAAATCTCATAATCCCATGGCAGAAAAAATAAAAAGGAAGCCTTGTGTGAACTATTCAGAGCCTGACTGGGAGACTCACAGAGAACAGGGGCACAGCCTGGCGCGTGCACTGCAGCAGGCGGTCCACGCTGTCGGCATCAGCGGGGTTCAGGTGCTGCTCCAGGTACGCCTGCTCCGCTACCAGCTCCACCAGCTGCTGGCGCCCGCTCACCGTCTGCAAGCTCTTCAGGCCCGAGAGGATCTTCATCAGCAGGACAAACTCCTCCCCCGTCACGTCCTCCAGCACCTGCAGCACAGCGGGAACATGTGAGAAGACACAGAACACATCGAAGATGCCAAGATGACTATACCGACTCCGCAGTATGGTAAGGTGTCAACATTTACCAATTTACCTCAGAGGCTTCGATTACCTGTTAACAAGGGTCACCGGGCTAGAACTGGGCTGTAATGTGAAAAATAAATTTTGCAGGATGGGGCAGCTGAATTTCAAATTTCATGCACTGAAGGCGAACTGAAGTCCTTGTACTAGCAAGTGAGCCCTATCCTACCCATCTGACCATAAGCACACAGCACTTACGCAAGCAGTCCAAAAACATATGCACACTCACGCAGGCCTTATGACTTGACAGACAACAAATGGGCAAGCCTGGCTTAATTATGTGACCAGCCACATTACTGTGGCATCATCAGTCCACCTTTAATGCTGGTGTTTGCTTCCTTATTTTCTTCCAGAACAAGCCTGTTTCATCTGCATTGAACACTTGCCCTAGCCTACATCCCTCATTACTGATGAGCCTCTTCTGCTTCTCGGGAAACGCCTCTGCGGTCATGTGACCCTCCCCCACCAACTCCATGTTTTGAAGAGAAGAACATTTCTTTCAAATTATTAATTAAACTTTCAATTATGACAAAGGTGGAATGACTTTCATGGTAGTGTTACACACTAGGTTTAATGATATTTGCCCCCTTATTTAGTTAATACCTTATGGTAGAAGTAAGTAAATGATTATTATTAGCTGGAGGGTTATTTGCAAATTTCAACTCTTTCAACACGGGGTGGGGAATCAGGACCTAAGTGTTTGCCGGTGGGGCTTCTCCACTGTGAATGACAGATGGAAGGGACCGTGGGCCTTCCACAGTGGCTAAAGATTCACACAGGACAATAAGCCTTGTGCCCGAAACGGCCCCCATGAACGATCGGACATTCACAGTTCAAGAGCCGGGCAGGACCCACGTTTACACAACAAGGGCTAAACGGTTCCCCCCAATCGATAGACTGTTGATATGTAAATAGTGAATGCAAATGGTGAAGAACTTCTAATGGCAAATGCAATTATTGTCTAGAAAACTGAAGCCATTGTATTGCATGTAACTGAATTTGTACAGAGTGTCAATTTAGTAGCCATGTTGGACTGAACTGAGAATTAAAAGCTCCACCCTGCAAAAGTCATTACTGATATCTTCAGAGACTGAAAGAAACACTTTATGTTTACAACTCAAGCGTATTGTTAAAATGATATCCCTGATTTATCTTTCTGAGAATTATTTAATAACGAAAGAAGTACAATGCACACAGTCCTTTTGGGTATACAAAACAGACAAGACATTCTCTACATTTTTTACTTTTATGAAGTGACCAGACCAATCCAACACTATTAGGCTCCTTTGTCCAGAAAGCAGAGCTTTTCGAGGAAACAAATCCACAAGAACACAACTAAGGCTATAAGTTAGAAACAGCCTCAGTTTTCACACACAAACATCTCAACAGCAGCAACAGCTCCACTAACCTACATGCTTTTGCTACTTACAACAGTAAATATTGACACACGAGCCGTAATGTTAGGAGCAAAAAAGCCCACTGAACAATATACGTTATAAAATTCGAAAGCATCAATCTGCAGGAGTTAAATATTGTAATGTGAGAAACTCAAAAAATGTAACCAAGCATTTCTAGAATTTCATTCATCTTGACAAGGAGAAAGAAAATAATATTCATTACAAACTCCGCAGGACATATATCAAGATTTTAATTTTAAACTGTGTAATTATAAGAATGATGCCATCAAGGATTTCTACATATAGAAAAGTACTTAAAAGGAAGCAGTATGTTGAAATCTAATTCCTGTAATGGTTCAGAGTCTGAGATGCACTGTCTAATCAAGTTCAATTATTGCTCCCGTTATTTAATCAGATTACTGTCAGGCATGTGGCCCTACACTTACCCTCTTGGACTCAGTGAAGATATAATCCTCCACTTCCTTGGTCAGCACCTCTTCTGGCAGAGTCTTCAGTTTGGTGGAGAGGAACTTGATGGCCCTCTCTCTGACGATGTCTTCCCCTTGCAGGATCTGAGTAAACAAGCCTCCCAGCGTCCCTACAGGGACACAGTGGCAGAGATAAGAGACTGACTCAAAAATGAAAGAAATGAAATAGCTCTGGAGGTTTATGTTGATGTCAAGGACCAGTCCCTCAAACTCACAGCCCAAACTTTAAAAACTCTTCTAAATTCTGATTAACATGATGAAGAAAAGTTATTTAAGGAAGAGACTATAGTATTAGTTAGCAGCGGTTTTTAATCCCAAAGTCCACATCCTCTAAGATGCCGCCATTCCACCATTAAAGGGGTGAGTACAAAAGAATAAATTGATTTAGTGAATCACGTAATCCTACCTCTGGCATCCATCTTGAATATGGACAACAATGCATTGTTTACCAGGTTAAACTCTGCAGAGTCATCTGTTGACAGAAAACGCAATAAATTACTTAACACTGGAGAGAAAAAAAAAGACTTGCTTGACTATTCAAATCCTCTCCTAGTTAATCAATATATTGGCCAGTCGAGTTTACTCAAACCAAGAGGGTGTGCGCTAAGTGCAACGTTGCTAGCCAATGGTTAAATCTAACACACCGCACAATTAAGGGGGGGGAATATACAGGAAAATGGTGTACAAAAAAACATTTCAAGACAAAAACGATAAAGCCGTCTAATGTACGGGACTGTGGCACTGACAGGGACCAAGGCGCAGGTGGAACTGAAAGCTGCTCTGGATGTGTACCTGTCTGTAAGAGCTGTGTTAATATGTCTGCCACCCTGGGGAGATTCTCTCCAGCAGCAAACTGAGGGAGCTCTTTGATGGCCTGGCGCCGGATCTAGACAAGAAAGAGGAAAACAGAAACTGAAATGAACTGCACGTCACAAGGGAGGGTACCATTTACCTCATTCACCCCCGCACTGTAAACATCAATCTGTGAAAGAGCACTAGTGCAAGCCTCCAGAAATATTCTGCCATCACTCTGCACTTGTTTTACGCCTTTAATTTTTTCAGGTGATGAGGCTCAGAAGGGCATGCCGAGCTGCAGCTAGTTTTACTGTTCTTACCGAGACATCCTCGTCCTCGCAGAGGTCGAGCTGCGCGTTGATGGCAGCGTCCGCCAGCTCGGGGAAGCTCTTGAAGAACTTGGGAATAAACTGCGCGGCCAGGCGCTTCTCCTTCGGGCCTCCCTTCACCCCGTCCAAGATCACCTGGTACGCATCCTTGTGCTGCGGGGAGAGGGGCTTGTTACTACACAGACGTCACAAACCATACAGCACATGTACCGTGGGCGAGCATCCCATCCATTTTCAACCGCTCCTTCCAAGTCAAAGTCACGGGGAAACCGGAGTCTATCCTTGCAAGAAACTGGTTCAAGGCAGGGAACACCTTGGATGGGACGCCAGTCCACACACAGACACCAACACACACACCAGGGCCAATTAACCCACCAGCATGTCCTTGGACTGTGGGAGGAAACCCACGGGAGCAAAGGGAGAATATACAAACTCCACACAGACAGCACCCCAGGTCCTAAAGCTGACACTGTGAAATCCATTCCCAATCCCAATTCTGGCTGTGAAGCTGCAATAGTTGCTTGTTACAGCCTTTGGAGTCACATTACAGCAAACTTACTTGCCAAGACCTAGCTCTGCAGAACCATCAACAATACTAAGCAGGCATGTACAGCAGCAGTAAGCTAGCGAGCACGTTAAATTTAAACACTGATTTTATTCTCCAAGAAGGGCCCCGGAAAACGGCCTTCAAGATGACCACACAACCAGACTCAGGCAAAGGACAGGATTTGCCATCTCGAGCTTTAAAACTGCACCAGGCAGAAGTGAAAATTAGATTACAAGTTACAAAATATTTTTAACGTTTTTGCTATATGCTATATAGCGGTGGCTCTGTGGCTAAGGATCTGCGCCTGTGACTGGAAGGTTGCCGGTTCAAATCCCACGGCCGGCAGAGGAATCCTACTCCGTTGGGCCCCTGAGCAAGGCCCTTAACCCTAACTGCTCCAGGGGCGCCGTACAATGGCAGATCCTGCACTCTGACCCCAAGCTTCTCTCCCTGTCTCTGTGTCTGTGTCTCCATAGAGAAAAGCTGGGGTATGCGAAAAGACGCATTCCTAATGCAAGAAATTGTGCAGGGCTAATAAAGAAACATTAAAAAAAACATTAACATTAATTAACATTATATGAACCCCTGATCTACTTCAGCTACGAAACAACTGAGCTGCCATCTTCACAGCACAGAACAATTATTTTGTTCTGAGAGATGAGAAGAAAGATGAGAAGACACGACAGCCTAAGAAAACCGTGAACTTACTTAACTGGGATGCATTCAATCAACAATTTTGTTCATATGCAAATGAAAACCTTAACCTGGATATATATTTTTTTTATTGTAACATCGAGAACTGCGCTTAAGAACAAAGGGGCATGACCTTCTTGAAAACCACAGCATTTAACGTCCCAGATTCACGCTACCAGACACTGAATTGAACTGGCTGAACCGAAACGTTGAATCACGTAAGCCAGAAATATTATCAACACTTAAGATTCTGTATTTGGCTACTTCCTTTCTGCCCTAATGTAAGCTGGGACTTGTACTGTATACCCAACAAAAGAAAAAAAAAGGTGGTTGATTAAAAACATATCAAAATACCGGCACAATAACCCATTAGCGAAAGGTGAAGTGTTGTGGCACTAGAAACAGTCAGGGGCGACTCTCATCGGCCCTAGTTCGGAGCAAGACGGCCCGTAAGTTTCTCTCTCTCCGTGCACCGGCCTGCTGCTGGGCAAGCCGCACACCGGCCCCGGCCTCCTCCGCCCCCACTGGCGACTTTCTCTCCCACAGCACCGACACGGGAGGCAGGCTCCGCGGCGGCCTGCTCTCGCCTCGGCGCGGCGGACGGGCCCAGCAGCGCACAGCCGGCGGGAGCGGCGAGGCCGCCTCCGGGCCCACCCCGCGCCCCGGGCCGCAGCTCCCTCACCTGGGCGACGCTGTCCTTGGCGTCCGCCAGGATCCCATAGTTACGATACAGCTCCTCCACCGTCACCGCCATGAGCGTGGGTATAGAGGCGCAAAGCCCTGCTATGCCTGTTCCCCGATCCCGGCCTCGGCCTGCGGCACGCTTTCTCCGGACGAGCGGCCCGTGTGGCCGAGCGCTCCCTGCGCAGGAAGGTTCCAGAACTCGGCGCTGAGGACCAACGGCCGCCCGGGCAATAGCGCGACTGCTCACTTCCCAACAAGAGCGACTCGGCCAGGGAAGATGGGGAAGACTCGCAAGACTCACAACGCGCAGACGCAGGGCTCCCGCGCGATCGGTTCGGGCTTTTCGTGCGACGTCAACATACGGGTGAGCACGCTCACGCATGCGCAGTCAGCGGGGAGCTACCGGTGTGACAACAGACCAATTGCCTTCCAGACGCAGCCACGAGCAAAGCTCAGCAGGCTCTCGCGCCCCGGTGTGTGACGTAAGTACACAGGACCTGACGTGCACGCATCATTCATGCAAACTGTGGATGCTCATATTAATAGAGCACAGCTGATGTTTGTAACAGTATTAGCTTGTTGTGCTCAGATTTGCGATGGTCTCTGGCAACATATTGTTCTGTTATTTTTGGCTCACTTTTCTGGACACTGTTTCTCCTTTATTTCAATCGTTTGATGTTCAATGAAACGCAAGAAACAAAATGTTCATTTTATTAGAGTTTATTTTACAATTATGATTTTAACACGGCTGCGCTATTCATTGGATTTATAGCATTATGCTTTACAGTTAGTTGCTTTAGTGTTGTAATTCGTCATAGAAGGCGTTATCTTCATCTGTTCATAATCTGTCACGACCTTGCTCAACGGATGTTTTTTTGTGCATGCATGTGTTTACGTGTATTGTTTTTGTGTTTGTTTTACATCTGCCGCTTTAAAAGAAATTGCCCCTTGGAGATAATAAAGACTCTATCCCAAAGACATTGGTCCCAACTCAACATGAGTTCGTCTGTTTGCGTACCCAGAGATGGCCCTGTGTCCCGTTTATGGTGTAGTTCTGCTGTAAGCTTCGTGTTTCCGTGTTTCTGGAGTAGAACAGGGCAGCTAGATACTTTCCAACACAGGATGGGCGAACACAGTGGTTTTCAAAACTATTTGCTTTTCGTAATGCCTCTCAAAAAGGATTTCAGTTTCGACAGAATGCCCAGAAAGACAAAACAAAATAAAGCATACTACGTTGTTACAGCAAGAAAATAAACATAAGTCTAATTACTTAGCCATCAGTGCAAAGAATTTAAAATACAACTGGTGAGTTGGGAGGGACTACCTGTACTCGGATTGAATCCTTACATTTCCGGGTTTAATATCTTGTCATTAACCGGTCCTCTGCATCATTGGTTTTCAGCCTGTGTGTGGAGGACCAGGTGTCCCGTTTTTTTTTTTTTAACGGAGCTTTTAATCAATCAGGCTAATTGATCTGTAGCTGCCTTTTTGGACAAGTTGTTTCCAGCTGGTAAGATTTTAGGGTTAATAAGTGGTATCGACCCTCAGATACTTTCCTAGTTCTTCACGTGCTCTTCCCCAGAAGTGCGGGATGTAAATAACCGAACCTCTCTGCAGGACATGGGGAGAATCATTTATTTTTTTGTGGTATGAGGACTGCATATAATGTAATTCCTCTTCCTGCAGAGAACTGTTAAGGAAGACAAAAACAGAGGACCCACTTAATATCCGAACTGATGATGTATGGATGAATGGGCTGCGTTCTTGTCTGCTAGATCTCCTTATGTGGACACAACTGCAGCCATAGCATTTGTGGAACGCAGAGGCGGGAAACTGGCTGAAGTGATATAATCCGGTAAAGCTTTTGAATTAAAGGCGGCACTTCGCCTCAGAAACTAAGAGCTCGGGCGGATCAAAAACCAGAGGGAGGCCGGGCAGGCGTTTTTAGCACCAGTGTCCTGCACAGAGAAGTTATTTATTCAGGTGTGGTTGTGCAGAACACCGAGGTCATAAACCTCCCTGTCACTAGGGGGCGCCCGGGGAGGCGGCGCTCACCCCCGAGTTCGTGATGTCCGGACGTTCTTGACTCGTCAGACGCCAGTGCAGAGAAGTGAGCACGGAATATTCTCGCTCCTGGCAGGTAAGACGGGTTTAAACCCACCAGTGCGGCGGCTGCTTGGGTTTGTAACGGTTCCCCAGAGAAAGGGGGGTGATCGGGGACCCCTGTACAGCAGTGGGAGGCCGCTTTGCTCAAGTGGTTCATTTCGGCGCAGTTCCGTGAAGTCACCGCCTTGTCTTGAGAAGTTCAGCAGTGCAGGCGTCTGCACCCAGGACAGGTCAAGCTGTCAAAGACTGTGGGTTTTTTAAATACACGCTTATGTGGCACATTTGTTTAATGTTCAGCGTAGTTATCCATAACTTGTTTCGCGTGTCTTGTTTTTCACGAGGGTTTTTTTTCCAGGACGAGCTAAGATGTCAGTGTTAGTAAATGTCCTTATTTTGTGCCTTTTCCATGGGGATTTCTTCAACTCTAGTAAGAGTGATACTCATTTCTACGCGACATAACTGTCGTCAAGCAGTTAGATTAGGGGTTTCTCTAAATGGTTTGGAAAGTGCTTCAGATGGGCGTTCAAGGACTTCCCCTCGGCTTGTTAGTTTTAATAAATTAGTCCTGTCACTCACTTCCCTCAAATGGCAAAAACGTGCCGCTTTAATCGTCGTTTTTCGTGTGTCTGCTTTCGATTGTATGGGGAATGATATGACGTCAACTTGTGTGTGTGTGTGCAGTAGCTACAGTACAGTGAGTGTGTTTGATCAAACAAACGGTGGGAGAAGTACTGGTTGCCAACCCATATTCTAGGGCTCGAACAGATCAGGTCAGACTTATATTAATTCATGGACGTGGAGTTAGCTAGGCGTGGGAATGTGTGATAGATTTCAACCTTTAGGATTACTGCCGAGAAAAACGGTCACTTGTGTAGGTCACACTTTATCTGTAGGAATAAAACGTTTATTACTGTAGTTGCGGCTATGTGTTATCAGCACGTACCACTCCCCTCTTCATTTCTTGAAAGCTTTCTGGTCCCCTCGATGACTTTAATGTTGGGTTTAAATGTACAGTGTCAGCTGCTTTACTTTTGCATCACCGTCTGAGACTGTTTCAGTGCGAGAAGCTCTGAACTGCTGCTTTTATACTCTTAAAGCAACTACATCTATTGGAAACGGTTACCAATTGAAAGCCACAAACATGGTGGTTGTAAATGAATGCAAGTTCGACTCTAGAAATTTACTTGTATTTTCTGTATTTTACTTTTTTTGTATATTATTGATCCAGGCATTGTATTTTCTAACTGCTTCTTCCAATTCTGTGTCCCGGGGAGACGGCAAGTCTATCCAAGCAAGCATCTGCCGCAAGGCAGGGTACACCCTGGATGGGACACCAGTCTCTTCCAGGGCAGACACACTCACTCGCGCCAGGGTCAGCTTTCCCTGAAGCCAGTTGACCTACAGTACCAGTAGGCTGTGGGAGCACAGCGCCTTGGGAGTTGAACTCGGGACCCCAGCGCTGTGAGGCAGTAATGCTCACCAGAGCTCCACCGTGTCACCCAGTTTTAACACATTTGAAAAAAATAATAATCCTCTTTAATCTTAAGTGTTTTAAAAGCCATATGACTTGCCGCGCACCTGCCATCCTGCAGTTACATCAGTGAGAGTGGCAGAGCTGCACCAATCGGTGCCGACTCCCCTGTAAGTCAGTGTGGAGATCGCCACATCCCGGAAGAGTGTGTCTTGGCTCCTTTTTCTCCTTGTGCGTCGCAGGATATGGAGTTGTGAGCCTGAATAAGCAATCGGTGGTTCCAATATATGAGCATAGGAAGTGCTAAAGTAAGCCAATATCAGATGCTGCACATATCCCTTGTCTCATCCTCTTTGTGTAAGATTGCAAGAGAAGAGCACAACCTGAGAAAAATGCTATTGCTTTTGCAGATCATCAGTACATTTTTTACAAAAATCTACATCTGTACACCCACTGATACATGCCATGTTTTGGCTTGGTGCAGGGGCTGTATTGGAAGTGAAATATGACTCCTAGTCAGATGTGGGAGAATTGAAAGGTAGTTCCCTTGTTCGATGGTAAATGTGAGGATGTTGTGGTTTTAAAATTGTTGATGCCTAAAACGTCTGTTATAGTTTTTCTTGGGCTTCACAAACCCTGTGCAGTGCACTTCATTCTCCTTTTGTGTAAGGAAGAGTCTGTAATGTCTCTTCTTCTTGTTGGTCCTGTAGGTCCACAGACTGTATTGGAAACAGCTTGTCGGCCCCAGAGGTAGAGAGACGGGACCCTGGCTGCTGGAGTGTCTGTAGGGCGGAGGTCCGTGCGATTACGGGCTGGAGAAATAGCCAGGCTACTTCAGTTTGAGAGCGGGAGAAGGACTCCCTTTCTTCAAGATTAAAAGCAGCCATTTATTTTGCTCTAGAAGCAATGTGGATGAAGCCAAGTAGTCGTGTTTGAAGAAAACGTACATTCCGTGCTTTAGTGAAAGAGAAAGGGAGTGGTGTAGCTCCGTCCCAAGTGGAAAATTTACGGGATTATGATTAAATTATGGAAGGCTTTCTCCATCAGATAGAAGGTGAAAGGAAGAAAATGAACACTGCTCCTTAAAGACCCCAGCACAGAGGGTGGAAATTTGTGACTTGGAGGGGAAAAACACCATGGTCAAACACTCACTCTTCTGGGAAGGCGTCCTGTAGACATTTGAGCCAGGAAGACTGCCACAGAGGGAATTCGGAGAGAGCGCCGTCTTCAAGGTGAGGGGGACTGGTGCGTGTCCGTGGATCTGTGTCAACTCTTCAAAACAAGAAACGGGTTGACAAGCACTTCCATGCCCATGTTACAAATACCGGCTTTCTACATTCATGTGATACACAAAGACACCTGATACAGCTGGGTTTTTTTTTCTGCATTCTGTTCTAATAATAATAATAATAATGATGATGATAATGTTGCTTTATTAACCCTATGCAATTTCTTGTATTAGGAATTCGTCTTTTCGCATACCCCAGCTTGCTCTCCATGAGACACAGACGCACAGACAGGGAGAGAAGCTTGGGGTCAGAGTGCAGGATCTGCCATTGTACAGCGCCCCTGGAGCAGTTAGGGTTAAGGGCCTTGCTCAGGGGCCCAATGGAGTAGGATTCCGCTGCCGGCTGCGGGATTTGAACCGGCAACCTTCCAGTCACAGGCACAGATCCTTAGACAAAGAGCCACCGCTCCTCCCATGTTCTATATGTAATCGTATTGGGACTGTTTGATTTTAATATGGGCAGTTAATTTAATATTGATTTTAATGTTATTGTACATTTCCTGATTAATTTGTAGTATTTTTTCTCACCGATATCATCCCCAAGATTTCAGCAATGCAATGCCTGTGGTTGATCTGTAGGTGGCACTCTAACTGCAGAAACTCAAGTTGAAAAATTCTGAGCAGCAATTGTAACAGACCTTTTAACCTTAGGTCCTGGCCTTTAACATTTCAGTGCCCTGTGCTTTTTAGTGTTAGCTGGGAAACTGGCTAGACCACCTGCCATTTACGCTGTAGCTTAAGGGTGGTGTCCTTTAGCTGTTTTGTCATCATCACAGGTTTAGGAATTTGAAGCGAGTCCCTACAACTGCAGAAATAGGAATGGTTGGTCTTCATAATAAGAGGGTAACTTAAAAGGCATTTTGCCCTGGGGAAAAAATGAGTCCAATTTTCTGTGCTCCAGAAGAATTTGAGCTAGTGCTGCAAGTCAAAGTGAAAAATAACATTTGTCTGTTGCCAGATTTTCACTTTGAACTCATGCTTTTCATTATAAAGTTAATAGATAATTTCATTTCACAGGGCAGAGGCACAGACGGCACCTTTAAGAAAAATGTGAACACTGGTATTAGGTCACTTTGCTTTATGGGTAGTTTCCCGTAGCCTGTTTTTGAGCTAGCAGTGCTGTCTGTGGGGAGCTCGTACGTTCTCCAGTGTCCTCCCACAGTCCACGGACACGCTGGTGGGATAATGGGCGTCTGTGAGACATGTCGCGACCTGCTGGGACAGGGCCCTGGCTCCCTGTGGCGCTCCGTGTTGAAACCGGCCCGCGTGTCCCCCATTTCCGCTCCGCAGGGCTCGGCCATGAGCCAGTCGTGCTGCGAGCTGGAGAAGGACGGCGGTGGCGGGGCCTGCTGTGGGGCCGTGGTTCCGGCCTGCGCCGACAAGGGGGACGGCTGGGGCACCCTCAGCTCGCACGAGGCCGGCGCGCACACGCAGGGCTACGACGTGGAGTTCGACCCGCCCCTGGAGAGCAAGTACGAGTGCCCCATCTGCCTGATGGCCCTGCGGGAGGCCGTCCAGACGCCCTGCGGCCATCGCTTCTGCCGGGGCTGCATTGAGAAGTCCCTAAGGTGAGGCCCCCTGGGCCAGGGAATCCCCCTCTTCTGGGCTTCAGTCCTGTTGAGCTGCACCGCTGGTTTTATAGTTCTGGGTTGGGAAGAATCGGTACTGATGAAACCGTAAGGTGACCACAGTAATGTGTAAAACATCAAAAAAGAGACCAACTTTCCAGGTTTTCGCCACGTCATATTCTGCAATTCAGTGAGGCAGTGAAACGTCCAGTGAGGTGAAGCAGCCTTATTGCACTGTAAACAAGCAGGCAGTGGTTTTTGATTGTGAACAGTAGCACCTATCCACTTTCACAAAGTTCAGGATTTTGTGCTTAATGTGAAGAAAATTAACTTGTAAATTTTTTTCTATAATGTCAATGAATTTATTTTGTTACCAAGATCTCATCAGCAGTCTGAGAAATTGGGACTGCAATTCTGTTACTACCAAGACCTTTTACAAGCAGAACCCAGTTCACTGTTTTAATTTTTTTTAATGCAGCTTCCATACAGATATAGGTCTTCTAATAGTTTGTCAATCAGGAGTGTACAAAAGTTAGCATTTTTAATTTTCTTTATACAGCGGACTTCAACTTCTTAGATATAAAATGGACGCACAGTTGGCAACAAGGTGATCATTTCTAATTAAAACTGACAATTTATTCACAATTTATTTTACTTTTTATAAAATATGAGATAAATCAATTGTATCTAGCAATGAATCAGGTAAAATAACCAAGTTTTAAAAGGGGAGTCTTAAGAATAGATTTCCAACAGGCAGCAACAGTTCCAGAGAGGTGGAGCTTGAATAAAGGGGCAGCTGCTTCTTTTCTCTTGAATTAAACTGACCTTTGATGTGCGGGGAAAGGTCACGGCGCACATCCCTGTTTGCATGGAGACGGCGCAAGTCTAATTTCAGAAAAGTGTAATGGTTCCACTTGTAATTAGACTCTAAATGCACATTAAATGACCGTTGGAGTATCTCCAGCCTGTTACCTGGTTCAGGACCAGTGGGAAGGGCGAAGGCTGTGCTAGTTTCTCCCAAGGCGGTGGTCATGGGGCAGCACTATGAGCTGAGAGATGGTGAGAGGAAGCCTTCCCAATGGCAGTCCAGGGGCTGGACAGAGGAATTCAAGACCTCTCGGAAAGGAGGCTGTGCTGCTCTCCACTGCGGCGAGCGTGACTGGATAGAGGGGGGAATGGCTTTGATTCTCGCAGCGCTGGTGAATTCAGTGACACCATCTTTGTGCAAGGTGTGCTTAGTCAGCCTCCTACAGTTCGTGAGCTGTACTGATTCAGTATATTTTTGCATACTGTATATTCAAGACAATGCAGATTTTAAACAAGTCCCATTTTCAAAAATGGAAGTAGCATTTGAATCTTAACTCCTCAGTAAGTCCCTAATTACTTAATTATGATAGTGGCTGTGCTGTATATCAATGAAACCCTGACTAAAAAGATTTTTTGCAGTATTAATCACTTTGTGGTTAAAGCCACATTTTGGGGGGGCTGAAACAGGAATTTCTCACTTTCAAATTAAAAAAATAATTTCCCCAATGATCTATTATTCAGAAAGGACCTTACATTTTTCTTATTTAGAGTGAAGAAATTAATCCGTCTCTCAGTGCATATAATGTGACTGAATCTGCATATGTTGTGCTTCTTAGTGGGTGTATCATCCTGTAGATCTTCATCTATTCTGTTTTACAATCTTATTAATGTGTTCATATGTACTGGAGGCACTAGTACTAGGTTAATTTAAACAAATCTAACCTTGACTGGGGCAAAACTACCAAGAATTGTGCAGAGATGAGAAATCGTTAACTAGCTCATCAGCAGTGAGTAAGTATGCCAGGTTCAGCTGCTTTAGTTCCATGAACCTGACTTAGGAAACCATGTACTTAAACAAGTATAAATGTGAAGCTGAACACCTGGCACATGGTCATTACTAATTATTAACTAAAAGTAGAACAGCTCTCCAATCAAGCTAGTAGTCTAAGGTCCCATTAGCCTGATGTATAAGGAGTTGTACTGGGATGAGAACTGGAAGAGAATTCAGGCCAAATCCCTTGATTACTGCGCAGGGATCCCTCCAGTCACTCATTCTGTGGGTAGCTGTGTGGTTTTGGTCTACAGTGGCAGTGCTGGATACAGTGTTTCCCAGAAAAAAATCCACACCATAGCTGCAGTGGAAATGGAAACAGTGACTCTCAAGATAAAAAGTGGTTCTTCGAGTAGAATGGAAAGCAGCCCCTGGGGATGAGATGTCGCCAGTAAATAGCACTTAGCTTCTTAGCTTAGTAAGAAGGGCTTAAATGTAAATGAACTGTACAAACTTAACATGTTCAGTTTGAGTTCCTGCAATGTTGTTAGACTTGCGAAAAGCAAAATGTTTGGTTAGTTTAAAGGAAAGCAAAATTGGTAAATTATGTAACCAGGCTATCGACAGATTCAGGTGATTTGGCCGATTTGGGAGCGTTATAGAATGTGGTAAAATGAAGTGTTTAAACAATTTAGAAGGAAAAAATATGGAATGAAAATAGCTTATTGACTTGCTTTGGCTCATGGTGCATGTTCCAGGGTCGGCGTTGAAGTGGTGCCATTCAGGCCCCTTGGCGGTAATAATAATAATTGCTTACGCTTATATAGCGCTTTTCTGGACACTCCACTCAAAGCGCTTTACAGGTAATGGGGAGCCCCTCCACCACCACCAGTGTGCAGCCCCACCTGGATGATGTGACGGCAGCCATAGTGCGCCAGAAGGCTCCCCACACATCAGCTATCAGTGGGGAGGAGAGCAGAGTAATGTTGCCAATTCATAGAAGGGGATTATTAGGAGGCCATGATTGGTAAGGGCCAATGGGATATTTTGGCCAGGACGCCGGGGTGTAATGAAAATGCTTGTCTCCAGGTGGCGCTCTTTTCCCTGAGGCCCCAGTGCTCTGTTTCTACAGGGATGCAGGGCAGAAGTGTCCCGTGGACAATGAGGTCCTTACCGAGGACCAGCTGTTCCCAGACAACTTTGCCAAGCGGGAGATCCTGTCCCTCACCGTGCGCTGCCCCAACCAGGGCTGCAGCCAGAAGATGGAGCTGCGTCACCTCGAGGTAGGGCTCGACTGCAGCAGGCGGCTTCGTTCCCTTCTGCTTCCTGTCTGGGGGTTTTCGGGGGGTTTCCATTCTGCTGTCTCGTATAAGAGCCTTTAAGTCGCTGTGAATCAAAATCCTTTTTATTGGGTAGAGAACGAAGACCCTAGTCGGCTTAATTCGTCTGCATCCTCAGTTCAAATATTAAATCAACTACACAGCCGTTTTTCAGATCCTCTTTGCTTTGTCCTCCTGTTGTTCGAGGATGTAAAGTTGTATTATAACAAGCTGAACAGATTATTAAACTACCCTAGGCACTAGCCTATGAACCCCAACTCAAAGAGCTTCTCATGTTTCACGTTTAAAATGTTTCTTTACAAATGCAGTCGATAGGATAAAGGCGAAGACAAATGTTAGCTGCTAAAATGACTGGATTTCTTTAGTCTTTTAGCTGCTTTTGGAGCAGTGAGACCTATAGTTGCTTTAACTTTAGGCATGTTGGAGGTAGGAGGCGTTATTTATTAAACCTGCTATCCTTTGAGTTGCCGAAGCAGCGAAAGAGGCTTTCTTGCAAGCAGATTTTGTCTCAAGCTGCGCTTTCTTTTTAATGTGCTACTGGCGCTTTTAAACTTCAAGCTGTTTTTTCAAGAGTTACAAGAAGTCTCAGCATATTTCAGTCATGGCTGTTCAAACCACAATCATGAAAGAATGCATTTGTGTAGTGTCTGTTGGGTGACTGTCAGCAAATTTACATAATGTGTTAACCTTCAGACATTTCTGTAGGTGATTTGGCATTTCAGCATGAGGTTATGGCAGAAGATAATGTAACCAAAGGTAATAAACTGCACAGTAACAGGGAAGCCAAGTTGCCTGGTAAACTTTGACTGGCATTGTGGGTTCAGTGCCGTGCCATTCATGTATATATTCATATTCCAAATAACACTTTTGTATTCAAATTCGTTATGACGAAACTGAACACTGTAATATGTGAGGAGGTTGAGGGTTAGCAAAACCACAACTAAGATATGTAAAGAATCTAAATATGCTGGCTGCATAAATGTTCAACTGTGTGTTGCTGTATGGAATCACCTTTAGCACTAATTACTTCTGTCAGTATTTCTGTATAGGTCTCTAATTAAAGATTTGCATTAGTGACATTTTGCCCTTTTTTTTTCTGCCAGTTCTGAGAAGTTTGTTGGTTACTGTGTCAAGATGGCAATCATTAAGCCTCATCATAAAGTTTGTATTGGATTCAAGTCAGGACTGTGACTGGACCACTCAAATATATTCACTCTCTTGTCAAAGTTGGGAATGCAAGATACTACAGTATTTAGACACATTTGTCACTTTATTGAATCTGAAAATTGCCCATGTACTAAAGTTTTTGTTTACCAAACTGTCATGTGGTGGTGACTTTCTCTGTTTTTTACTGCTGAGCATTCCTGGTTTTGTCCATTATGTGCTTTGTCTATGAAGGGCACAAAGCAACAGTTTGTTTTTATTGTTATTATGAACTTCTTCTTTTATGTTTGTTGCTGACAGGTATTGCTTAAAATGGAAAAATGTTTAAATCTGTTAACTGCACAGTCTGCTGTGGTTTCAAGTAGATTCAATTAATTTGCTTTTTATTGATTATAGGATCATCAATAGCCTGAAGACTTCACTGTGCATTTTCAAATTTGTCTGTCGGTCATGTCTTGCGGAAAGGTGGAACTGTGTGAAACTTATTGTTCCTTTAGAATACAGTACTCTATTTAAGATTGCTGCTATAATTAGGGCACAGCGAACAGCTGCCTCAGGACCCTAAGCCCCTCAAGGTGAGACATCTGTAAATTCTCCAATTCAGGGTAGCAGGGGATCGGAGTCTATCCCAGAAGCAATGGGTGCCAGGATGTTACACCCTGGATGGGACGCCAGTCCGCCACAGAGCACACACATAATAAAATATACTAGAGGTTTTACTCCTGTAGGTGCTACATGATCACCAGTAATTGAGCATCACATAGAAAATGTGTGAAATAGGTATACTGTAGACGTGATTTAGTTGAGGTTATCATGTTGTGCTTTATCAAAAAAGTGACAAATGTGACTCAAAAATTGTGACAGCTGCACATTTTACTTGGTGCATGTCCATTTGAAGCGTCCACACTGTTTTTTAAAGGACAAACTCAAATCTTGAGGAATGTTTTATGGAGAAAGTGTTGAAAAGGTTAACTTTGAATCCCACAGTTCCCTCTTGCCTGGAAACCGCCGGGCGCGTTGGCAGTTGTGGGAAGGGGGGGGCGAGCAGGCGCTGCCCTGGCGCCCCAGTTCTCTGCCCGGCGGTCTGACCGTCTCCGCTGTTCCTGTGCCCATCTCCGCAGGCTCACGTGGCGGAGTGCGTGTTTGCCATGGTGGTCTGTGTGTTGTGCCACATGTCAGTGTGCAAGAGCTACCTGGGGCAGCATGAGGCCCAGGAGTGCCCACGTCGGCTCGTCCCCTGCATGAACTGCGCCTGCCCGGTGGTGTTTGAGGAGAGCAAGGTGAGTGCTGCACTGTGCCAGGGATGGAGGTATTGTGAAAATGATTCGTTACTGCACTTAATGCATGGTGGGAAATTTGGCCAGAAGACCAGGATTACACCCCTACTGTTTTCAAGCAGCCCTGGGATTTTAATGACTATGGAGAGTCAGGTTTTCCATCTCATCGGAAGGATGGAGAAATGTTTGAAGTATAGTGTCCTCGTCACTATACTGGGGCATTAGGACCCACACAGATCGCAGGATGAGCTCCCCCTACTGGCCCCACTAACACCTCTTCCAGCAGCAACCTTAGTTTTTCGCAGGAGGTCTCCCATCCAGGTACTGGCCAGGCTCACACCTGCTGAGCTCCAGTAGGCTGCCAGTGGTGAGCTGAAGCTTGACGCAGCTGAAAGTGAAAGATTGATGTGGTGAAGGTGTGCTCGTATGCAGTGGAGAGGGGAGAGGCAGGTCTGCCTTGTGAGCAGTGGTGCAGAAAGCACAGTGAGCCGTCTGCCATTCGGGATGAGACGCCTAGTGAAAACGGGCTCCATGTCACCCTGAGGGAAGTCTGAAAAGGGGCTGGCGAGCCGATACAGCGACTGTGAGTAGGACGGAAAAGAGGAGAGAAACGTCCCTTGAGTAGAGAAAAAGAACATTGAAGATAGCGGGGAAGAGATCCCTGCTCATCAGGGCTCTGTGAAGACAGGCTTGAGGCGCAGCTCACTGCAGTTGGTGCTGTAGCTCAACTAAATGTCAGAGCACTGAGCTTGAAACAGTCCACTCCTGGAGCAGATAATTGAATTATTGGTCACCTGATTGAAGGAGAGGCTTTCAGGAAACGGGTCCTGTCTGCATCCACTGCTGCTGGCGAAATAGACCACCAGATGGTTCCTGGAAGGTTCTCATGAAGTCTTCCTCATGCGCAAGGCTGGAGAGTTTGTCCTAGATGACCACATCTTTCAGTAAAGTGTGTCCGACTTTCTGTCCCAAATATTATTTTAGTAGCCCCTGGGTCATTGTATCAGGTTTGCTTTCATAGGTTCTTTAAAATTTTCTTGACAGATCAAATATACAGTACTCACTGACATGCAATACTTGTAGACGTATAAAGCTCTTGGGCAATTTCAAATTAAACACTCCTGCGGTGTGTGTCTGAAATTCACGAAATGTAGTGTAATTGCAGTGTTTACTTTCTTGAACTGCTTTTTCTTTTACAGTATCATGAGCAGGAGTGTCCTCTAGCAAATGTAGTGTGTGATTACTGCACTATGGAGCTGATCAGAGACCAGGTAGGTGTGAAGAGATTCCACTCAGTGCTCGTCATTTCACTACCTCCTGATTTTTTTTTTTTTTAAATCCTGGAGGCACCAGGTATCTACTCTGAAAACTGAAGGTCCTTTTAGTACATCTCAAGGTCTATATCATTTTGGGAATTGTCTTAAGAGACAGTGGGCTGAGTTCATAATTATTACAACAGTAGCATTAAGACCAATTAGAAGGGTGAGTGGTTCTGCTACGCATTCTTGTTTTTTAAATCCTTAAGTTAATTTGTCTTCTCTGGCACTGATTTGTGATTTGTCTTCAAGTACAAGTAAGATCCATAGTTCACTGACAAAAGCAGATGTTTCAGTCAGTGGATTCTGATGCACTGACAGCATGTTATTTGCCCTTCAGCTGCAGTATCACTGTGATATGGATTGCCCTAGAGCTCCGGTGGCCTGTACGTTCAGCCCCTTTGGGTGTCCAGAAAAGGTGAGCTCCGCAATCTGGCGTCTCCTGGAGATAACCACGAGTGCTTCTCTGCTTCTGAAGCTGCGCTAGAAAGGGACGAGACAAACCAGGCTCTCCCCGTTATGCAGACGTGGTTTTAACACGGCAACGTGCTGCTGTTTTGCAGATGCAGCGCAGCGACCTGGCCCAGCACATGCAGGAGTTCACCCAGATGCACATGCGCTACATGGCCGATTCCCTGCGCAGCCTCAGCCTGAGCGGCAGCCTGCTGCCCGCTTCGGAGATGCCTGACGCCAACTTCTGCCCCAGCCGGCCCGTGCCCGGCCCCCTGCCGCTCCGGGAGCCCTTGGCGGGGGCGGCCGTGGCTGCGCCGGCCTCCTCGCTGCACTGCGGCTGCTCCGGGTCGCTCCAGCACCTGCGCGAGACCATTCAGCAGCTGGAGGCGCGGCTCGTGCGGCAGGACCACCAGCTGCGGGAGCTGAGCATCCGCACGGAGACGCAGAGCGGGCAGGTGGGCGAACTGAAGAGGCAGGTGCGCTCGCTGGAGGAGAGCGCGCGGGAGCTGGAGGCACAGCAGTGCAACGGCATCTACGTGTGGAAGGTGGAGAACTTCTCCGTCTACCAGCGCAGCCAGGAGGCCGGCCAGCCCGTCGTGATCCACAGCCCGGGCTTCTACACGGGCCGGCCCGGCTACAAGCTGTGCCTGCGCCTCCACCTCCAGACCCCCAGCGCCCCGCGCTGCGCCAACTACATCTCCCTCTTCGTGCACACCATGCAAGGCCAATACGACAGCCAGCTCTCCTGGCCCTTCCAGGGCACCATCCGCCTCGCCATCCTGGACCAGGCGGACGGTAACCACCACACGGAGGTGATGGAGACGAAGCCGGACCTCCTGGCCTTCCAGCGCCCCACCATTCAGCGCAACCCCAAGGGCTTCGGCTACGTCACCTTCATGCACCTGAGCGCCCTGCGGCAGAAGGACTACCTGCGGGACGACACCCTACTGGTGCGCTGCGAGGTCACGCCCCGCTTCGACGTGAGCTGCATCCGGAGAGAGGGTTTCCAGCCCAGGGGCCCCGAGCCCTCGGTGTAATGCCCCGCAGGGGTTCCAGGGGCCGCCGAGATGGCTGAGGGTACGGTGTCGGCAGAGGACACGCCAACGCAGCACGAGAGACTGCCTGCAGCACGGCAGTGGCTTTGATGACGAAACATGCCTCGCAGAGCAGCGTTTCCGAGAGGCGGATAAAAACATACATGTTGTAGAACAAGCTTAGACTGAGCGCTGAATTGAGTTGTCTTTTTTTAAATTAACTGATCCCCTTGCAATGTCTGAAATAAAATCGACTTGGTTATTTCTCTGTGAGATGATAAGGTAGCATTCTCTAAAAGAAGAGTTAAGAATGGAGGGAGCTGACGGGATTATGACAGTGCAGCTCTCTGCACTAACTGCTAGACGATAACTTCCCTAGACAAGCTCTTTGGGTCCTAGAAAGAGACCTGTAAACAGATGGTTCCTGTTACTTGTAACCAGTGTGCTGCTGGATTCCCTACAGACGCCTGGAGCTCAGCCTCTGGAATTCAGATCTCAGAACCTGGAAACCGATACTCTATCTTAAAATCCTCCGTGTAGCACAAGGACTGAATGTTTGAGAAAGTATTTTTTTAATTTATTTTTACCTCCACTATTCTTGTGCCTGGCAAAGGGGCTGAAACTAGAAATACAGAAGAAATGTAATTCTTTCCCAGGGGACCTGGAGTTATTGGAACCCCCTTCTTAAATCCAAATCATCAGAGGATGCTAACAACTGGCCTATCTGTAGCCCTGGCTAGGCCCTGCCCAGTCCTGCTGCAGGAGGGTCTCCTCGCTGGCAGTGCTGGCTCGGACGCATGCCAAGGGGGGGCAGGTTGGTGAGATTCGGGCGAAGGTCTGATGCCTGGTTATCCTATCCGTGATGAATTTGTACACGAGTCACAGGACTGTTTCTCATTTCTACTGTATATGACCTGTTTTGTCTAAGCTGTGGCAGTCAGATCTGAACTCTGTATAACATCTCCATTTTCGATCTAAATTTATTTCCCCGGGAACACCTTATCCAAATCTTGCTCAACAAGACTCTCAATATTCTGCTTAATGCACTTTCAGAAGACTTGTGATCAAAAAGGGACGATAAACACTTCAGCATTTATACAAAGCATATTTTTTATTCACCAGGTTGTTGTAAGCATATAAGAATTTGGGAATTTTTTTTTTTTCTATGAAGCTACGAAGGGAAGAAGTAATGAGTTTCAAATTTGGGTTTAGGAGCTCAGCAAGCATCATTCAAGATGAGTGAAGTTGACACCAGGTTGGTTTCTAAATGCTTGTTCAATACCCATGAGTGGAGATTAATAGAAGGTAATGGGTAGCTGAGGCAGTGTTTTATTTAATCTGTGGTGTACTTTATAAATCAAGTGTTTGTCATTTTTCACATGCTTCAAATGGCATTTTAGAATTCGTAACTGACCATGGAGGAAAACTCACTGAATGCATTTTGCAAGTAGGATATGAATTTCAATATTTAGATGCCAATTTAGCCGACATACTTTATTAATGTGTTGTTACATAAAACCTTAAACCAGTGAGATTAAAATATCACCAGTATTAAGGCCTTGGATACTGTGTAGCTGGCTTCTCCTTTCTTTTTTTACATTGCAGTTGTCTGTGCTGCTGAATAATTTGTTGTAGGAAAAGTTGGAAAATGTTGAATTTGCCATGTGAAACTCCAGATTACTGGCTAAGTGTCATACTGTATGTAGAGAAAACATGACCCAAAATGTTTGAAGAAAGACCTTGATGTAGTAAGAGAGCGAGACCAAAGAGGGGTTGCTTGTGATCTGGAAGTTCGCAAATGAGAAAAAATTGACGAGAAGAGAAACGTGAATGATTTATTCACCACTGATTCGTAGTTGTAAATCAAACCAATTATGAATGTAGATGTGAATGACTTTCCTTCACCTTGTTGCTCTGACTACACTGGCAGATTCTTTTATAGTGATCTAGCAGCTATACTGTACATTTGGTCTTACAGCTGCAGTATGCAGTTCTCTTCACCTTTAGCCTTGCTGCACATCTCAGTGATGGTTATCTGTCCTAATTTCTATAATAAATGTAGCGTATTCCAATGCTTCATATGCAGAATTCTCGTGCATATTGTATTGTTTGTACATGAATTATATAATACAGCAGGTTTAGGCCGAGTCCACAATGGAACAAGGAGTTGGTTACACTGCACTGTGACCAATTTCTTTTTATTCAATCTAGAAATACTGCATTTCTCATTTGTATAGCGGTTCTGTAATGGATTTCAATACCTTTGGTGTTGGTACAGTATATGTATTTGGCCATCTTAAGGATTAATAATTCCATCATTGAAAGCAAGACAAAAGAATTCAAATATAACTGAAACAGGCTGTTATTCTCAAGGGTCTAGAATTGTTCTTATAAATCTGTGTTGTGGTTTTGTGTTCCACCAGACAGCTGGCTGTATTTTGTATCTGCTGCTGTTCTACTGTTGTCTGTCAGTGTAACCTGAGCTGTGATAAAATACACCATATATGTTCTCTTCAGGATGACTAGCCATACATCCTAAGGCTTTCCCCCATTTTCTCAGTGGTAGAGATTCAGTTTTCTGTGACTGAAGTGACGTTATTCTGTTACCCTTAACTGCACCCCAGTTTAATGTCAGGTGGATATCTGAAGCTCAATCAACGCAGTCCTTTTTCCAAGGTAAAATGTTAGCTGGGTTATATGCAGTAAAGGGTCAATATCTGAGCCCGAAGCTCTGCGGTCAGATGTGTAGTTGCTTGAAACAGTAGGAAACAGGGATCCTCCGCTCCAGGCCTTAAGTGCTTCAGGGTTATCAGGATCACATTTCAAGCCATAGTGCTAAACCACAGATTAAATAAGACATTTTCCTTACTGGATCGGTTTCCTTGAGTCTATAGTTACTAGTCTAGTTTCTTGAAAGGGTCCTATCATGCGCTAGATTATGACCCTGACGGACTAAAGCTGAGGATCCCTGGAGCGTTATACATTTCAAGCCCAATAGCTAAGTTACTGAGACAAACGGTCGATCTGCTGGTCAGAATAAGTAGATGTTGCATGTTTTATTAGGCAGGGTGCTTTCAGATTTTTCACCAGTCGGTTTCCCGTTGCGTTCTCATCTCCATTATATTGGTTAACAGTTAAGCTGGCCGCCTCTGTATTGGAAAGGGTTCAGAAGTGAATGAATGGAAATAATTTGAACCTGCTGAGCTACTAGCAGATCAACCAATCTGTTGAGGAAGAGCATGGTTTTCACTAGGGCCTCGTCTGTCACAAACACTAACATTTAGGAGCATCATGCTGTTGACGGCTTCACAGCCTAGTGAGTGCTGACTAGATAAGGAATATGGTGAAAACAGGCATTTCTTTCCGAGAGCCTAACAATAGCCTGTTTCTGTGGCAAAACTGAATGCAGTACAACTTGTTTTTCGCTGACATTTTATAGACCTGTGGGTACAAGGATTTAAGAGGAGATTTATATCATGAATCAACTGAAGGGAACCCTCTTTCGTTCTTATCGGCATTTGCAGGGTATGTTTGTTGCGAAGCTCCCAACGGCTCTGAAAGAGGAAGGGAGAATCTGAGATGGATCCTCTACTCATTACTGAAAAGTAATTTATTTGTTCATATGAGATTTGGGGGGGTGTTCTGGCAAGGCAACCACAGGCACTTTGCCAACCTGTGATGTGTATCCCAAGAAATGATAGTGACACCTGTTGCTACTTCAGTGGAATCTTGCAGCTGGAGAATAAAAGCATCCCCATACCTGCTATTGACCAGCACATCTTGTTTAGATGCTGGAGGTCATTATCCCTTCCTCCCTAGTAGTATTGCTTGGTGCTGCTGAGCTGTCTTCACCTGGTTGGTTCAGATTATCGGATCCTGTTGTTCATGCAGGCAAGCAGATAAAAAAACATGAACCCAGTAATCTCTCTCACTACCTGTCCATTAACCCTGTCAGTTTCCAAGTCATGGGATTTTACCTGCATCTTCTCATGTGACTGTAGATCACTGGGGGGGAGTGTGAAAAGGGTGCACAAAAATCAATTCACTTTGCTAAACAAGCCTGTGGTTGACAGACCAGGGAGCCAAACGTATCAAACCTGTGGCTCTCGCAGTGTGAAATCATCCTCATTCGTGAGAGCTGGAGATCTGATCTATGGAGTCAGTCTATTGAAACTGGGGAGGGAGGGGGATTACCATTCAGAGCAGATTTACTGCCCTCTGCACAGACAGGCTCTGGTGCTGCTGCGTGGGGATATTGGGGTTTGATGTGGACTGTAGTCTGCCCTGCACTGGGCTGGCACTGGATCAGGGCGTGTCCTGCACTAGACTGGCGTTCCACCCCGAGTGAAGTGCTGCCCTGTGCGCACTCCTTTGACATGGCCCCTCCCAGGAATGTGCAGCTTCTGCTTGTAACACTTGACAGCTCTGAGGCTCCGTGTCACATTCATATCACATAGCAGGTCACATGGTGCGTTCTTGCATTTCTTTGTAATCATTGAATGTATATTTGTCAGCTTCAGTTACCTTGCTGTACTAAAGTGAATAAAGCTGCTGGATTTGGTATGTACATGTCTGACGGTGTTTCTTTTTGGTCTTGGAACACAAAAATGACCAATTTGCCCAATTTCAATTTCTGTTTTTGTTCATGGACACCTAACATTAGTTTGCTGCCTATTCTGGTCTATGTTTATCAGTTTCCTAGCAGGTCCCATACAATGTTAGTATTTGAAATACTAAGTGAAGGAGTTGGCATTCTGGTCAGGTGTAAATGATTTATCTTTTAGACATTATTTTCTTGACAGGAAATAAAGATACTTCTGGTGCCATCTTTCACTAGCAGGAAAAGTGTCAGGAAGGAAGTGCAGACCTCGATCGTGTTTGATCGAGCAGGGACTGTTAGTAGAGCTGGTATCCGGACTCCCATTGCTAGAGTAGTCTGTCTCAATGAACAACTCCAGACTGATCAGGAATTTTACAATGATTACTAGAGGTGTAAAAAAGGGATGGATCCAAAATTCTCTCATATCCAGCAGAATAAAGGAGGGATCTGTTCTGGAACGGTCTTGTTCAGCACTGTACAGACCTATTTAAGGACCCGTACGGAGTATTTTACAATATTGCCCTGTCATTGAAAAATGTTACTAGCCTCTTGGCATTCCCTCAGAAGGTTACACAGGTTTTGTCACTGCTAGGATTTCCTACCTAGAATGATCCTTCTACCTTTGTCGTCCTGCTTGAGGAAGAAATGTTCCAATAGAAAATGTTAAAAAATAAAAACTTGAAAATGCTACTTCAGGAAAGCTCTATGTGGTGATGTGGCAGAATGTGCCAATATCCCAGGTATATGAACAGATGATGGCAAACCTCTTGCCCAGGGAACTGAAACTCAGTAAGGTCTCTTGCACAGTTCAGAACACATGGGTTTTGGGAAGTGACCCACCTACAAATTCTTTTTCAGCTGACGCATAAGAACAAGATGTTTGTGACGGCAATAAATGGAGGAAAACAGCTGAAAACATGTAGCATCAGCCAAGAAAATGAGTCCAAAGCAGAGCAAAGAACGTCCAACACTGAGGACAAACCATTATGTAACATCCAGTATGAGGGACAACATTCATTCCAAATTCTGGCTCGGTCACTATGGATAATTTCCTTTTCAAGCAGTATTCTCAAAGTATACAGGACAAGCACTAACCTGCATTTTCTCCCATATTGTGCACATTGAGACCTGTGCATCTTTACATCTTTGTCCATGTGAAGAAAAAGCTTCTCACCTGGTTCAAGTTCAAAGTGTTGCAGGAAGTAGAGAAGTAAACTGAATTATGTGGTACTAACCTCAGACCCCCCAGAGAAAGACTGAAGGAAGACTGATACCCAGATAACAGAATCGAGCATTCCTTGGTGTCAAAAGATTGGCTATAGAAGATCTGAGATCAGCTGAATGATCATCAGGTATTGCTCTTGTCCCCTTACAAGCCTTATGAAATACAGCTTTAGCATAAACTGAGGAAAAGGTATCCCTGTGTCCTCAAGATCTTCCACATTACAGGATCTATTGAATGGAAAAATACAGAAATATCAAAACAGAGCAGGACAAAGGCTGTGTGGATCCCTGGAGCAGGACTGTTGTATTATTACATAAAAGAGTAATGCAGTTTATTGTGACAGGGAAAATAAACCAGTTTATTTGGACTGAGAATCTTTCAAACAGACTGGTAGTACCAGAGAAAGCTCCTGCACTGGTCCTCCATGACAGATCAAAGTAAAAATTCCTGACTGAGAGCCAAATGTACCAGAATGCCTAATTAATCCCACTAGGCTCTGAAATAATTGCAGTCCATTTCCATGCTATTCTTTTTTAGAGGTTCAGCTGAGGTTGCAATGAGGACAGTAGTGGGGGGGCTGAACTGGACAGTCCGCTAGCCTACTGGTTTTCAAGAGGAGTTAGACCTGTGGAGTGATCTGTCTGGGAAAGACAGTGGGGGTCTGTCCTATGGACCCCCAGCTAGATGTACACTGCATACCAGATAATCTGCTGGGTGGGTGAATACTTTAGTCAATGCATACACTGTCTCACAGCTCTGTTATAAGAGCAATGCAAAACCCCTCCTGATTGTATCAAAGTGTCTTAGGAAATCGATTTAAACTGGTTGTGTAAGTCAACTGGGTCTTACTAATTAGATATTCAGATTTCATCAAAAAAAATTGCTTATTTCAAGTAAATTTCATTTGATAAAACTCCTTTCATGAGCTGTTAGATGGTTGTTGCAATGCCTGATTTGTGCTTATGGTGATTTTATTAAAAATAAATTTAACATTTAAAAGTAAAAAAGAAAAGTTAATTTTCAGTGTGCACACAGCTGGTTGGAATGGGTCTGGTACCAGCTGGTGTGGATTAGCAGCTGTCTGGTCCTCAAATGCCATGTAACTGGAATCACATGTGAATTAGACTATCTGACTCAACCCCAGCAAGCCAAAATGGAAAACTTTACTGTACTGAGCCCGAGTGCCTGGGGCGTATTTTCTTCTTTTCCATTAGTGTATTCTACACTCCCCTGTCTTCTGCTTGAATTCAATGTATGAGTTGCAGTTTTCATAATGTTAAAAGACAGCCATTCAAAAACCTATACAGAAGGAACATGCACTGTGCACTATAATGTTACAAGGCTGTACACCTCCAGGCTTTGTGCTCCAGTACAAACTGATAGCAGTGTGCAGGGTGTTGCACTGAAGTTTATTTTCTGGCTTGCATGCATTTTCTAAGATGGCCTTGTCTGTCCGTTATTTGTAGAAGTCTCTGGTGTTCGCGACTGTCTCCAGTGTCAAGTCGAGCTCAGCTCACTTCAGGAAACTTTTAATTCAGACCATGCAACGCAATTGGTAGGAAACTCAGACACTGAGATCACATCCTATTTTCCTAAAACTGTTACAGTATATATAAAAATACAAAAATCACAATAAATTAAGTTCATCATGAGTTCCCCTCTGGCAAGCTGTGGTTTTTACAAATGGATCAAAGAGACTCAGCTTCTTTGCCCATTAACAAGATTCATGCTAAAGATATTTGATTGAGGAAACAAAAATAAAACCAGCCTCAGTCTCCTGTTCAACCTCAACTCGAACACCTGAACTGTAAGTGAGACCTGAAAAGGAAATGAATGTCAATGCGGGGAGCCAGGCAATAATGAAAATCGTTACCAGACCATGTCGTAACTCCCAATCCATTAATCCGTCAGTGATCAGTTTCAGCAGGTCCTTGGATCAACTAGCTATCGGACATAAGATAAAAATCAGAAGCCGAGAGGCCTCAACGTCTGTGTGATGCTCCTATTTGCCCTTAGAATTCTGTCTGTGTTTCAAGACCCTGGCTTGCTGTTTAGCTGGCCATGAGCTAGCTGGGTAGAGCACAGCTCAGTTCCGAGGAGCCTTGCAGTGACATCATGACCATGCTCCCTGGAGACTCTCCGATGTGGGGCTCGCTGATGAAGTGCCGTGGCCCCATAGCACTCTCTTCCACCATCCCAGAATGCATCATGGTTGCCACGGTGAGCAGCTGCAAGTCAGAATGTGCATTGGCGACAGTGTGCCTGCGGACACCGCCCACCTTCTCCAGGTACGCCTCTCCCTCCTGTTCCACTAGTGGTGCCAGCAAGGAATCTGGGGCATGCTGGGTGACCATAATCTCTGGTCCATAGTGCATCAAGCTCCCAGCCTTGTGGCGTGGTGCCCGTCCTTCTGAAACACAACACATACATCCAGTAGACATGACACCATGCGGTGCTCTCCAGGAGAGGACAGACTGGAACGGAATACCACTTCAGAATAAACTGTATATTTTTTAAGCTACAGTAGCTCACAAAATTAATACAAATAAATAATCATACTAACGAAAGAAGCAAAAGCATGTGTTTACTCTCACCACTTCCATCCGAAGGCCTTTATTTACTTTTAGAATACTTCTGTTGAAGGACTGAGGTCAAGCGTTAGGCGTGACCAGGGCCACAAATAAAGCACCAGGCAGGGCAGGTGAGGAGCAAGGTGAAAGATCAGCAAGTGGCCTGAGCAGAGGTGTAGATTCAGTTACAAGTTTAAACCTGCTCACCTGTTACAGTTTAATACAAATCAACATTGTATCATGTTTTTGTATATGGCAAGTCTCCTCTTACAAAATAGAGTATTTTAAAATACTCTTGCAGAATTCCACCCTTCAATCAGCTGGACCAGAAACCCCATAATGAATATAAATAATCCCCTATAACTGTTTATATCATCTTAACTTCACAGCTCTAGGATTTACACCTACAGTATGTCTTTGCTGCCAGGCAAAGCATACAATTTCTTGGCAAAGGCAGAAAAAGCATTGTGTATATCTGTGCTGAAAGGCAGCAGTGCTTACCCAGAAAGCTGGCAGCCCGGCTCTTCTCCAGGTAGTTTCCCAAGTATGGCGACACCACCAGTCCCACCAGTTTCTCCAGCTGGCAGTACTCATGGCTGGGGCCGCTGGGCTCATGGGTGCCCTGAAAGGGAAGAGCGACCTAATCGACTGATCATCATTCATTCACTCATGTGCATCGCTAAAACTGTACAGTATACCATACTGCAGCTCCTGCACCTTTCATATCATATTCAGCTTGGCTGTTCCCTCTACAAGTGTGAAGATGTGCAGTGGGACTTGAATGACCTCCTGGGTTAAACCCTTATCCTCTTAGTCTTTGAAAGTAAAGACTAAAACACAACCCCAGCAGCTAGATTCCCAGTGGGAGACCAGGCCGGTTCCTTTCTCCCATCTAAGGCCCTCTGACACAAACCGTGTGCGCACGGGCAGTTCCCCTCACCTGAAGGATAAGCAGCATCTGTGTGATGGCAGGGGGAGTCTGGGCCTCCACGCTGGGAAGCAGCTCCTCCAAGGGCAGCTTCAGCAGCACAAGGTCCCTGAAGCCCAGCAGAGCCATCTGTCTGACTGTCAGCTCCTGGCCCTGCATCACGTCAGACACAGAAAGGAAATGAGGAAATAAAACAGTGTGAAAACAGCAGACTTCCTCTTTGCAGTTTCCTGGACATCTACAGCAACAATCTTGCGTCTGCTCGAAAAACAACCCGCAACTGCTTGACTGGAGTTTCCATGGAACCAAATATTTCACTGGCCAGTTAAATCATTTCTGAAGTGTAGGTACTGTATTTCCCTGTTCGAGATGAGGAGAAGTGGCAGGAGACCTTATGGAAGTTTTAAATACTTGTGGAGAGTATCTGTTTAATTACAGAACAGACCACCCTGTGCAACAATGTGCACGAAACACCTAACAGCAAAGAGTTTGGGGAAATGTCTGTAAAAGCCAGGAGGAATGGAGATGTGTACAATATTAGTTAATTATTTGGCTCACACACATATGCAAAGCTACTTGTACCCATTTTACATCCGAGCATTATCCTGGAGATACCCGAGTACTGTATGTCATCTTGCTCAAGGGTACAGTCAGAGCCTCTCCCCAGGATTTGAACCCACATCCTTTTGGTCTGGAATTCAGAGCCCTAAACCCTAACCTCGCCTCCACACCCCTAGCTCTTCAACTGTAAGGTGGATACAAACAGGTCATTGACTGAAAAACCAAATACTGAGGGGAAAGCAAAGCACGAATAGAAGAACTGAAGTAATGAAGACACATTGACCATTTATATCAAAAATGTTTTTTGCATCCTGCGCAACTTGTGAAGCGAGACGAAAGGAACAATTTATCGTCAGAAGCAGAGTGATACTTCGGTTTCTCATTAACTGCTGCCGGTCACCTGGACTGGATAGAAGATGGCCTGCAGAGTGGGCAGAATCTCTGTGAAGAAGCGGTCCCACATCTCGGAAAGAATAAGAAGCTGGCTGTCACCTGCAAGCGACACAATCAGAGACAAAAGAGGCTCATACACACAGGCATCGGAGAGGCAAAACAGGGACCAATCCAACTTGACGCTACGGCTTTGACGCCTGGCCCTTGAAGTGGGGAGCACTAGCTGAAAGTTCTCGGAGCGGTCTGGGAAGATCTGGGAAGTTGTCTTTTAAAATGTTCTTCAAATATCCTTTTACACCCTTTATATTTGGTTTCTGAGTCCTTATATCATTTAGTAGTTTTCCAGTGGATAAGCAGCACTTGTGCACGAAACTGCAGCTCATACAACATGAATATGATTAAGCTGCCACACAGTGGGAATCTGTAAGACTTCTCTTTGCCAACAAGGAGCTGTAGGGCAGGGGATTGTAGTGGATTACCACAGTACCACAGCTTGAAGTCACATTTCATTTGAGCACCCTTACAGTTTGTAACTTTTCACTCCTCTCCCCTGGTGTACAGTGTTTTCCATGGCTTTGGAGAAAACAATGTGATACAGGATCAAAGCATTATGGTGCTCCTGCTGTTTTTGTATATTCGCTCTCAGTTGCCAGACTTAGAAGCTAGGTACCTGCCTGGAAGTCTCTAGGAGAGCAGGAGAGCACTGCCCATATAGCACTGTTGATCCCTGTAATGACCTGTCATGGTTCCCTTTGAAACACCAACACAAAAGAAAATATTTTCAAAATGGCAACTTGTAAAGGTGGGGGCAGATGGAAAACTCCATGAAAATCTCAGGTTAAGTGCAGGCCTGGGTCTCGAGTGATTTGACTGTGGCAGCACAGGATTTAGTGGTCACTGACATTTCTGTGCAATAAAGAAAGTGCAGTGAAGACTGCCAGGGTGCTAACACTGAGCAAATGCCTTCAGCCCTGAAACACTGACTGGTCTCACCAGCTTGTTTTTTTAACTTTTTGAAGCTGCTGTTATCCGCATGACCAACATTGTAAGGAACGGGTGGTCAAAGAGTACCGCCCTGATTTGACAAGCATTTTTTTGTGTTTCAGTGATGCAGTTAAGTTCACACCTGATCTGTTCTTCTCAGTATCCTTCCCTGAATTTAGCTTTTTTGCCTTTTTGGTTTCAATTTATACCCAGGCATTAGGCATTGATCATCCATGTGGAAGTGCAGCTTGTTTGGAACTGAGACAAGATGAAGGAATTTCATTCTTCCTGACTGAAGCATTTCGGGAGCTGCATTACCTTCATAAAGCTGGATCTTCTCTGCAATGTACACCAGCCCTTTGTTAAGGAGTTGATTCTGTAAAAGAAACAGACTTTCAGATTCTCCAATCAGTCTTGCAGAGGTGCCATCATTATCTATCAGTGCAGAGTGCTGCCTCTTCCCGAAACACAGAGAGCTCACTGTAAGTCCTACCTGCCATCCTCACTGTTTTTAGTTTAGGTACGTAGACTTTTCAAAAGTTGTGCCGCAACTTGGGATAGGGTGCTAAAAAGATATTTAACGCTTTTCAAAGGTATTCAGTTACTGGCAATTTTAATAAGACTTAGAAACCAAAGGAGTCAATGACTGCAATCTCTGAGCTAAAGCCTTGCAGATTATTTTTATGTCCACATTTAGTAATGGTAATGGATGGTAATGTGAACAAAAGGGCTGAATTTATGGTCTAGGAGTTTGGAAAAACAACTATAAATACAGTAATAAAGAGCATGTATGAGAATCTAGAAATGAAAAAAATAGCAATTAATAAAATGAGGTGAAAAAGAGTTGAGTCTCTTTTTAAACACAGTGAATATACAGGTTTTTTTAAAAGAAAAAAGTTTTTTATGTTGTATGCAAGATATGAATGCTTTTTAATCATTCAGTTCAGAACATTCCAGTTAAAAGTGTCCATCTTCAGCTGTTTAGAAAGGAAGGAATAAGTTGAAATAAATATATTATATATGTTATATAAATATATGTTAACTCTCAAAAATGTAACGAGTCACAAGTCGACAATATCTACAAGATACCAAGAGGGATATACTGTAGGTATATCCTCATACATTTTGTATTAAATCATAAAGGCATGCACTGAAAATGATATGTGTGGTGCTATACAGAACTATGTTAACCAATGTGTAAGTGATCCTGTCCATGCATACAGCAGTCTGACTCATTTGTGACAGGGTACATGGTGGAAGGCATTGCTTGTTCAGTTTAACCTGAGTCTCAGAATGTTGCTCCTCGATGTCTACAGTTCACAGACAACCCACTCATCTTCTGGAGATGCATCTGCACACCATCAGATGTGACATCAAGGTGTGACTCAGAGTGACGCAAGAATATTGCCGGCCAGTTATCAAGCCAGCTTTTAAGATCAGCTGTGAAGATGGCTGTAAAACACGCTTGGAAGGAAGAAACTACCTGAAAATACTCAGTGATGAAGGAGCCCAGCTCTGTCTTCAAAAGCCACCTGGAGAGGAAGAAAACACAAATAACATCACTGGCACTGAAAACATCCATACCAGACACACTGCTGAAGGCTAGAAGTCAGCAAGCCCTCCTGTAGAAAATGTAACACACAGTAGTGACCGATATTCCAAACCACACATACTGTATGGGGAAAAAGAACCTCTGTCGTGGCTCTCAGCAAAAAAAGGATTGGGGACAGAAAAATGTCTGCTGGAGATTCCTGTGCTTAGTCAGATGTATTAAAATACCAGCCACTATGCAGACACAAATAGCAGAACGTCACATTAATAATAAGGAAACAGCTCCATTTTATTTTATGGGTCACCTGTAAGCTACTGTATGTCTTACTGCTTTGTTACTGAAACAGCTTGTTGAGTGCAGGATTTCTCTCCTCTCTCCTCTCAGGGCAGCACTGCAGGCCAGCTGACAGGCTGGCAAGCAGCTGCACAAGCTGGCACGGTCACAGCAAGACAGGAAGAGGAAGAGGTTCTCTCTCACCTGATGCTCTCGTTCAGGGAGAAGAGCTCGTTGGACTGCAGCCCCCCACCCTGGAACACCTTGATCACGGCCGAGTGGACACTGCCAAAAGAAAGGCACCGTTTCAGACAGAGGAGCCTGCAGAGCAGGAGACAGGAGAAGTCAAGACCCACAGAGGATCTCGCCGAGCTACTGTATAGTCATTATATGCGGTTTTGTTATGACACACTGTATCTTGCAAGGATTCGTCAGCTGTTCTTTGTTCTTTTTCTTGAGCCAGCTTGTCGATACAGCAGAATTTTCATATCAGATTGAGATTTTTTAAAAAGCATTTAACTGTTTGCCGTCATGTGACCAAAAGTATAACAGCGACACTTCCTTGCCTGTATTGGCTTGGCCTACATGACGCACGAGGCCAGGCTAGCACATGCTGCTGTGTTTGTGTCTGATCTGCGTGGTGCTGGGCATTGCCTGCAAAGACCAAGCATTTTAATTGACAGGGTTGCGTTTGTTCAATTATAATTCTCTAAATTGTAAGTGGGCGATGAGGCTTCATGTAGCATTCTCCTTGATTGTACCCTGTCACTCTGTTGTGTGCTCTAGAGCATCTGCTCAGTTGCACAAGCATGCAGTGCAGTTGGGAACAAAGTGTATGAGACATCAGATAAGATTTTGCTTCAGGTTTTGCGTAATTCTTTTGTGTGGATACCAGGAAATCAGTCATCACACTGAAACAGACTTGGCATTTATACTTGAACTTCTACAGTTCCAACTGTCCTTATTTGCTGCAGTAGAGGTATCACCTATTCCTTGATTTTGGTGTGCTGAATACAGTTTCAGTATTTTAATGAGGTTTACCTGATGCAGTATTAAAAACTGTTTCAAATGACCTGCATCATAATTGAGGTTACAGAATGTTACATAAAAGGGGCATCCAACACTCTCAATAAATGTTCCCCATTTTAAATGAACGATACAAGAAAAATGTTTATTAAATGCAGCGGAGGCAGGGGGAAAAGAAGGAGGTTTCTTTTTTTAAAACATACAGTATATGGGTTGCTTCCAAGCCTCCAAGTTGCTTCTAAGAGGCTTTTATCAAGAACAGTGTGGATAATATCTACAAGCAAACACTCAAGGAGACAGGAAAATCACAGTGCATTAAACTGCAAAAGCATGCACTGAAAGCATTAAACTAGAAACCATATGAGGCCCAATACAGTGTTTCACAGATCTATATGGATGTGTTCTGGTATACAGCAGTATATACAGGAGCTTTTTTCAGTTCGGGAAGACTGAGTGGAAAGCGATGCCCACTGTCCGTGGCACAGCGGTGGTGCCCGCAGAGCGACGATGAGATCGCGATCCCGGACAGTCCAGTAGAGGAGCCGGCTCAGCTCCAGGAGGAGAAAGTTCAGTATTCTCTACCACATCCTTCTGGCACCTGGGAGGCCTGATCGTTTCCCTGTCTGCCCCAACCCCCAGAACATCCTGCCAGTCCAGGCGCCTTCCCCGCAATGGCAGGAGGTGGAGAGGTAGAATGTGTCTGACACATTTCCATCCGGAAAGGGGAGATTTCAGTGCTGTGAAAACAGCTGGATCAACAGAATTCTTTGCTCACATTCTTTCAGCGTTGGGCATGGTGACAATCTTTGCTGTTGGCCAGGCTGCAAGACGAGGAGTTTAGACCTATTTTCCTGTTATTTGCTTCTTGCACTCCCAGCTACCAAACATGTGGGCTATTCCAACTGTCATCAACAGGTATTGGAACAGGACAATTCTGCTCAGGGCTCTGCCCACCTTTGCTTTTCTGTTTCTGTTATAGGAAATTTTCGATTACCATAAAACCATTTGCTTATTTTGTAGATCGCAAAGTGCCGAAGCTCAAAGCCTGTTAGTGTGATCTGTATTAGTAACTAATCAAGCTGACAATAAAGCTCAAGAGCAGATGTTCAACAGTCAATGGAGGTACTGAAGCACTTAACTGTGACATGCTCATAACATCAATGTTTTTAATTAGTCATTTCAAACCCTATAATCAGATGCTAATGAGCGTACTCTATTCTTGAAACTCTTCCACTCTGATACACCTGTCATTGGGTCTGCAGAGTTGCTGAGTCTGACTGTATGATATCAAAATAGCCCATGGGTAGCCGTGTTGATAAAAATAGATCAGTTCATTTTACTAATAAAATTTGCATGTTTTTCATTATTTTCATGAAACTACCATTTAAGCACCTTCTTGTTTTATAAACACAGGCAGATATGTAGCATGACACTTGTTTTTTGTTCAGATGTGTAGCCTCATCTAGCTTCTCAAACAGCCTTCTCGTTTCTGAGGAAATGTGTTGTGTGAGCAACACTGGAGATCAAAGTCTGTCCCCTCTCAATCCCATTCTGTTCCTGACTGTCTCCACTGGCAGAGCGCACAGGGCACCAGCAGAGACGCTTCACATCCTGTTCCTTGTTTTTCTAGCATGTCAAGGCTATTTTAGTGGAATTCACACATCGTGGGCAAATGAGGACTTTTTTTGGAGACCTGTAATCAAAAAGTCAATAAGATAAAATAGCAACCTTCTTGAAATTTATTTTTTAAAATTGGACAGGGACATGATACATTTTTCACCTCACAAGGAGGTGCCGGGTGGGAAGACGGCTGCAAAATGAGGGGTACCAGACCCGATCCCCCACACAACTCCAGCACAGGGTAAAACAACAGCTGTAAGGTCTGTCAGACAGTCCCCTGTAGCTTTAGATGGATTCATATGAGGACATTTCTGTGGCAACTGAACTACTTTGAAACACCCACTTCAATTAGAAAACTCTTGTTCCCTACATTCAGAAATTGCTCCACTGAAGTTATATCTAAAGTCAATGTATAAAACAAAAAAAAAATCCTAAGATTTCACAATTTCACTCAGCACCAGTCCCTCCTGGGTGTCTGTGCAATGCTTCACTTACAAAGTTATTTACCATTTTGTCTGCTTAGCGTGGTGAAAACAGGTTCAGAGAAAACATGTTGTTTAGAGCTGATCAAGAGGAAATAAAAAGAGGAAGAACATCGATGATAAACTGAAATAACCATTGAGCTGACCTCTTTTATACAATGGGAGTGGCAGTAACACAGAGGCAAACAACTGCTCCTGTGAGGCAACAACACGACCTCAAGGGTCAAGGCTCGGCAGGGTCTAGAACACGGGTCCGTCTGACCCGAAGGCTGTAATACAGGGGTTCCCAACCCCATTCCCGGCCCCTGGTGTTCATTCCAGCCTGCCCTCATTCCATCACTGAGGCCGTGCTTGATACAAGAGGTTGTATTATTGGGATAACAGTGTTATGGTTCTAGTCACAACTCTGGGATTTTATTTCGCTTGCAGACATGTTTTAGAGCTGGGAACAAACACTTCACACTGACCTTATTCTTACCGAGTCAACGAAGGCTCTGAGTGTGTAACTGAGGGCACGGGGGGAACAGGGTGTGGGCCCCTGCTGTAGACATGGGGGTGCAGGCTGGCATTGCCACTGGATGTAGCTTCTCGGTCTGGGCCTTATTTGCCACAATTTTTTCCCACTTCCTAAAGTTTACATAGTTTAGTTTAAATGTGGTAATATTAAAAAACCCAGGAAAAATTACCGAAGACTACCGAACTACTGCAGGGATATACAGTATTCACAGTATTTGGACTGGCCTTTACTGCTTTCTTACAAGGTACTGAAAAAACATAGGCTTACTGAATGTGGTCATTGTCCAACTTCTATAAATTAGATTTGTGAATCTTTAGAGGAGATTTCTTTAACAGCAGCCAACGGAAATATTCGTGGATAACAATCACATACCTAGCAGGGTGCAGATGGTTTTCAGTTTACTTTGTAATAAATTTCCACAGAACTTAAAAAAAAAACTCAGATTTGGATGGTGTGCTACAGAACCACTTTGAAATACCTGTAACATCACGACCCTGCAAGGCCGTAACAGCATCTGATATCGCATTTCCCCACAGGTGAGATAAGGGACCCTAAACTGTTTATCTGTAAACAAATGCCGTTCTACTGCATGCTATGCAAATAGAAAACAAGACAGTGTGATGACAGTCTGTGCTGTTTTGAATTGGAAGTTATTTAGGCAAATCCAGAAGAGCTTCAGATTTCAAAACCGATGACGTTAACCCACGTGTGCCAAGTGTGAACTGTTCATGGGCCAGAGGGGCTCCCCGAGTTTGTCACCCTTCAGTTTGGACCCCCACTATAGCCCCAGCTCCCCGGGGGGGAGGACTGTGCCCACTCTCCTGCAAAGCCACACGTCATCAAGCCACTGGGGGTCTTCCAGCACTGGGCCCCAGCTGGCTCACAGCAGTGCATGCCACGCTGGCAGCACCAGCTCCGGGGCGCCTGGCCAGCCAGCCATCACAGTCATATGCCAAGCTGAGAATACCCCAGCCAGCTCAAACCAGTCCTGGTGACACTGGGCCAAGCGTGTGACCACTGTGGGTATCCCTGTCACAGTCAGAGAACCAGGAAAACGGCCCAGGCTCTCTGCAGGAGCTCCTGCACTGGCTGAGCAGAAAGACGAAAGCAGAGAGGTACACTAGACCCCAATGTCATTCAGCTGGGTCTGAAACAGCATTATCTCTGGTCTTCAGGCAAAATACAGCCCATCAAAAGCATAACAACAAGACTACTGGTCTGCTGTGTGTTCTCTGTGATCCTACTCATTTTATTTTAAAAAAAGACGGTAATAAAAAATGAGAAATCCATTTTAAAATATTTTTTTTTTGTTTAACAATTTAATTTACAGAAGTGCAGGTATGAATATGTCACTTTGCAACTATTAATGCACTGCAAGGAGATTCTTCCAGCTGTAAGTCTGTGATTCCATACTGAAAAATAACCACTTCACAAAAAAAGCATGTGTGAGCAAGTTAATGGATATGATTAACTATTCCATTTTACTTCTGTATAATTAGCTGCTGTCTCCTTTGTCAGGAAAACAATGGATTAAAAAAGGCTTCAAAATTATATCTGTTAGGTTCTGTTTGTGTTTTATATCTAAGACTACAATAGCTCTATTATGCTTTTCGCTAACAAAAAGGCGTTTCACATTACAATTGCAATAAATACCCTACTGAAAGAATGGAGACACAGGCTTTCTTCTATGTTGCAATTTTACAAAGGGGACTTAAAGTTGACTTGCTTGTTAATTACCGCCTGCACAGATATTTGATTTTACTAGTTGGGTTTTAATAAATACAATGTATTTTTCTCCATCCATGAACCAGTAGTTTTGAGAGTATTTTGATCTGATAAAGCCATATTCCTACTGTGTAATGTATTTCAGAGTTTGCATGTTCTCCCCAGGTCTGTGTGGGTTTCCTTCCACAGTGCAAAATCATGCTGGTAGGACAGTTGGCTTCTGGGAACATTGGAGTGTGAGTGTGTGTGTCTGTGTCCGTGTCTGTGTGTAGCCTGCCATGGACTGGTGTCCCACCCAGGGTGTGTCTTGCCAGGAGAGGCTTCGGCTCTCCTGCGATCCTATATTGGATAAAGTGGTTAGAATGGATAGATGGATAATGTATAAATTCTTTTTTTAAATAAAATAAAATTCTGCCACCAAGAAAAGCTGCAACTCAATATGCAATACTGCTGCTAGGTTGTGTGTGGCTCACGTGACACTTCTGTAAGACCCGCTGGAAGAACTGCCACGGGGAGCTCAGCAGTGGAGGCCTCCTACCTGTTCCACATGGTGGCGTTGCTGAGCTGGACCGCCTGGCTGCTGGCGTGGAACCGGGGCAGGTCCGTCAGAACCGGGGAGCTCATGAAGCGGGGCCGGGGCCGGCGGAAGGAGCCCATCTTCTCAGACGAGGCGGCAAGCCAGCGGAAATCAGCCGGGACCGGGACCACACAGGCCAGGCCAGCTGGGATCACAGGAGACAGAGGAAAGAATGGAAATCGAGCCTCTCAGGAACAACCGCTACACAAACAGGAAGACGGGTACAGAGAGCTCTTTCTCCATTGCTACAAATCACAGCTCCAGTCCTTGTAATATTGTTCCATCCATCTTTTTTCCAACTGCTTGATCCAATTCAGGGTCGCTGGGGAGCCGGAGTCTATCCCAGCAGGCAACGGGTTTTTGGATTGTAGGAGGAAACCCACTTGAACACGGGGAGAACATACAAACACCACACAGACACCACCCCTGGAATTGAAACCAGGGCCCCAGTGCTACAGCAATGCTCACCATTGCGCCTCTCCGGCACCCTAAAATATTATTGAATAAGCAAAATAAAAATGATCTCATTTTGAACGTTTAATGAACAAAAATCTCAATTATTCAATAAAGCATCAAAGGCAAACTGGAAATCTGCTTTAAACCAACAGATCTGTGGCACTAAATTAATGGGTATAAAACAAACCGCCCCTTGAGGATAATAAAGACTCTCAATCTCTTTCTGAATATGGAAATCCAAGCAAATACAGATAACAGAATTAAACAAAGGAAAAATCCAGAACTGAAATGCAAAAAGTACTAGCAGGAACAACTTGTTTTACAGTTCTAATAGTGAGTTTTCTTGTTCCTCCCTGAAATTACTTCTTGGTATGGTATTTATGGTTTTAATTCTAGAGCAAGGAAATATTTGCAGTCCCAGTGTATGATACTTTGCAACATGACTGTTAAATTGATTATGTTAAGTAATTTATATATACGACATGTAACTCAAGAACAGTTCTAAATGAAAGACAGCCTTTCAGACTGTCAAGCTCATTTGGTTTTTCAGTACCTTAATGATTCAAAGATCTCATGTTCAACATTATGGCTGGGCGGCCTGTTTCAGACTTTCAAGACCCTTTGTGCAAAGAAGTTCCTGTCCTGTTTTAATTACAATTATTAATAATTCCTTAACAGTTGCTGAGTCTAGGTGTCTTGGAATTCTAACACATTTTAAGAACAAGGGTTATGTTTGTAAAGACATGAATAACATGAATGAAATGAATGTAGAAACATTTATATCTTATTGTGTTTTGGATGACACAAAGAAAACATTTAACAAATATAATAAAATATATAAAATCAAATTAAACTTATTATAAAACACTGACCAAAGGTTCCTACTTCTTACTGCACAGGGATTTTTGAGTCTGGATCCGCAGTTAAAAGCCTTTCTGGGTTATGTCTACAAAAAACAGGCATGGCTGCAAGAGTGCAGCTAATAGAAAAAATGTGATACTGAGCAAAATAAAGTACAGTATATTAAATTACACAGACAAGACTGGGTTTGCTTACTGACATACTTTTATCCATGAAAAAAATATTTGCATAGAACAACAGAACCACCCGTTATCAATGTGGTGAAACTGCTGATAACAGACCACACAGTTTTTATCCATACGACGTTTTACTTAACCGAACATTTGTAATATTCCTATATTACAGTAACATCTCAAAGAATGTGAAAAAGTACTTAAAATAATATCACACCTCAAGGCAGAGGCAGTTTTAAAACCTCAAAAGATAATTTTCATCAGTCTAACTGCTACCTGTTCTTCATGAGAAAGTACGCTCAGTAATTCTGAAACCACTGAGCATGCACTGTTATAGGCTGCAACTGAATCTGCATAAGTGCTTCCTGTAAAACCAACTAAAACTGAAACCTGTTCATAACCAAGTACCCCAGCTCACAATCTGCCTGCAGCTTATAAACAAGGCAGGACCAGGACTGATATGGACAGGCCTTTAAGAGAAGCACGATGCGTGGCTTTCCGAGAGCTGAAATAAACCAGGCTACAGTTTACCCTCTAAAAACAATGTAATCAGTTTAATCAACATTCATTCAAATTGGATCATTTCCATGGTGCAAGGACTGTTTTTTTTTAAAAAGGGATGACGGGGGTGGCAGTTATTGCATTTCAGTTTAGAATCCAGTCATTTTGTCTTTAGACACCTACGTGTTAGCTCCTGAATAAATGCCACCAGATGCTGGTGATCTGTGTAAAAGATGCAGTGAAAGTCCTACAGCACCTCTTACCCTGCCAACCACCACACTGGTGAGCAGCACCTCACCGCCCTGACTTATCGCCACCTCCCTTGGCGCACATGTGCATGATAAACAGGAAGAGGCGCTCGGCACTCTGACATCAAAGGCCCGTGTGTCAGTGCTGACTCAGTGCTAACCGCACCACACGGGCCACTCGGTGCGCTCTCCTGCTGTCAGGCCAGGGCTCACAGCTCACAGCGAGCCTGAGCAGCCTCCCGCCCACCCACAGCACCACACACCCATGTAGCTGTGCGCTTTCACATGCGTCAACACAGACTACACAGCGCACTGAGAAGTGTGAGCAGGCAGTTAGAGGGCCATGAAAACCATGGGATGCAAACAACTTCTGAATTTATACTCCTGCAAGCTGATGAAAGATCTTTATTACAAAGGGGAAAAACAGTTTGAGACCACACTCCTGAGCACAAAATGACACAGTCAGATTCCCTAATGCATGCATGGCTCTTTTCAAACTCTTTGTATAGCAGGTGCATAGCAAGCATAGCAGGTGAAGAGCAGAGTGGATTTTTAAAACCATTTTAGTACATTTTCATCCAACTTTTAAAAGCTGAACCTCATGCTCGTGTTCTGCCAATCGCAGATTCAATTAGACATGCAAAGACAGCAGTGCGTATATTTGGCATTGCAAGAGTTACACACTGTCAGATTTTGTACAGTGCATGTACTGTAGCTATAAAAAAAGTAACAGCTGTTTCATGCAATTCATTACAGAACAATACACATTCAAACTAAACCAGTTCCCTATTTTACCGGGAGATGAGTAACGTTTGAACTGTTTTTTTGTATCTGCATGCATCAGAATAGGCAATGGACAGACTCCATCAGGGTCCCCCTCCCCTCTCCTCTGCTTCTCCTTTTTCCTCCTTGTATGTATTTCCTCTATGTATGAAATCATTACAGGACAGTAATCCTGTAACACAGAGGCGACCTTAGGGTCTGGTTTCTACAATGTGTATTGCATATGTCCTTGTTTCCCTTCAGTCTTGATATCAAAGTCAGATAAAGGTGAACAATAAATGGCTTATTATCAGAGTTAAATATATATACACACCGGGATCTTTCAACAGGGAGCCATGGGGGTGTGATATTTAATACCACTGACTTGGGCGATGGGCCCAATTTCAGTTTGGGGGTCCTTCTGCATGGAGCTTGCATGTCCTCTCCGTGCTCATGTAAGTTTTTGGCATGTACTCTGGTCTCTGCCCTCCTCTCAAAGAGATGTTGGCTGAGAAAAGCGATGTCACTAACATGCTTCTGTGTGTTGCAGTGATCTGATGGTTTGAATTTACTGACACATTGAAAAATTGGAACAGTAAATTGAGAAAGTACCTTATACCTCCTAGGGATCAATAAATAAGAACAAACAGTGACATACACATAGATTCAAAAAGTACAGTAGACAATTTTATTAAATAATTATAAAACATGCCAAATAAACCAATATAAGAGCATAAAGCATGTATACTATACTGTATATGAATCTGTCACGGTTGATCAATCACTCAGGGATTACAAAATATAGTTATATTTAATTGTTACTAAATAATAATCTTTTGTTATTGAAGTCAAACTCCAATTATTCTCATACAATCATATTAATTTTTTCTTCAAGTATTTGTTTGGAATAAAATCTTAATTCTCAAGTGTTTAAACGTGAATATTGAATGTGCTGTGTACTCATCAGAATTGATTGGACAGGCACAGTTATGATGAGCATTTTCGCAGGAAGAGGAACAGAAAGACTCCTTTCCCCGTCAGCGTTCTCTGAATTTTGTCCCAAGAGATGCCACAGTAGGGAAGTGATCTGCTTAGCATCTCACTGAAGTCGACTTCCTCTGTATGTCCATATAGGATTGAGGAACCATTCACAAGTGAGACTTAGATGGGGAGAAACACCTGAAGTTCCCTCTCCCATATTTTGTAGCTGCTATGGTGAATATTCGTTGGTATTCAGCAGTACCAACAAAATGTGCCACTGATTGGTCATCAACTATAGTTTGCATCCACTCTAGACATGTTCCTCATTGATTGATTACTCTGGCCCCTCACTTGATTTGACAGGTGATTTGACAAATCTGTTTCCCTCTAGGGAGGAAGACTGAGATGTATTGACGTAGGTCATCGCTGGAGTTGTCAAGACGAGACCCGTTTGTGTGTCTTCGTTTGTAATACAAAGCGTGGACATCCTGCTTATCAGTCCTATCTCAGCAATCTTCCTAGGAAGCTCAGTCAAAGGAGTTAAGAAGTTGAAGGATATTCTCAGTTCAAAGAATCCTGGAATACTACTTTTATAAACTTTCCAAACACCTTATTCTAAGCAGAATCATAATCCTGTTGCTGCAGTGTGTCCTCCAGGATTGACTGGTGTCCAGTCCAGGGTGTAGTCTTGCCTTTTGCCTTAAGTTTCCAGGACAGGCTCTAAGTTACTCCAAGACTCCTACCAGGAATAACTGGAGTTCAGATAAGGGACAGGTGGGCACTTAGAACATTTCTGTAAAGTAATGTCCCATTTGACACTTTTTCCATCAGCAAGTAAGCTTCTGCAGCTTTCAGACATGGAAACATGAATCCTCTCTGGGGAATATTACTGGAACAGTATACCAAGTGGCACATTCCAGGTGGAAAACGGTGCAAAGCTGCAAGAATACCTTAGCAAGGTCCCTTGTATATTACCTCCAGGCTCCTCTGATGCATATTTTCTGGATTGGGAGTAACCTGAAGCACCTACACAGTAATTCTTTCCACTTTAAAATACAAAAGCATAATTTACAGAGAAGCTGGAGAGAGTAGAGAACAATATTATTCTTTCTTTTTATCCACTGTAATCCCTTGATTCGCCAATACCTCTGGGACTCCGAGTCGGTAAAATTATTTTCTGTGGCCCCAGTGTTTCCAAACTTTTGAATGGTACAAATGCACACATTCATAAGAAATCCACTTCACTGCATTTAATTGAAAAGTTCATAGTATTTATAGTATTTAAGTGTTTAAAGTATTATCTTCCTTTTGTTTTTAACTAACAATGGCACTTTAAAAAAATTGGTAGACAGGTGGAAATAACCAGTGTGAGGAAATATCTTTGTCACAGACACAGGCTACAATAGTTTAGCTTGAATGACTACATCTATTGACCTTAGAAATCAAGAAGCATAACCTATACTTGATGATTTAGAGATGTTTTGCCTTCTAGTAGAAAAGCTTAGTTTTGGGTGTTTGGTGCATTGGCAATCAATAGGGAGAACTTTGACAGTAAGACACAACCAGTTCAACTGGCCATGAGAACTTGGCAGAAGGACCACTCTGGTATACAACCTATAGGGCTTTCGGTTTTCCCTGTTAACACTGGAATTCTACCTGCTCAATAAGAGCCCAAGAGAAGGAGGTGCTGTCTCTTTTGGCTATCAAGTGTTCTACAGCCAAGGTCATTAGGGCCAATGGAATTTCTTTGAAGCATCACAATAAAATGGAACTCTTTCTGCCTCCCAGGCCTACACAAAGATCCCATGCCTTTTGTTTGCTTCAGCATGGTTGCCTGGCAACTTGGAAGAAGTATTTTGTGATCCTTGCTGTTTGGCAGAGAAAATTAAAATAAACAAAGCCTTACTGTGCACAGCTCTTGTGCATCTACCCTCCCCTCAATCATCTGGGAGGAATTAAGAAGCTCGGATGGGTATCCTTTTACTACCAACTGAGTGTAGTGTCATTGCATATTTGGTGACTGGAGCTTAGTTAAGGATCCTTCAATAACATTTCTAACTGCAAGCAGTCTTGTCTCAAGTGTTTTCAAACTAACTAGGGCAATTTTAAGGCAGAATGGGAGCAAACACTTGGGCAACCCATGGCAGAAAATTCAGAAAAGTTACTGCAAGTTCTAACTCAACACTAATAATCTGGGAAGCAGCTCAATGAATATGAAGTCTCTGTCACACACCTGAAGAAGGCTCCACAAATGAAACCCTGCTTTTCTTCTTTCTACTTTTGTTTCTACTGCCAGGTAACTGGATGACAGATGTCAAGAAAAGGAAGTCCTCAATGCAACTGGTATCTTGGTGGTAAATGACTACTAGCTCTGCATCAAGGGTTGTAACAAATTAGTTTAGGGTTGGGTCATTTTCTAAATGCATATAAAACTATAACACTACATTGTCAAATCAACATATTTTCAGAAGCATTTGAAAAGACAGATTTACACATAACATCCACAAATCATCCAGCAAGCTCCAAATTCACACACTATTCAGCTTCACAGTAAGCGTCTGAGGGATGTACAGCTCTTCACATACTTGGAGAGTTATCTGTCACAGAACCGGGATTTCCTTATAAACATCAGCCATCATCCGAAATGCGTTTGAGGATCACCACATCATTTTTCAAGCTAAACCACTTGTCTACCAAACCCACCTGAGTTGTCAGCTCAGACTTCAGGGTCCCACAGAAAAGTTCTCTTCTCCCAGTGCAGCCAAATGAAAACACACCAGAGGAGGTCAGAACAAGCATGAGAGATATCAGAACAGCAAATACAAAGCTCTGTGACATCCATATCAGCTCCATTGACTCCTCACTAAATCAAATGGAGGATGTTGTTTACCTTCAGGGCGATGGATACAACACTCCTTGATTCTGATTCTAATGAAAAATTTGGAAACGTGTGTGCGTTTGTGTCTGTGTGTGTGCCCTGTGATGGACTGGTGTCCTGACCGGGGTGTATCCTGCCTTGTGCCTGATGCCTGTTGGCTTAAATTCTGCATTGGAGAAAGCAGGTAGAAAATAGATGGATGGATTCTATTGTTCCTGGTCACAGTTCTGTACAAGTCTTGCTCATTCAGCCACTTGGCCTCCACACCTAAACAGAGATTCCTTGCTCCAGCCTCACACAGGGAAAGTGGGAAAAACTCATCTCATTCACTTCATTTCCTGGCTTCTCCGAAGGAACCCTTTCCCTTCCCCACAAGTTTCAGTTCAAAACCAGTAAACTCAAGCATAACCTTGTTCATGAGGTCATCTCCATCAGACTGCAGTGTAGCTGCAATGCAAATTAACACTGAACTGAAACTCCGCTTTTGTTTTAAAAAACAACAAAACAGGAAAATGTGCTTGTTTTTCTTCTAATTTCCCCAAAATATAATATTTCAAAAGTGCATAGTTCACTGTGGAACCTTTATTCATAGTAGATTGTAATTTAAACAGATCAGGCAGCTCACCCTATATCAGAAAACACTGACTACATGTATTCAGGGAAGCATTTTGTTATTTTGCAATCTGATTTTTCAGCTCAATGTATAAGTTGAAAAAGTGCCCCTTTTAAAGACCTTGAATTTCATAGGAAGCGTTTCAACAAGTGACCAAACAGAGGAGGAAAAGGACAACAGCTCATTTTAATTTTTCATACAAACTACTGGAACATTCAAGAAGTGTAATCTGCATTTGCTTCACCTTCAGTTTTTGGGTGCTGAACTAAGCATTCTGATTGGGATAGAATGTCCACAATATGAAACAAGACCAAGTCCACATTCAACAGCAATCAAAATAATGTGTGAACTAGACAGAGAAAGTGACACAAGGAGTTTCTTTGGGCTAAAACATGTTATCGACGATCAGCCCTGAGGACTTCTTCAGAATGAACAGTGAAATCATATACCGTATCAGATAAATCCACAAAAGGTACAGGCTGAGACTAGTATAAAAATGCTCTAACACTTCAATCAATTTAACAAACATTACAACTGAAACAAAGCACTTTAAGATTGAATTTATCCTCCAAACATATAAAGACAAAAGTTGAAAACCTTTTTAAAAATTTACTTTCAGTCCAAAGAATATCACATTTTCCCTGCTAAATGTTAGTACTTTTTGAGTTAACAACCATTTTCTTTATAATAACTCAAACCATTTATGTCTCTTCCTATTCCATTTGTTTAACATGAACAACTTCTGGTGTGTTTAATCCTGATGACATGATGCAATGGAACTTTGGGAAAAAACTTGAATTACAATGTCCACTTCACTGCTTTTGATGAGTGTCTCCCCCATTCCCTTTAATGTTGCACTTTAATGAAAAGAAACCAAGTCAATGAGAGCACATCCAAGTATATTATATCTCAGTGTATAATTATACAGTAACTAATTACAGCATACCAATTAAGCATCTAAACCAGTGATTATTTTCAAGAAGTATTCTGCACAGTCTTCAGCAAGATTTTCCTGTATTTGCAAGTGTAGAGTGCATGATATTATCTTGCAAGAAGACTTCCCCAAAATTGGGAAATGTAATTAGAGTGTAAAACACGAAATACTGATATAGGACACAACAGCTGTAGGGGGGTCTTGTGTGTGAAAGCAACAGTCTTAAAACCGTATAATTCTCTATTCATATCGCTACCTCAAAGAATACTCGTCAGTTAATTTGTTACGTATTACTTTATAACCTTTATAACCACAAGTAAGTTGAAGTTAGTTTCCACCTAGTAAGCTACTTCAGCCCTGTACTTAGAGCAAATGACTCATGAAAGGAGGGAAACAAGCAGTTTTAAAAACACTTCATGTCATACTCAATACTAGCTCAATTATTTTCGTATTTGTGCCGCGAAACGTTATTAACAGAATGCCGGGCTGACCACACCGCACAGTGTGGCTAGCTCTCACTTCGAGCTGAGCTGCATGTACTGTATATAGATGACGATTTCGATAACTACACTAAATAAAACTTGCAACTTGTGCTTGGTGCTAGCTATGGAAGCAGCTTTAGTGGTAAACGTGCCGTACACTCTCTCAAAACAGTTTCCTTCTTTGAAGTGTCAAAACAAGATCGTTCCAACACGTACAGTACTGTATCAGCCGCAAACACGTGCATAATACGCAGCTACACGCTTTAGTAACTTTCTAGGCTTGCACAGTAATAATTTACAAACGTGCATCCCCAATTTACCCCATTTCTCCACATCAACAGCAAGAATCAACATTACACATCAGCATAAATAGAACCACTCAGTGACTCGACAACCTCTAACTACACTATACTGTATATGCTCAAACGATTAACGTTATTCCATCTAACAGGCTGCTGTCCAGTACTATAACTACATCGATAAACAGTACTGTGGTTATTTCACTTTCAAAAAGACTCTAGTTCCAATGGGTCTAGATAACCATTGGCCTGATACTTTTCATTCCAGCTTGAAGCAACACGCAAATGGGATGAGTCTATCCCCGTTGTTTATCAACAGTGGCAACTGGTTGTTTTTGTGTTACAATTCTGCGCTTCCACGTCTCGTAAATAGCAAACTACGGGACAGTGTGCAGTCAGAGGATGTTTAATTCCAGCACTCCATAATAAGCAGTTTGATCAGCAAGCATACAGGCTGCTGCAGAAGTGAAGTCCACACACTGAAAAGAGAGTCATTACTGGCAGACCGGTCTCGTGGTGTGTCCCCTTCTTTGCAGTCATGAACTAAACTGGATTTACTGTAAGATTTTTGTAATACAAGCATTTAAAAAAAACGGAGCACTATAAACTCGCCAGTGCAACGGGAAAACTTACCGCTTTCTCACGTACAACTCCAATCTTCACTTTTTCGTAGCCTTTTTTGTTATGCCTGTAAAAGGCATCAGGAGCGGGGACGTGATGGGTTCCTTTCACATCTGTGCCAGAGAGCAGCGCTGACACAGCCTGGTAAATGTCAACACCAATTATACTGAACAATATCCGTTTTTTTTGGCAGCTTTTCGTAGTTTCTGCTGTTCCTCTTCCAGCGTGGACAGTCACAACACGACCTGAACAACAAACAGGACCGTCCCAAACGCCGTCGGACTCGCTGCGGACAAACTCGTGGAGAGGAAGTTCCCTGAGAGCAGCTCGACTCCGGCGCGCTGAACAATGACTGACCGAAGTGGAAGCTGCTAGTTGTGACTTCAGCGATCAAACGTGCTTCTCTCCTTTGGGCTAACTTCACTAAAACCAGTCGAAAATGCAGCCGGCGATCCCCGGCCACCTCCCCAAACCCAACTTTGGAAGTATGTCTCGCTGTCTGTTTAATTATTCATGAGGGCTTATTTTCGCTCCCTAGCATCTCTGTCGAAGTATATTATGCAGGCATCTCCCACTGTGGAGACAGTCACACTGCTGAGGCACAATGCATTGCTTTTCATTCACCACATGCATTTGTTCATCTGTGTAAAAAAAAGGCACAAGAGAAAATTTTGAGCTTAAAACAAGAGGCGGGCACCAAAATGCATTAGAAAAAAAGTTCCGATTCCTACTCAAATCATTCGTTTTATTTTGTGAAGAAATAACCAGGTGTGCTGCCTAACCAAAGAGCCTGTGAAATCCTCTGTAAGAAAACGAAACGGGTAGCATTGGTAGAAATACTATGTGTGACTGTTGTGACAATTGTGAGGTCTTGGTCAATATACGTCAGATGGCCAGTCCCGTGGAGCTAGTGTCTGTACCGTATGAAGAGCACGAACCTGCCGAGGGCCTTCTCCCACATCCTGACGGCCCCTGCAAGCGTGTCACTGCGGTCCGCCTGCCCACCCTCCCCCGGCGCCTGCTCGACTGATCACATGAGGGGCCTGGGGAGGCGGGGGTGTCACACCGGAGTAGTCGCCGTTAGGTGTGAGCTCGTCATATCAGTATGTGTAAGGCTGGCAATGCAAGCTGCAGAATCAGTCACTCCCTCAAAGAGCAGTAGAGGAAATGAGTGCTTCCAAAACACTAACATGCCAAAGCGAGTTTTAAGATAGACCCAAGAAAAACAGGCCATTCGTGCTTGATATGCACGGCAAAATTACACGCCCTCCCATGAGGCATGTAATCACTCTCCTTCCCCATCTGCCACAGACCCAGTGCTTGAGAGATACTCCCATGGAGTTAAACCACTGAAGGCAGTGGAGAAGCGTGTTCGGCTCTGGCTTGGAGGACGGCTGGGGTCATACAATGTGTTCGGTTCTGCTAAAAGGAGAGAAATGATATGGACTGTGTTAAACGTAATGGTCTGAAAATCGGTTTGATAGAAAAGGATAAATATGAACAGAGCTGGCCGAAAGTCACAGCCTGTCCGCGATCACACTTGAGCTAATGGGATGATGCCACCCAAAAAGTAATTACTGCACCGAACTGGTGTTTTACCGTCGTTTCTGTTCTGCAAGATGAGAGAGGAGTGCGATTAATGGAGACAGGTTCGGATAACTGTTGGAGCGAACAGTTTGATCATTACTGTTGTTTGATGCCTCTGTTTGTGCTGTGCAGACCAAGCTCTGAGTCCAACTGGAAATCCATCTTGGTGGTCAAGAAATGTAAACGCTTCCGATTGACCCCTGTCGTCCAAGGAGCAGTCATTAACATAAATAGCCCATCTCCCCTTGTTCACCAGATCTGAGAAGCTTTCACGGACATCAATGATCTGAATGAATAACTTGTGACGATATGAATGATTGCGCGAGTTTCTCAAGAAAATCCCTCCTACAGTGGCAGCTGTCCTGTCCCTGCCCCCTCAAAACGTGTTCTGCTAATGATGGGACTGAGTTGCCCAAACGAGTTAGCACTGAGCAGGGAGTCCTACCCCATACCCAGTTAGTCTGTATGTCTTGCTGCAATTCAGCCAGATCCATTCTGTTATATATTATCCTCTTGATGAGACAAGACTTTAGTATTCAGATCAACAGTGCTTTTTTTCAGTTTATGTAATGTTTGTGAAGACTGTTGCAAGCTTGCAGAATAGCCAATATCCAACACAGCATGTTTACCGAGACCTTTAAGGAGATATGATTCAATAACGACTCCCAAGAAAATCTTTGAGCAAACTTAATTTGTTCAAGCACTTCAGTTGCTGGAAATTTAATAAACGTGGTATCTAAAACAGATGAATAAGCACAATATGTGTTTTCTAAAGATCTTGTAAAAACTACACCTGGCACCCGGATAGTAATTTCTGTTCTGATAACACTAATACCAAATCAGACATGTCAGAGATGTGTAAGCACTGTGATCTTCTTTCTGATCAGTGTCGGAAGATTGTGCAGCAGCGTTAATGGCTTTATTGCAGTTTTTGAATCGATCGTTGTCTAAGGACTTTGTTGCAGAAGTGCTGATTGAATAGAACATCTCTTATGGTAATGTTTCACTGGGCATTTATTTGTGGAAGTGATGCGGTTTGCAAAATGTTATGTTTTGAATTGCAGTAATTTTAAAGAAGAAGGCATGTTGCTTCTGGGAAGTATTTAAATCGTCCTTAGTTGTTTGAACACTGTCAAAACATATTTTGAAAGGATATATTTTTTAACATGAATACTGGTGCACAGGTTACACGTCAATAAAGACGAATTGTTTCAAATTGGGAAAGTTGCTCTGACCTCAAGTCAGAAATTTTGGAGGAAAGCTAAGCCCAAACATATTGCAGTGTTTTCATTTTTAAACTCACTCACTTTTCATTATCACTTACAAGTTGAGTACTGCGACATTCAACATGACGTTGTGAGTGTTCACAGTCGTGGTAGAATTAGTCTTTACCGGCAGTGAGAACTCAGAGCTTTGAAAAGTGCGCTGTATGTCTGGCACAAGGTCTTGCAGACCTGACTATTTATAGGAAGAAAATGATGTTCCAGGCAACGGCGTTGAAAGTTCGCGCAACGTCACAAGCTCTTTCTCTTGAGCAACGAAAAGCAGTTCCAGCACACGTACTCGTAATATTTGGGAACGGCCTCTCATTTCGTAATTTGGTTCCAGTTCTCAGCGTTAGGCTGCTAAACAGCCTGCAACAGAGAATCTCGTCCTTAATTCATGTCCACCTTTTAGGATTTTCTTAAATACGGCTAATAATTCTGACTGTCACTTTGTGTTAGCCTTCGTAGTTGAGTGCATTATGATTGGTCATTTTAGTCCTCAATCTTTAGATTTTTTCGCAGCTAGCATGTCCCTGGAAAACTCATTTGGCCGATTTTATCATGTGAATTCTCGCCAGTGGAAAGTTGAATTCCATGTCTCCTCCTTGAAGGGCGACGTGGGGCCCTGGGGTGCTGTCTGCGTGGAGTCTGCATGTTCTCCCCGGGTTCGCCTGGGTTCTCTCCAGGTGCTTCACAGATATACTTGTAGGCTGATTGACATCTGGAAAATGCTGTGTCCACGTGCTTATGGTGGACTGGCGTCCTGTCCAGGGTGTACCCTGCCTTGCACCCTGAATTAAAAGAAATGGATGTCTGGATCATCTCCTTGATTTTTTGTGTAAATCACGACATTATTCGCCCCTGCTGCGAGGTCAATTTGCGATCACTACTTTGCCAGAAACGTGCAACATTTTATCAGTCTGTTTACGCTGCCTTGTTTAGAAACTCCTATTTCTGGACAAGTAGATTTTCGCATTTCTCGCAAGAAATGCCACAGAGACGTGATAACGGCAGTTTCTAAGGAAACTGTTTAGTTCATCGCCGAGCATCCCATGAGATAGTGCACTGAAATGAGACTCTGCATAAAATTAAACAAAAGAAAACCATCTGCCAGGACAAAGCTTAGGCATGTCTTTAGGCAAAACAAAAAAAATGCAGATCGCGCATTCCGCAGGAAAGCTAACCTTTAATTAGGACTGTGAGAACAGCGAGAGAGGCCGAAGCTTGGTTAATATTTTCTGAGGTTTTATCACTGCACTAGGCTTCAAGATAAAACAGATTCTCAGTCGGTGCCCCTCCCCTTCCCCATATGTCACTAAAAATAAAAAATAAAATGAATTAAGGCAATTAAACGGTACATGATTACACGCGATAAGAGGAAGTAGGGTTCATTTTCTCAAAAAACAGCAGAGTTACAGTATATACTGTAGCGTGTCATGTACAGTGGTTAAAAGGGGCTAAACCTAGCTACAGTACAATAGAGCCTGGTAACCTCTCACTAAATCCCGAAAGGGTTTTCTATCAACAACAGCAATAATAATAATAATAATAATAATAATAATAATAATAATAATAACCATCATGTGGTGGACTTTGTGGGTTCAGAGACCAGTGATTTCGTGCGTGGGATTTCTTTTTTTTTTGTTTGCTTGTTTGTTTAAGTGTGTCTATTCTTATCTTTAAAAAAACTGGAAAGTGGATTCTTCAGGTAGTGCAGAAAGCCGCGCAGGACAGGGTGAGATGCGGTAGCGTCTGGCCCAGGTGATCCCACATTCCTGCATTCCTGGGTGGTGACTTTATAAGTCTTTTCCAGTAATACACTCTGTAGACAACAGGGCAACAGTGCTGAATTACGGCGGTGAAGAAAACGTAAAGACAAATTATTTTGCTAAAGACATACGCCCTTTGTGTGATGTTCCTTGGGATTCAGAGCGGCTACACTTGAGGCCATCAGAAATACCGTCACTACCCAAAGGAAAGTCAGTCATTGTAACTGCAGAGCAATTTTGTACTTATTGTCCGACTTGTCTGCTTCGCTAGAGTGTGTACATCAGGCTTACCGCAATTTAACATGGTGGCTTTTAATCACTTATGTACGTTTTCTAACAACACCTTAGCCTGCTTTTATGTTGCAGCGCGATGCAATTTACCGTGCAATGCACTGCGCTTTTATACAGACTAGGAAAATTGAAGGGGAACTTTTGAAAACCGCGTTTAAATGCTTGTCTAGGCGATGTAAACATGGCATATTTGGCCTAAAGGGCAAATCAGGCAGGAGAGAGGCGCTCAGGGAATCGCCTTCTCGGGCAGATCTGATTTTCTCCCTTTCAACATTCGGAATTCAGAAACAAAAGAGAGACAGAAGAAAACTACAGGCAGTGACGGGGAGATCCCATATTTTAGATTTCACGGTGGCCGACGCCTTCTACCAGTCAGTCACCCGTGTCTGCTGCAGCTTTCAGAAACTGGCTCGCTGTCTGTGTGCAGTCTGTGTGTTCCCCCAGGCGTGCGTGTGGGTGTCCCCGGAGAGCTCCGGTTTCCTCCCACAGTCCGAAGATGTGCTGGCAGGTTAATTGGCCGTGTGAAAGCTGGCCCCAGTGTGAGTGTGTGTCTGCCCTGCGATTAACAGGTGTCCCATGATTATGATGGTAATAATAATAATAAGAAGAAGAAGGTGCGGGTCGTGCATTGGGTAGTATTTGGGCTCCAGAGGTGGAAAGGTAGTGCACCGATGTCAGGCGCTGTGGATGATGAGGCCCAACGCGCCGCTTTGGCACCGACAACGCAAATCTACTGTATGTATATATAAAGCAAAACCCCATATAATTTCCCGCAATGTTTTTGCTTTACTTGGCACCGTGCTTTTGAGAATGAATTTCCTGTTTTTGAAAGGCAGTGTGGACGTGTTTCAGTACCTGATGGTTAGTCTTTGTGAGTGCCATGGGGTTTTCGCTAAATGTGTAGGTAACACGAGCGCCGGGAGATACCGTACTTCCCCCGGCTTACTGTAATTTGCGGTGCCAGGAGTGACATTTGAAATTGCTTTCGTGGGCAGCCCTGTTATGTACGTCAATCACATCGCAGCGTCCAACTACTGTGTAAATTACCTAGCAAGTCTACTGGACATGGCATATAAATGTTTTCCTGCGTCCCGGTGATTCCAATCATGATGAAATATAGCGGAAAGTAATTTTGTTTAATGGACTGGTTCGTGAAGAACATCCATCCTAAAGACAAACGTGTATTAACGCCAGCTTTTCACACAAACCGGACACAGGACTGCCTCCAGGAAAGAACTGTCTGCCACTCGGGCACAGATGCCTGTTTCCCCGCTGCCAGCCAATAAACGCCCCCTGGAGGATTTGAAAAACACTGCACCTCTGTGGTAATAGTACCACATATCACCACAGGCTTTCCTAAGATCTCCTGTGAAGATTTAGGATCGCAGAAACGAACATCATCAACTTTTTTTTCCTGCAGGTAGCCTAATTAAAATGTGATGTTTTCTGCAAGTAAAACAACATCGTGTTTTCCATCCCTGGGAATGTTAATGCACTGCGATTTGGAAAATTACCTCATAACAAAATTAGCTTAATTGGGCAGTTTAACTTCGTGGTGGATAAACAAGGAACTAAAGGCATTTATACGTTTTTTTTTGCAATTACCTTAAACAAGGGTGATCAGGATTCTATTCCATTCTTTTATATACAGTTTGTTTACCAATTTTAGCTAAATACTGTACAGTACCAGTAGCTAATGCATTTCAAAGAACAGATTTCAGTTGGTCAGTCCTTGTAAATTCAATTTAAAGGATGTAGTACAAATAATTTTTATACTTTTTATTTATAAAAGAATCTTCTAGAAACAGTAATTTGCAATAAATACTTAATAATAGACTTGTAGAATACAAAATGCTGCACTTCTGTAATCACAGAAAATAATTACATAAACTAAGAACTGTTTTTGGAGATGATTGGGAACAACAAGGCATCTTAAGAAGGAGACAGCTTAAAAACTTAGGATGATGTTTTTTAAATATCCAAACTATACATTACAAGCAAGAAATGTATAAAAGTTGTTACCACAAGATCAACCAGTAGAATACATTTATCTATTCATAAAACCATTGTCTTGATTATTGATCATTTGCTATCCAAAGGTTGTAATCAAATTGAAATTTTGCTTCACATGACAGATGACATAAAAAAATTCCATTTGTGGTTGCATCATCCAGGTGCAGGAATTTGTCAATAAAAGTCCTAAATATCTTGTGGTTTTGTACACTTTTGCCAGGCTAAATGTCTTTCATGGAAAATTACAACAATCGCCTACTATTCTATTCACCTAGGGTCCAACATAGTCTAATAGGATTGTAGACTCTACAGGGAGAAGATGTGCCAAAAGAACTTCTCTAATCAGTCATTCCTTCCTGTGCTGAAAATAACTGACCAAGGTATTTTCTTTACGGACCTCCAAAGAGATATAAGGAGACCTACATCTGATTTTCTGTCACAGAGCCCTTCAGGCCACAAATAAACAGAATTGCTCACAAGGTAGCACAGTAGATTTACATTAACGTGATACAGGAACAAGTAATAGGTTTATTCCATGCTGAAAATACTCCACGGCCGAAACTTTGTGTTTTCTTTCTTCTTTTTTTCAGCATGGAATAAACCTATTACTTATTCCTTTGCAGCCTACGCATGCTGATGCAGCTCCCCACCTTAACATGATACAGCCTTAGAAACCTGAAAAAATGTGTCCAGTCAAGCTAGGAACAATGAAGCGTTCAGGAATCTTTTGCCTGTATCACAGCATTTCCCAAAAGGAAACCTGCATCTAAAATTAGGTTTCCTGGTTCACAGGAATTTGGAAGGCAGTCAGCCAAAAGACCTTTTAATGTAGACAGAGAAATATAACACATGTAAAAACTCATCGTGGTGTTTAAAGAGATAACTGTGAAATGGCACACATACTGTAGCAAGTCCATTCAATTATGCAGTTTTGCTGTAACCAGATCCTCAAATATTTAACTAATATCAAGAAATATTTGTATCAATTCTGCAATGGAGCAGATGGGAAAGGCCACAAGCTGAATAGCACTAACTCAGTATTTTCCTGAAAAGCAAAATAGGATTGACTTTTTAAAACATTTGTGAGTAAGAAACCAGTGAGTGTCTTGTGGGCCAAGATTGCAACATTGTGTGGAGGAAACAGACATTAAGCTTTCCCTAAATCATCACTGAAATCAAAACTGAAAACAAGCAAACTGGGGAGGATTCAACTTCCAAAACTCATTTATTTTCTTCATGATTTATGTGGTAAACGTTGTATCTCAACGCATAAAAAGTACAGAGTATAAATATCTCAACAATTCCTTCATTCGACACGCGACCAAACAGATTTCTAAAACAATACAATTCCCAGAGGCCCCCGGAGGAGGGGTCACATGTCCCCTTTCACGTGAGCTAGGGGTAGTGGTCACATGGTTAGAGATGGCAGCCTTAACAGAACAGCATTTTAAGTCGCTACAGCTTCTCCTTAAGGTAACTTAAAACAAATATTTTCACGTTACTTTGTTGGTGATCATATTAGTTTTTATTCATGTTGTAATTATCTTGAAGTAGAAATAAGCACATGTTATCAAGGTGATACTAACGTCTGTGGATTTCCGTGTTGTCAAGAGTTTATGGTGTTTGTATTTGATACATAATATTTATATTTTTGGTTTAAAAAAAGACTTAAAAAGAGTTTAATCACACTGTTAGGTGATTTTGTGTACGACTGTGTGCAAGGTGCATCTTTAGGCGACGGATTGCACTCCAAATTTCCTGTCTAGTCAAAAGAGTGGAGAAATGAAGAAAGTTTAATACACGTTCACCTACCTAGAATACTGCCACAACCCTCGAAATTAACCCTCGTTAAAAAGGCAACTTGTTTCATTCCAGCAGGGTCTTCCTCTTAGAATTACGTCTAGCAGTCGTAAAGTATATGAAAAGGTAATTTGGAGTTGGAAACACCTGTGTAGGGGAGCCTATTTAGTTTGCTGATTCCTTGCCTCTGTGTACTCCTGGTTTGCCCACTTTTATACATTTGGCCTCTTCTAATCTAATCTTCTAAACTACTTCTAAATCAAAAACTGGTTTGAGTTACAGAACAGCAGTTTTTTTGTTACCCTCGGTTGTAACCAGTGGGATTAGCTAAATAGTGCAGTTTAAGAATTAATGGTGATGCGCTGTGTTAAAGGAAATTGTTTGAAATGAATAATACTAATGATTACATTATGAGTAAACCATTTGATTGGTTTGTTTAGAAAAGGGTGAAATGTTGGAACGATTTTAAAATGTATGTATTCCAGATATTTTGTTCACAGCAAAGCAAAGCAACCTATCTGTTCAATAAACAGTAGAACTCTAGTTTTGTCAGTGGAGAAAAATCTACTATATCAAAATGCACGTTTACTGTTTCTTTGTGAGCAAATGAGGTGAATGGGGGTCAAAAATTAAAAATAAAACAAATGTTTGGAGATTGATTGACCCAGCGGCAAATCACCAGAGTGAAGTCTGCTTTCCGGCTGACGGTTGTATGTCAGTTTGAATTCAAGGCTTTTTCTTTTATATGCAATTGATAATTTACAGATGAAGGATGAATATTCAATTTAAAAACCTGATACATAAGGACATAGGCTTAAGGAAAATTGGAAAAGGGAGCATTTACTTACGGTAAGGCTTACACTTGAGCTCAGATCTCGGAGGAGCTGTGTTCTGTGCTGTCAGAGCCCCTGAGTTTCAGGACTTGAACTGAAGTAGCTGAACTCGGAGGTGTCTGACCCTGCCTGCTCTTCTCTCCTGCACCCTGTCTGCTGGGCGGAAGGCTTCCTCTAAAGACGTGGTGAGGCAGCTGGTCCAGCGGTGCTTCCCGCCGGGAGCGGCCGAGTCCAGGAGCCTGATGGAGACTGCGGCCAGCAGCCTGTCCGTCACGGGGGAGGAGTCCCAGCAGGTGAGGCAGGCCTGTCCAGAGACCCGCTCCTCCCTGGTCAGTCGTGTGACATAGGAGGGCAGGACCAGGAAACAAGTCTGGGGGTTGTGTGTTTCAACTCGTCTGCTGCCGTAGTGGTCATATACTTTGAGCCAGACCTTCAGGGCTACTAATCCATGTCATGTTTTTATTTATACTCTAAAAAAAGTAAGCTTTTAAAGAGTCGGAGCCCCTACCCTTCTACCCTTTTATCGTCATTACTTCTGCTGATGGGTGGCCTGGATGTTGGCATTGCTGCCTCTCCCTGTCTGTGTGGGGTTGGCATGTTTTCACAAGGGTTTCCACTGGCTGCTCCCAAAGACAGGTTGCCTCAAAATGACGTGGTGTCCCATGTCTGCATTCCTACCAGAGAAACACTGAAATGAAATCGGACACCTAAGGTGGATATGCTCGTTATTAAGAGCTTGTCAGCAGCTGTGCTCTGTTCTTCCACCACAGTGGACCCAAGCAACCACTTTTGTTTTGACTCGGTCTGCCCCTCGTTCTCTCTTGCAGCTGGTCAGGGCCTTACACACCCTCTCGCGCCATGTGGTGCTCCATGGCCTGGCGTCTCCGGAGCAGATCCTTGGGGTTTTCCCCGACGGTTTCCACCCCAGCCTCAAAAATCTGCTCACCAAGATCCTTCTGGAGCAAAGGTACCGAAGCCCCCTCACACGCAGTCTGTGAACAAGCATGAGTTTCTTTCTTCTGTGGCACAGGACGGCTAGCTAGCTGAGATAATTAATCAATTTGATAACATTGTGCATTTTAAAACTGCCTCATAGCGCAGGGGCCCTGGTTTCAGTTCCAGACCTGGGGTGCTGTCTTCTGGAGTTTGTATGTTTTCCGTGGGTTTGTGTGGGTTTCCTCCAAGTGCTTTGGTTTCCTGCTGTCCAAAGACATGCTGGTAGGTTCACTGGCTTCTGGGAAAATTGACCCTGGTGTGTGTGTGTGTGTGTGCGCCCTGTGATGGACTGGCATCCCCTCTTGTGTGTATCCCACCTTGCGCCCGTTGGTTATCAGACACTGACTCTTACTTCTCCGTGACCCTGGATTGGATGAAGTGGTTAAAAAATGTATAAATGGATCTTCATAGTAGTTTCTGCAGTAGAGCTTGAAAGTGATAGATCTTTGGGTGATCAAACAAATCTATTATAAAACTCATTAGTGAATTAATAGTTACTACTTGAGTCTGATGGAATTACTACCACTGTGGACTTTGCAGCACCCCGATTTTGTCCTTGATGTTTGTGTAGTACTTTTTGGGACACACCAGAGTGTAATCTCATTACCTAAATGTAGTCCAGATTTTAGGAATTTAATGCTTTGTTTTTCATCAGAATGTTTTTTAAATTTAGTATGTTAAAGCCATTATATAGGGCTCAGAAAGACTTGTAGAAATGCATTATCCATTGGGAAGTTGTGTGTGTTATGAGAAGAACACCACTTGGCAAATAGGGACTTTTATTAAGTAATGTCTGAATCCCATTATGTTGATATAGGTGCTACAAAATATAAATTACCTTTAAAATAGTTTGGGCTTTAAAACAAATCATGTTATTAAGTAATTTGATAATGTAGCAGTTTTCTGCTGTTGTATTTGAATTTCTCAAAAACAAGCACAGGATGGTTTGAAGTTATTTATAGATTATTGAAGGCAAATTAAGGGTTTAGTAATGGTCTAGGCTTTCTTATGTAATTTGTAAATCAAATTATTATGCAATACTTCACAGACAACCATTAATCAAAGTTACAGCTATGATTGCTTTAGCGTGGAGTACTTGGGTACAGTACTGCTGTAAAGTGATTGTAATGTAATAACAGAGCTACAATAAGATACAGAAGAAGTCTGTAAGAACATAAAAATGACCTTGAAAGTTTTTGTCAGTACAACAAAGTAATATATAAGGACATGTAAAATGTTAGTTTGAGTAACGTCTTACTTGCTTTTTGTTTTGCATGTAAAATAATCTTTAATGGTGTGGTTGAATAACAGTAGTTATCTAATGTGACTTATTAAATTAGTTTGAGTTTCTGGTTTCCTGCCACCGAAAAAAGAAGTGCTTATGCAATGCACAAGTAGTTATGTATTTTGCAACATTTCTTCTGAGATCTCCCAGTGGGGTGTTGCATTTTCAACAATAGAAGCAGACCTGTAGAATTAAAGGGAAGTATAAGACATAACCTTCATAGAGGGTGGGAATTAAGCAGCTCAAACAGCTTATGCATGAATTTCCATCAGCTAACTTGTATGGAAAACATTATTGCTATACTTGCTGGAAGTTCATGTGACAACTTACAGAATATATTTTGGTTACATACTGTGACCTGATTACTCGAGTGTTTGAGCATGAGAACGGGTTTCATTGTACAAGCCTGTGGGACATCTGCCCAGCTGATGCTTTTTTAGTTTCTTATTTCTTACGAGCTCTTAGTGCCGTACTTGAAATAGACTTTGAAATTTACCTCAGGACCACCAGTTTGGCTCTTTTCCACACCCACCTGGTTTGGAATAGCCAGCGACTAGAATAGGCAGCGAGAGACCCTGTGATCGCACACCCTGCAGAACCAGGGAGTGTGGGCGGTACCTTCCAGCACGTCAACCTTTCAGTGACTCAGCTTTGGACACATGGCGGGCACCTGGGGCCCGTACCGGGTCCAGTTGGAGGACAGGCGCGTCCTTGTCTGCCTGCAAGGGCCCAGGCGTCTGTAAGTGTCGCGGTCACTGGGAGGTGAGAGATGGACTTGTTCACCACTGGACAACCTTGATGCTGTAGAGCATTGAGAACCCTGGACCTCAGGTGTTCAGATTGATCAGATAAGATCACTTTATCGGCCCTATACAATTTCTTGCATTAGGAATTTGTCTTCTCGCAGACCCCAACCTGATCTCCTTGAGACACACAGACAGGGAGAGAAGCCTGGAGTCAGAGCGCAGGGTCAGACATTTTTACAGCGCCCCTGGAGCTGCTGGGGTTAAGGGCTTTGTTCAGGGGCCCAATGGAGTAGGATTCCTCTGCATATGAAGGAGAAGCACTTGCAGGTCCTTGGATGAAGGAGAAATATAATCTCGAGAATTCAGAGAAGTAAATTTTAAAAATGTTCGCATCACTTGAGGAAATTAATTACTTGTTTATTTGTCTGGGACTTTTGTCCACAAGTATTATTTTTATTTAAAAAATAACAGGAAGTATGACTCAATTTCCCAGCCCTAACTCATGATTTACAAAATGTGCCATTAATGCCAATGACATTAGGGCTTAAAGTGATTTCTTACTCAAACTAATGTTTCGAAATGGAGGTGGTGGTGTATTCAGTTTGGTGCATTCAGGATTTCTGCATTACAGTATCTTAACACTTAAAGTAATAGTCTGTTTTTTATTTTGAATATGATATATAGATATACATATACTTGAATCAAAAGTTCATAACTTTACATGAGTAAAACATATCTGCCGCTGAGATCTGTTGTAGAAATGAACACTAATGTTTTGAGTGCCATTTCACTAGGAGCCAGTCAGCCACTAGGTGGCAGCCGTGATACGCATGGCTCATGTTGACTGACGGGCTCAGGGTTTCAGATACTGAGCGGTAGCACAACACGTATTACAGTCATGTATTTATTCCGAAACACATTGTAGGACCTGTTGCATAAGACGAGAACCAAAATGTAATTTGTCCACGCAGCTGGTACAGTATACAGAACTTACGGTACAGTTCTGTATGTGTTTTGTATGAATGGGTTTTGGACATGCAGTTTAAGACTTCGATAGCTCACTCGTATGAGGTCGGTAATCTAATTAAAAATTCCTTTCAGTAATTAAGTTAACTCATTTCTCTTTCACTCAAGGTATGCATTGAGGCAGTAAATAGATATCTTAATGAAGGGCATGAATTCTGCTTTTATAGCTTTTCTTTCATTATTAAGTCCTCAGTGGTCACTGGGGTGCACCGTGCTTCAGTTCACTCTTAAATAATTTACCCATTCTGGTCCTCTTCTCCTCTTTCTTCTTCCCTTACCTCTGTCACATCTGTGGCCATCATCTCACCCTGCTTCTCTCCCTCTTCCTCATCTGTGTCTTCTTTCTCCTCTCCCTTCTCCCCCTTGTCCTCTCCGTTCTCCTCCTCTTCCTCACCCGTGTCTTCTTCCTCTCCCTTCTCCTCCTCTTCCTCCCCCTTCTTCTTCTCCTCCTCTTTTTCACCTTCTTTTTCCCCCTCCTCCTCTACACCCAACACATCTTTGTTTTCCTCCTTTCCCTCTCCCTTTCCTTCTTGTTTCTTTTCCTCCGTGTCCTCCTCTTCCTTCCTGTGGCTCTCGTGCTCCTTGTCTTCTGCCACAGCCGCCTCTTCCTCCTCATCTTCCTCATCTAGCTCTCTACGGCTCCCATATGCTTCTTCATATTGCCTGATGAATTGCTGAGCCTTGGCTTCTCCCATCTCTTCTGGACACAGCTGCCTGGGTAGCAGGCTCGCCAGCGCCTCCTGCAGCTTCTGGAACACAGCAGGAGGGCAGCAGGCCCAGGGGACACAGTGACTGTGGGAGTGTGGTGCTGCTCTGGGCAGAGCGCACTCAGTCACGGGAGAAGGAGATCAGCTCTCTTAAGGTTGTAATAATGCCAGAGCTGCTAAATGAGTGTGCAATAAAAATATATTGTAAATATACGGAAATCGTTTCCTGCACGTTGGATCACAGCCAACAGTGATGGGCATGTTTGGCATATTTGTAGCCTTATCCTCAAAACAAAGTGACTCAAATGTAAACTGCATAATTTTAGTGGTGCACTGGATTCACTATTCTTGTACAGGCTCTTGTGCCGCAGGAGAATGTAGTGGGGTATTCAGAATGTTTTTTTGTTGGCCATTTTCACCTACCTCTCTGTTCTGTAAAATTTTCTTTTCCACGGCCTGTATGGTCTCTATGTCGACTGTGGCCTGCGAGAGAAGGGATGAGTACAGCAGATGAAACCACAATGAGTTCTAGTGCACGTGCTGCAAACACTCCTGTGTAACCAGGAATCTGTACCTTGACAAGGATCTCTGTACCGTAATCCAATTCATTTTCCGTCTGACGGAGTATGTCCTGAGAACATTAAAATGATAAACCACATTAAGAATGCCAGATCTAAGTCGTATATGACCAAACTTGCAAGTTCAGAAACTATACAAAATGCTGTCTGTTCTTTGAAGCCAGACTTCCTTTTTTTTCACTTTTGGTTTAAACAGCTCTCTAGTCTGCTTGCAAAACCCCTTCACCTTCAGTCCAAGATGTACCTCCAGTTTTGCCAGATTGTTTTCGTTCTTCTTAATCCAGGCTTTCACAACTCGCGTCCCCTGATCTTCTAGGAGAAGCTGACAAAAAAAAAGTTTGAGAGCTTAGGCCTTTGTTGGTTGGGCTTGTGATAATATGCTTGGATTAATCAGAAATCAAATGGCAATGCTTAGTTTTTAATTCAAACAGCCATTCTAAGAAATGTATGTTTTGGGTTCTCCGAAAGATGTCATCCTCAGAAACATGATGGGATTGTGAGCTACACTGAAAGTGTTGTAGGAGACATTTTGATGTGTTTATTTTGAGTATAAGAGCTAATACCTTGAATTCTGACTGTCAAAGGTGTAACATTTGCTTTCTCCTTTCAGTGTCAGTTCTGTTGTGTCACCACAACTAGTAAATAGTAGTGAATGTAATAATAAAGAATACATGTTACGACCGTCTTCCTTGAAATACTCTGGTGATAATCTGCACCTTCTTGTGTGAAACGTTGCTCTTCTTCCTCAGCTCCTCATTGTCACGCTCCTGTGTGGAAGGAACAGTGAAATGTTAGCGCCAGTGATCCCGGAGAGCCACAGCAAGACCTTTTCATTTAATTAGGTTTTGCACTTAGTTAAAGCTCACAACCCAAACCTGAAGGACTGGGGATCTCCAACACCCCGGTTCTTGGAGATCCTTTCTAGAAAAAGAACTTGGGAAAGCCCAGCTCTCTTTTTTAGTGTTTTGCTCAGATTCTCCAATTACAGTGGCTTTTGCTGTTTACATCTGATTGTTCCTGATTGTTAGATTTTTGCTCTGCAAAGTGTTTTACTCCGTGAGATTCAGATACTTATGCTGGAGCTCTGCTCGAGGTATTAAGAGTACGAGAGCGTCTTTCCAGCAAGCAAGCCGCTTACCAGCAAGCATGTTTTCCGGTGAAGGTCGTAAGTCAGTATTGGGAGGGCTTCCCTGACTGTGCTGGTGGAGTCTTGGTGCTGCTCAAGCCCAGAATGCTCCTGACTTGAAAAGAAAAAAATTGCAGAACTACATATTCCAGACTGAAAATAAATGAAATATAAGAATGTAAGACTGGTTAAGAAGGCGAAGAAGCCATACAGTTCATATTGTGAGTTTGGTAGTTAGCAGTTAATGGATCCAAGGGTCTCGTTCAGCCATTTCTTTAAAAAAAAAAACAGGGTATCAGCTGCAACAGTATGGGGGTACAAAATCTAGGCCAAGCTCTTTTGTGTTGTGGAAATGTCAATGTTCAGAGAGTTAAGGTTCTGGTGACTTACTTAGAATCCTGGGATTCATTCTCTTTAATGCCAGTGAAATCCTTTTGTGCTGCATCTCCACGTTGGAGAACTAAGCAAGAAACAAAGATTTATGTCCCGCAAAGTGAGTGCCAGGTGCAAGGTCTTTGCTACTGTAAAGGGTTAATAATCTTTGGTTCTGTATAGGATGCTCATCCTACCATTGTGACAGTTTTCTGGTAAGACCCCACATGGGGACTTCTGGGAAGGTGGCAAGGAAGCAGCTGGAAATGGAGCCATTGGAAAGTGTTAGAATATCCCCCTGGGAAGGAATAGTTATGCCACAATTTGACATGGGCGCGTGCCTCTTGCAGGAGAGAAGTGTCATGTTGTTACCTTTTCTGTCTGTTCTACTGAGGAAACAGGTCCTGACCAAAGCCTCCTGTGTCCCAGAGCGATCCAGAGGTCGCAGGTCAGGGCCTCCTGTTTCCAGAAGAGAGTCCAGACTGGCTGTTCGTCCTGGAGCCCGGCTGCTCTGAACTGGGCGTAGCTGGTGCAGAGACTGGGATCGTCTCATCCCGGGCGAAAGTCTTACACAGCGGTCGCACTGAGCCCACTGTTCTCTTTAAAACACAAACATTAGCACATGCCAAGTCTGCACATATGCACTGTACCAAAGTCCATTATAAGGCAATGACATGATAATATAAAATAACATGTGAAATGATGTTATTGCTGAAAATTTAATTTTATTAACTTGTTTGCAGTAGCATTTTTCATAGCACCTATAAGGTTATAACAATAAGGCTAGATATTAGGTAATGAAATGGGAAATGCTAAACTTTGAAGAAGATACTTGAGGGCCCTGATTCAGATATTCCAAGTCCCCAGATGTATTGACAAAGTTAACCCCATGGACTAATTCCACAGAATCTTCATAAGGAATGAAACACCAACCAGCGGATACAAGTGGAAACTACATGGAATAAATTATAGCCGCTGAATCAAATATTTTGTGGAATAAAAGATGTAAATGTTGATAACATTAGAGTCTGTCAAATACTTGACATGCAGTTGCTATAGCAACATGTTCCTACCTGTTATTGGAAAAATAGCAAAGTAAATAATACTTTATTTTGCCTTTTTAAGGATACAGCATTGTTTTTAAATTAATTAAAATACAATAACAAATTTAAAAGAAATAGAATAATTCAGGAATAGAATTTAAAATGATTTACCTGCAGTTGCCTCAGAAGCTGACTCTGGAACTCTGAAAATGAAAACAAAATATTTTTTTTCCCCCAAGTCACTACAGTCTATATTTTAAAATGAGTGTTTTTCAATATTTTTAAATAGGTGATTTTCAATAATAAATACATATGAACAGAATTTAGTCGATATCGAAGTTTAAATATTTGAGACGGCTCAGGAGATGGAGATGGAGATGTCTGGCTGGTAGGAAGTTGAAAACAGCAGTTGTTTACTTCAGACATCAGGCATCACCTAGCGCCTATAGAATGTTCATTCACATCACTCAGCTGTGTCATACGGCAGGAGCTGAAGGACTCAGCTAGGTCATCAGTAATTCTTTTATACTCTCCATCCACTTTCCCATCGCTTTACCCAGTGCAGGGTCCTGTTCTGGTAAGCAGTGGGCACAAGGCGGGATACACCCTGGATGGGACGCCAGTCCATCACAGGCCACCAAGACACAAACATTCTGCAACTGTGTAATCTTGTTCAGTTCCTTTGAGTTGATGGAGTATAAATACGTTTGCCATAAATGTGTGTCTCAGTTTGGATTAGCAATCTTGAGATTTAAAGGATGAAGAGGTTGTTGATGAAGTAAGGATCCAGTAGTAATGTATTTTATCATAATATATAACAATGTGTCGTGAATGCTGAAGATTTTCAGTGGTGTCTTTTTTTCTGAACCTTTAAGGACAAAAAGTGAATGGACAGGACGTTAGTTTTTTAAATGCATCTGTCTTCCTTCCAGTTTCTGCCATCTTTTGAGATCAGAAATTCACTCATGTGCTTCTCTTAAAATGTATTTTCTCCCCCAGCCCTTCATGGAGAAGTGAAGCCCTCTCTAATCAAAGTAAGACCTTTTTGTTTTATTTTTAAATAAATGGTTGTATTAGGAACCATTTGTATTAAGAAGATTCAGAGCTCTTCTAGTTTTGTCATTATAGAAATGAAGCACTCGTTAAGCCTACACTATGACTGGCCTTTGGCCCCTGTCTGAAACTATTATTAGATAAAGTGAAGTTGGCAAGCCGAGAGACCGAGATGGCTGACTAGTACATGGAGTATCATGTTAACCCCCTTGATGAGCTGATAGCCATTGACACAACTGAAAGGACTGGACAAGATCAAAGATTACAACACTATCTGGGGCCAATATGGGACCAGTTCATTGCAGCCAAATTAGTAGTAGTGTAGTAGTTATTTTTCCAGTCTCTTATTCTCATACATTTCTGGGTTGTCTTGTTGCTGAGGGCTTGGTCTGTCACTCAGTGGTCTGTTGTCTTGCAGTTGCCCTGCCCAGGCTAGTGGACGTGGACTGGAGAGTGGATGTGAAGACAGCCTCGGACACTCTGAACCGCATGGCTGTTCCCACCTGCCTGGTCCAGATGAAGGTATCCTGAAATTCCACCATGGTTTCTCTCTGTATTTTTCATTTTATTCCCTCTATTCCTCTATTTTGACAGTTTTAGTTGTTTTTCTTACCTCTGTTTGATTTCAAGCTACTTTTCTGTATGCAAGTAAATTTGACTTAATATGATGTCAACAGGAGATAAACTATAGTGTAAAACATTTCCACCCCAGAGATTAACTATAGTGTAAAGGGTTTCTAGAACCCCAGCTGACCATAGCATTACTGCTGCTATGAATATAATGAATGATGATCATGTATTCTACTTATTTTTGTATTATGTTTAGAAGGGTCAATTTACAGCATTAATCCAGTGCTTTTCTTCAGCTCGTATAGCTTAAGTATTGTTTCCTAAATACCTGCAGGTAAATGTGTTCTAGTTATATGTGCTAACAAGAGCGCATTCACTCAAGTAAAAAGGATCATATTCATGACAAAAGTACTATACTTATCACACAGTAAGTTACATATAGCTGTTTGCATGTGCACGACTTTTTCCAGATTTCAACTTTCTACCATAAACTCTTATGAACAACATAACTCCTGTAGCTAAATATAGATAACAGAAAAACGCCAGGTTTCATCATTGTGTTACTCATGAGATGAATGTCAGTAAAGGGGCTACCTGTGGAAGTAGCTTGAATTTCGCAGTCTTGTCTGTTGTGCCATACAGTGGCTTGAAGCCCAGTGCCCTAAAACAACACCATTGTTCCCTTAGCCTTACACATCTTACACACAGTCAGTAAACGTAGTTGGAATATTTGAGTTCTGACAATTTATGATATTCAAAGTCTCCATTGGCCTTTTCTATTACTATAAATCTTTGACTGCTATGAATATGGATATATTTAGGTGAAAAAAACCAAGCTTGTTATTTAGCAGTCTTTAATTCACACTGATTGGTCTTCTGAAACTAAATCGCAGTGTCTCAAGGGAAACTGTACATGAGCAATATAAAGGATTGTTATAGACATATTGATATATGTCATGTATCCCTTGACACTTACCTCATTTGTTCCCCCCTATAAACAGGCAAACTTAAATGACTAAATGTTCATAAGGAGTTTGTCATAGAAGTGTTTCTACACAAAGAAGGGAAATCATTTAGTGAAATGAGTAGGACAGGGAAAATGTTGCAGGACTTCTGCACGGCAGCTGTGAGCTGTGAGCTGCTTCGCAGACATGCTAGCGTCAGCCGGGGAAGTGGCACAGTGGCACAACACTGCGGTCCTTCAGGTGCCTGGGAGGCCACAGGAGGCGCTGTTTCACCGAGAGCTCTACCCCTCTAGCCAAGACCCTGGGAATCCCACTCACAGCCCACACTCAAGGCCGTAGAGCTCAGACCTCACCTACCAGACTGCACTGGCTATACAGTTTAGTGACAACTTTATATGCCTTGAACTTGCCACAATATACCATGCCTGAATATTTTCACATTGTTTCCCTAAGCCTTCACTGTATTTTACTGTGTTTTATAGTAATATAGGGAGGTCAAGGAATATTTTATTAACACAACACTGTTATAAGTTCTGCTGTTTCTTCATAAACAAGTGAGTGGAAAAATGATCGCTGGTGAATTTCCTTTTGCCCAGCTGTTTTATTCTGTTGATCAACTATTAGATTAAATCTTACTTGTTAAACGTTTGGAGGAAAAAAATAGTAAACTTGTTGACCCCGGAGTAAAAATTGTTTTAAGGTCCTGTCTTACTAAAGAGACCACAGGAGTGTAAGAGGAAAGTCTTTCATTCCTTTGTCCCAACTAAAAAAATGCAGTGCTCAGATTTTGGTTAAAATAAATAAGCATCTGTCTCTGTTCCAGGTCCAGGATGATCCCAGCCTCTGTGGGTCGGACTCACTCTCCACTGTGACTGTGGAGCTCAGCAAGGAGACGCTGGAGACGATGCTGGATGGTCTGGGAAGGATCAGAGACCAGCTGTCCACAGTGGCCAGCAAATAGGGCAGTCCCAGCAGCTCTGCGTAGCTCCGTGAAGCCAGCAGTGTAAATGTGGATGGTGCAGTGTTGACGCTGGTATCTGGGACCAAATGACTTGCAGAGTGTCTACTGACGTGTGCTTGAATCAGCGTTGTCAGTACTTAGTGAAGCTGGAATCTGTTGGCACCTTGGTTTCAGTGCTCTCAGTTGTTGGGCTGACTTTTCAGATGGATTGTTCCAAATCATCACCAGTTCAGTTTCTCCTGGAGGCTCAGATACAAAGCCTTCCTTTCACTCAGAGGTAGCAAGCAGAGAAAACACTTTTTCAGCTTGCTTGCTCTAGAGTAACGAGGGAAGTTCCTGTTAAAAATAGATACAAATCTGTAAAAAGCAGAAGTGTTATCTGGGTGGTTCACAGGGCATGCAGGGTTGATGCCCTACTTTTGCTTAGTTCTAATTTGATCTTTGCATAACCAACCTCACCCTTTGCTAGGGATGTTCACCCAGACCTCACAATGACCATCATAGGGAAATCCAGCAGGTTTTATTTCAGTCATTTTCAAGACTAACCACAAAAGTGAATTCAGAAACCCAGCCCACACTAACCCAGTGCATGCTGATTTTTGCCAAGCACAGCACTAATTAAACCGGTTGAGCTGCCCTTTGGCGGTCCCTGGTGGCAGAGTGTGCAGCTGCTGCTCCATCTCGGGCCAGTCGGCCGCACTAATTTTTTTACCATTTAATGCACGTTTTATGTTTTGTATATTCTTTGGTGTGATACAATGTAATGATTATCCTATGTTCTTCAGTTATGGGCAGAGTTCCCCACCTCCCTGAGTGGATGATAAAGTACAATAGCCTATGTGGAGTACAAAAACAACTAATTTTGTATGTCTTCCATTTGGTTGAAAAATGCAATTCTGTACTCTCTCGGATTTTGAAATGTTGGCACTCTTAACCTCTTTGCATTTACACAGAAATACAAAAAGACTGAATTACTTTGCAGGGCATAATGTACTCAGTATTCAATCTTACTGACAAAGGACTGAGCGCACAAAACAACACAGACCCGCGGTGTGTGGGGAAATGATGACATCATGTATGTCGGTATAGGAGGGAGTACCTTTCTGGCCTCAGTTACTTGAGCGCCAGAGCCTTGTAGCACAGTGCGTGTGACGTGACGCTTTAGCGTAGCCCTGCCTGAGCACGACTCAGTCCAATCCATACGTTTTTCGACTTTATTATAATGCTGTTTCACGGGGGGGATCTGGAGGGTCTATTCATTGGGTGTTTACGTGTTGAATGCAGTCTGCATAGATCAATAACTATGGGCTGCAGCGCTAGCAAGAAGCCGAAGAGAATCCTACTCCTGGTTCAATACCGATATCTCATCCTTCACATTAACTTAATTTTACATCTCCCAGATCCCTGTGGCTGCTTAAATTGTGTTTATATCTGCAGATGAACATTAAGTTCCCTGCACTGGTTTGCTTTCGCGGCGAGAGTGTTACGCAGAGCAACAGCGGGAGAAGGGTGACTTTCTAACGGTTGTCCACATCCATCCATTACCCACAAAACGCCCAGATGGAAGGAACATGTTTTCCCGATTGTTTTATTACGGGAAATGAAAGCACCTTCTGGAATATCGGTTGCATTGAGCGGGGTATGTAAACTGATGAGCTGAGCCCGGTGTGTCCTGGCAGCGGTCTGGGGGCCGGGAGGAGCGCCCCCGGGAGAGCCTATAGGAGGCCGGGGAGTGGCGCTTGAGATCTGGGCTAAAGTGCAAATGCGAGGCTACACCCTTGAGGTGCCGAGAAGGCAAACGGGCCTCTTCGGATTGGCCCATAGAAGTGTGCAACATATAGATGAGTCGTGATCGTAGCTCAATCCTGATGCCCCAGCGGCGTCATGTAGCAGAATTATTCACATTAACTCCCCTCGACTGCAGGGCAGATACCTGGAAAAGATCACTTTTAGGCAAGGGACGGGCACACCAGACCAGTGGTTCTGTCAATTGTTACAATGGGAAACGCCGATGAAATCTCGTCTCACATCTAACTTTTCACAAACAGGGGGCAAATGGGGATGAGAAAGAAAAAAAAGTAAATATTCTGGTACGGAAACCGAAAACACGCCCCAAATCACTGAGCGCGTTTATCTTTGTGGTCTGGAAGAGAGCCGATCCGTGAGATCAGGAGCGGGTGTCCTGTGCCGGACCGGCCGCAGCAGCGCTGTGACTGCTAGGCGGGGCGACCAATCGCAGCCCGGGCTGTGGGAGGAAGGGCAGGCCGCAGCCCGACAGCCCCCAGCCTGCTCCCCGCTGGAGTACAAGAGCAGCTCCCACGGCAAGGACCAAGTTCACGTCTCGGAAACAAACCTGTGCAGCCGTCGGGATGGCCGAGAGCAGGGAGAAGTCATGCGATCAGATGAAAATCTGGAAAGAAAGTAGAGGCTCCCAGGTGAGCCTTTTTTTGAACATATCTGTAGCCTGAATGTAAAACGGGTTTGAACGTTAGAGATGAGCTGTTTGTGTGTGTGTGTGGGCCTCGAAAAATCTAAACAATAAAATCCCTATTGCAGTGAAATTAAATTGGACTTTTTGGAGATTCCGGTGCACTTGCTGCACGCTTCTTTATGTGACGTTGTTTTGCTGGGTTTCTGCATTCGCGTTTGTTGTTTATCTTCAACACTTTCGCTTTCCGAGCAGCTTTTGACGTGCTTTGCCTTTAAAACGGTGGTTACTTGGTGTATTGTGTACTGCCCGGTTTTAACGAAAGTGCATTGCGTTGCATGTGGACCCTAATAAAATGACCCGTATTCCTACCCAATGGGGTAAACGTGTGCTTGTTGGACTACATTGCAGAACGCTTTTAGCGATTATAGTGGCTTTCCCCACATGGGGACACGCATTAGCGCGGTTAATAAAACTTATTTGCTGTTGTTCGCACCACGGGGATTTTGCGGTGGAGTGACGCCTTTCCACTCCGACCTGCAAGGTTGGCAGAGAAAAAAAACAGCTGACCCATTCTAGCAGAAAATGTTCTGTAAAGAGGTGTCATCACACCTGGCGTCTGTCGATGACGCAAGACGGGTAAAGGACCCGTTAGTTTCAGTGATTAGCACCCGAAGGGCTACATTGGAGAAAAGGCCTCGTTTGTTACCTTTCTCATGTGGGATGTCTGTCAAAACCTGTGGGTCACAGTACTTACGAGATATGAAAGAGAAACTATGTTCATTGTCACCAGAACCGTTTTTTTATATATAAGCTTTTATTACAGTATGCTATCTTCCCACCCCTGGGCCAGTGTAGAAAAAGCTTCTCAAGGTTGGAACCAGGCGCCTCAGAGGTCACGTTTATTTTGCTTCTTTTCGGAAGGCTAGTCGGTCACATGCCTGCGCTCAGAACTTGCGAGCTTTGCATTGTGCTGATTGCGGGGTGACAGCGGCCTGAAAGAGTTGGTTCTTGCAGTCGCAAACCGAAATTCCTATATGAAACAGTATTGTTTTCTTATTCTTTGATTAGTGCCAGCATTGTTACATTTGGTGTGTGGAGAATGAAAACATTGATATCGCTGAGGCAGTGCATTGACCCATTACCCTGGTGCTCTGGCCAAATTTCCCCCTGGTCTTTACCCATCATGGCCCCATCTCTGAACTGGCTTCATCACTCTGCTCTCCTCCCCACTGAGAGCTGGAGTGGGGAGCATACTGGTGCACTTTAACTGCACACTGGTGGGAGTGGAGGGGATCCCCATGACCTGTAAAGCGCTGACTGGCGTTGTCCAGGAAAGCGCTACGTAAGTGTAACGATGTCAGTGTTATATTATTTATTCTTGGACATGTACAGTAAGCAGCATTTGGAAAGAGGTTTTCCTGTAACGAGTAATTAAGCAGTGTTGGAACCGGCTGAAGGAGAGTCTGTCTCTGGTCGCTTTCCAGAAGGCGGAGACTCTGACCACGGGCGCTGGGATCCCTTTGGGAGACAAGCTCAACGCCCAGACCGCCGGCCCGCGGGGCCCCCTCCTGGTGCAGGATGTGGTCTTCACGGACGAGATGGCCCACTTTGACCGGGAGCGCATCCCGGAGAGAGTGGTGCACGCCAAGGGGGCAGGTGGGTACAGCCAGGGCCCGGGGCACCCCGAGGAGTGTGTGCGCGAGCTGGAGAAAGTGCCCCTTCCGACTGCAGCACCGGAGACCCGGTGGCACAGTGCTGGAGTCGGGTGAGAGACTGTGGGCCCTGTCCAGAATTCCCTGTTCCCTGAGCTCCAGCTCTGCAGTTTCAGAGCCGGGACAGGCAAATGGACAAAAGCAAGTGGGGGGGTTTGGAGGGACTCTTTCACTGTGCAAATCTGGCCCCATCATCCACTTGCACTGAGTCATAAGGGAAAATCGCCTCTGCTGGAAAGTCTTTTTTTTATGATAGTTTGATATTTTGTGAGAACGTGTACTGATTGTGAGATGTTTTCTTTGATATCAAGTTTTTGTTAGGGGGGGAAAAAAAAGCCTTTTCAGGAATGTCCCTAGAAGTCCAGTCTCTGTCACTAACTCCGTGTTCGACATTGCTGAAATTAACTGAGCCTCTTTGTGGTCTTTAAATGGAGTATAAATCCATATTCCTTCTGTAAGTGTCCCTGTAAGTTTTCTTTGATAAAAGCTGCATCGAGATGACTGCTCAGGTAGCTACTTCTGTGGCTCCCAGTCCTTTGAGTCTCAATGCAGCGTAGCTCGTTCATGTTGAGATCCTTGTTGAAGTGTTGTGGTTAATGTTTCTGCAAGGCATTCAATCCCTGAGACTGGTGTTGTAACAGAGATGTCGAAAGGGTACATTCCTCAGCTGCTGGAACTGAAGGCTCCTGTCTAATCCCAGTGTGCTGAAATCCTGTTTTTGGTGTTCTTGGCAGTAAAAATGAGCCTTGAAACTCCTGACTTAACGTGAGCAGAGTTAATTGTTCACAACAATTCTTTGTGATCAGGGGTTAACTGGTGTTTTGTTTGCCATTTTGGGTGTTTTTGGGGGTTTTAGGAATGCCTGTGAGAATAGTGTACTGCATTGGGAACTTTTATTTTACTGCCCAAGACAAAACCTCTCCTGTTTCCTTATGAGTTCTGCACCAGTGAGAACAGAAACCTCTTGTGGTGGGAGGTGTGAACTGCAGCAGGGGTGGGGGACTATCTGAGGTGCATTGGCTGTACAGTGTGCATTTCCTTCTGTTTCCAGGAGCCTTTGGATATTTTGAGGTGACCCATGACATCACAAAGTACACCAAGGCCAAGGTGTTTGAGCATGTGGGAAAGAGGACACCTACCGCTGTGAGATTCTCCACTGTGGGTAAGGAAATACCGTCACACGGCATTCTCTGAGTGTCAGCTTGGCCTCTCTAAATACTGAGACATACTTAATAAAATTGTTCCACCCTAATTCTCAGTTACATGCTGGGTCTGTTTAACTGCGTAATTGTAAAATTAATCAAGAGGACTAGCCAGATTTGGAGGTGTTTATATGTGATTGTACCTCAGTGCAATTGATGTTTTCAGTAATTCATTGTAAAGCACCTTAAAGAAAATCCTATTTATGCCTGACTAGGAAACTAGAAATTAATTCCCAGGCCCCAGATTTAAGTAAATAGTATTTTTATTTAGTGATCTTCTCCTAACTCTTGCACACACTCCTAGAGTCTGCCAGCACATTGTTTACAAGTCCACGGTGAACCCTGGACTCTGCCCTTCTGTGCTGTTACAGATAAAATCTGGAATTGCAAGCACATTCTGTCAAAACAGATTTCATTAACATGGTCTTTATGTAACATATGTTTTTATGTTTACTTGCGATGTGTGGCAGTCTTTAATCTGTATTGCAGGAGATACCCAGGATTCCTTGGTTGTGTTTGAAACTATGGTGGAACAAACAAGCATGTTTTACTTACAGGGTAAAGAGTGAGGCTGCCACAACACCTGAAAACCCCCAAAACAAAATATCAAGGCATTTCAATCTTCAAACTTGGGGACTTAGAAAAAGTATAGAGGCACAGAGCAGGGGCAGTAAAAAAGTAAAATCATGCACACAGCAGTATTCCAACTTTTCCCAGATAAGAATGTTTTCCAAAGCCCAGTGTGACCAGTGTGTGAGTAATGCTGTATGTTCCCTGTAACAGTGTTCCCTGATCCACACGGGTCGCAGGTCTTGAATGAGGTCTCGGGTGGAACAAAGCCCTAGACCACAAGTATTTTATTCATAGTGAGTCTATCTCTTGTACGTGGTTACAGGGTTTACAAAAACAAGTCCATGGTGCACACTGAACTGTGACCTTCTGTGTGGTTGGTAAAACCAACTATTCACTGTCCCTCCTCTCTCTAAGAGTAATGTTGCCTATTCCATGACTGATTCACCAACTGAACTGCTTTAATTATCATTTCCCTTACTGTAAATGTTAATCAACAGAATCGCCTGGTCAGACTTAATACTGCTCACAGAAGGGAGAGCTGGGTGATACGTATTGCCCCATGCTGCAAATCGCTCTGGAAAGTGTCTCAGAAGTATTTCCTATAATCTAAGCTAATACATGTTGTTTGTTTTAGGCAGTTGTTTAAATTGAATCTTTATTACGATAGGGAGAGGTGAGGGCTTGGGACTTGTCATGAGTTAAAATCCCAGGTGCGGTGGTTGTATCCTTGAGTATAGAATCACACTCAGTTTCCTCATAGCATGTGAAAGTTTGTTCTTAATTCACTTACCTGGTAGAATGCTGAAATGAAGGTAACTGAAGTGCAGGTATCAAGTTTTTCCATCTTTCATCTTAGTGTCGCAAAGCATTCACTGAAATTGTACCTGAATGGGTGGATTGAAATTCAATCCCAAGAGTTAAAGATAAACCACTTCCGAGTGTGTTTCCAGGTTGGTGTCAAAATTGAATGTCAACAGTAGGAAACAATAACCGCAGGGAATAATGAAGCTGTAAGTGATAAAAGGTGCTTTTCTCTCCCTGAAACCTGATCAGGAGGTGTGTGCCCAGCTTCTAATTTTTAACGCTTGTATTTCTGAAGCTGGGGAGTCCGGCTCAGCGGACACTGTGCGAGACCCTCGTGGGTTTGCTGTGAAGTTCTACACCGAGGAAGGAAACTGGGACCTGACTGGAAACAACATCCCCATCTTCTTCATCAGGGACCCGATGCTGGTGAGTCTGGTCCCTCTCACTACCAGCTGCACAGCCCAGCAGCCTTTCCTGTGGTTTAAGCCTGCATGTGCACAACAGGAACATGTTTTAACACAGCACCATGTCTTGGCCTTTTCCTAGTTTTTCAGTTTATACATTTTCCACTGCCAACTAAGCTTGGTGTGAAAGAACTTGGCAGTCTCTGGGCAGGGCTACCTGAGCTACCGAGAGTCTTTGGGTCTGCACCAAGATGGATTGAGAACAGATATGTCACGTCTTGACAGATTCCTGGTCTTTCAGTGATTATTCTGCCAGTATCTGAAGTTCAGTGAACCAGACAAATTGAATGGGTTTTGCTTTAAGAAATATGACTACAAAAAAGTATTTTGTCAGTTAAGTAGTGGTAAGGTCTACAGCAGTACAGAAATGGATCTTGGTTGACGCAAGATCCTGACTTGAAAAGCATGACTGATGTGTCTGATCACGTTCAGTGGAATGCAGTGCGCATCAATCTATTTTTCTCCACAATGTTTAGGGATATTTCGTTGCTCATCTTAAATGACTTTGTGCAAATAAGGAACTGCAAATGAGTAACAAGTAGTGGGACCTGACTGTTCGAAGTGGGTACAGAAACGGCCATAAAGGTTGCTGATGGCCAGAGCTCTGGACCTCTGTGTGACGGGCAGTCAGCCCTGTCCCAGAGGAGGCCGCAGTCAGTTCTCGTGACCCCAGGGCCTGAAGCTGTGCTCCTTTCTGTTCAGACGTGTGGGTCTTACTGCACACCCGCTAAAGCCTGGAGAGTGCTGACAGTGTGTCAGCTAGGTCTCTGTGGGAGAAGCTGACAAACTAACAAAGACATCGAGAAACGAGAGGAGGGTTTGGTTTTGGGATCTCGTTAGAGGAAAATAAGAGTGCAGACGTGCCCGTTTCATTTGAAATGTGGCTTGCTCAGTCATTTTTCCCTAGGCCTGTAGCACGCTGCCTTGCTTTGTTGGCAACTGATGACAATACTTAGGTTGCTGCAGAAGAACATGTAATCTCCTGTATCTGATGTTTCCTCATGGCTTCTACAGTTCATAGCTCTCCTCCCTGTCTGCAGTTCCCGTCCTTCATCCACTCCCAGAAGCGCAATCCTCAGACCCACCTCAAGGACCCCGACATGGTCTGGGACTTCTGGAGTCTGAGGCCTGAGTCCCTGCATCAGGTGCGGAGATGCGCTTCTCTCGCCCAGCCTTTCTCTGGTGTGAGAGAGGCTCACACGTCTTCTCGGTTTCCTTGATTTCCTCCAGTGGACCCTGCTGCTGGGGAGAATGAGGTTTCAGCAAAACAAAAGCTTCCAGGTTTACCATGCCTGGTCTTTACTGGTGGTTACTGGGAGATAAGGAAATTGAGCACACTGCTCAGGTATGCCACTGAGGGCGCTCCTGAGCAGCTTGCCAGGTGAAGACTCTCTCTCCCCAAGCACAGGGAGGCTGTCTGATCCAGGCATCATGGGTTTGAGATGGGGGGGTCACGTTGCTGGCCTGCAGAGATCAGGATTCCCAGAGTGGACTGGCGCCTCCCCTGCACCTCGCAGCGGGGTTTGTGTGGTTGTTGAATGTTACTCTTTCTGGGAGCAAGATTACAAACTCTTTTGTCCCATATTTCACAGTGCAAAGGTGCAGGGGGGCGCTCACCTTGCGGTCTGTGTGGATCCTAATACCCCAGTACAGTGACGGGAGTACTGTACTGTAAAACAGGCACCGTCCTTCCGGATGAGATGTAAAACCGAGATCCTGGTTCTCTGTGGTCATTAAAAATCCCAGGTTGTTTCTCGAAAAGAGTAGGGGTGTAACCCCGTGTCCTGGCTAAATTTCCCATTGGCCCTTACCAGTCATGACCTCCTGATAACCCCCATCTCTGAACTGGCTTCAATGCTCTGCTCTCCTCCCCACTGATAGCTGATGTGTGGTGAGCGTTCTGGCACACTATGGCTGCCGTCACATCATCCAGGTGGGGCTGCACACTGGTGGGGGTGGAGGGGATCCCCATGACCTGTAAAGCGCTCTGAGTGGAGTGTTCAGAAAAGCACTATATAAGTGTCAGGAATTATTCCTACTGTGTTCCCACTGATTCCTGGTGTAGGTCACGTTCCTGTTCAGTGACCGGGGCATCCCAGATGGGCATCGTCACATGAATGGCTATGGCTCCCACACCTTCAAGCTGGTCAATGCTGCAGGCGAGGCCGTCTACTGCAAGTTCCACTTCAAGGTAATGCCAGGCCAGGCTGTGTCCAGGGCATGTGTGCAAGGAGATGCCAGTGAGGTGGCCTTGGTGCACTCCTACAGACTTCAGACGGGAGAAGGTCTTGACCACAAGTCTGAAGTTTGGGCATTGAGGTTCGATTTCCTGCTGTATGCTTAAGTATCAGTGTAACTAATGAGAAATAATTTTGTGAAATGTTTAAACATTTGCTAAAGTGTCAGAGCAGGTGATACCTGTATGCGTGCAGCAAGTGAAATTTGACTCATTTGGAATTTCAGGTTTCTGTACCAGCCTAACGTAACATCCCTGCTTCAGGCAGGTCTCACAACCTCACAGATGGGCCAGTACAGTAATCACACGCTGTACCAGCAGCCACTATGTTCCTTCTCCTATATGCAAGATGTAGCAATTCTTTTTTTTTTCCATATAATGAGCCTTATTTCACTCTTATGAGCTGGTCTCTTATAAAGCATGTAGTACAGAATATCTAATATTAATGCATTTTCTAACAAATATGTTGTAAATATTGTACTCTTCTGCAAAGGGGAAGGATTGTAGTTTTCCTATTTATAGTTAATGCATTGCCTAATGACTTTAATATGTTACCCGAATAAGTGACATTAAAATGCTTTCTTACTTGGGTACCATTCTGTTCTGTATTAAGGTGAGGTTTGGGCGTCTGAGTGTACATGTTTGAGTTTTCACCTTATGAACAGTTTTCCAGACCGCGTTAATCTCGTTGAATGATTGGTTACTGTGCTTTTATAGGCTTTGTTGCTTCGTAACTGTGGGACGTGTTTGTCCTTCTGTGGAGCAGTGTAATAATGGGCCAGTCCTAAGGCTGGTTTCGGTTCCTCTGGAGGACGTGGCTGATGCTGTAACGTATTTAGAAGCCAGTAGACATGGTTTTATTCACAAGGTGCTCTTCAGGTCTGACTTTCCCCAGTGACTGTAACCACAGAGGCTGTCTTGTGGTTTTGCAGACTGACCAAGGCATTAAGAACCTGTCTCCAGAACAAGCAGAGCTCCTGGCTGCCACTGACCCCGATTACAGCATCAAGGACCTGTACAACGCCATCGCCAATGGCAACTACCCCTCCTGGACATTCTACATCCAGGTCATGACCTTTGAGCAGGCGGAAAGTTTCCCCTTCAACCCCTTCGACCTGACCAAGGTGCGTACGAGAGACCAGCCTCCTGGGTGTGCTGGGTCCTGCTACACCACTTAGATCTCTTTGCTTTTTAACTCACGGTTTTGGAGGTTCCTGCCAAGTCTTGTTTTTTTTTATTTTCAGATAAAGGAAAAAGCATTTGACCTTGGTAGATCTGTATTACCAACTGCAAGATATTTTAGAGTTTTTTTTTTTATAATGGAGAGCAGTTTTAGATCTGGAGCACTAGGTTTGAGAAGTAGCTTTTGTAATTTGTGCTCGACGTTCAAAAGCAGAGAGTGTGAAATCTGCCAGATGATTGGAAGTATGGAGTATTGTTGGAAATGCTTAAGTGGTTTATTTTTAGTTTTTTTTTTTAATAATTGATGGTAGTTAGGGGAAAAGTCATTAGAATTTTTAAAAATCTAGTTAATTGTTTTCCTGTTTAAATTGCTGGAATTATCTTTTAAAAATTGAACAAAAGAACCGTAATAATCTGTTAGTCCCTGTGGTTGGTTTTGGTGCAAGAATTCATTCTTTCAGTGAGAAAAGGGGAAGTTTTCATCTGGCAAATGGCCTAGACAAGCTTCTGTGTAGTTTTTCTTGTATAACCATTCATGACCTGGAGGGGAGACTGCTGGGAAAGCTAAGGTTGCTGCCGAAAGAGGTTTTAGATGGGCCAGTAGGGGGCACTCACCCTGCATTCTGCAACCTGGGGCTGCACATTGGTGGTGGTGAAGAGCGTTTAGGGTGGAGTGTCCAGATAAGTGCTATAGAAGTGTCTTCTTTTATTAAAAAGCAAACTTCAGTCTCAGCTTTTTAAGAATATGAAAATATTTTTTGTCTGCATTTGAAATAATTGCACTAAGCACAACAATCATGAAGTCTGTGTTGCCTGAGATGTCCTAGTTCACAGCTCTGCTTCTGGGTCCCGTGTTTTTAATTTTACAGAAGGAACAGAAGCCTCAAACACAACGTGTGCTTTTAATACATTCCTGTGCTTCCGAATCCGACCGCTAGAGGTCAGGCTCTTACATGCTTCTGTTCGTACTAAAAAAGCAAAGGATATTCTGTTTCACTGCCACTGCTTGATCTTTTTCATGAAACATTAGTGGAGCTCGCTCTTTTTTCCTTCCCGTTTAAATTTTTAAAAAGGCTTTGCTAGCCACAGGTAGCTTGAGGTTTTTTTTGTTAATTCCATTTTTGCCTTTCCAGGCATTTGAATGTGGGAAACAACGATTAATTCTCTGCTCAGTCCTTTCTCTGGTGTCCAGTGCTTGAAATACAGACTCAACGGACGGACGCTTCTACTTCAGTTTTCTGTTTTTTTTTTTAACAGACCTGTTCTATAGGAAGATGCTGTTGAATCCGGTGTCACCAGAGCTGCAGGCCCACAGGCCATGGTGCAGGCCCACACACCTCTTCTCATTCGGCTCTGTTCTTCCTCGCTCAGGTCTGGTCCCACAAGGATTACCCCCTGATTCCGGTGGGCAAGCTGGTGCTGAACCGCAACCCCGTCAACTACTTTTCAGAGGTGGAGCAGATTGCCTTTGACCCCAGCAACATGCCCCCTGGGGTCGAGCCTAGCCCGGACAAGATGCTGCAGGTGGTTATTTCCTCCTGGAGGAGGGGCTGGCGGAGCCATCTCGTGTGTCACTGCAGAGCGGCGGCTGCCTGTGTGATGTATGGAGGCTGTTCTGCAGCTCCTCCGCACAGCCGACTGGCTGGGGAAGTGAGCGGACTGCTGTGGTTAGTTTGCAGAAGCCCGCAGCGCAACACGCTGTTCTGCAACAGCGCTCTGTGGTGGTCCATTCGCAAACCGACATCTTCAGCTTTGTGTTTTGGGAAATATTGATTGTGATGGGGCAAATGGTAACGTAACACTGTGAAGCAAGGTCTTTTCAAATCATTTGTACACTAACCACTTCCAGAACAATTTCACAATCCTGTTGATTTCTCCGGTTGTCCCAGAGCCCCTGTCGTTGGTGCCCTTCCTATTGCAGGTTTTAGCTCACGTTTGCCGTTAGTTAGATGCTTCACTGTTCCTTTCCACCGCCGCCTGAGGCCTGTACAAGCCCTGGCGTTCTAATACGCTAATCATTGTGTGTCCATGTATTTCAATATGACCTCACCTGTGATTAAGGTTGAAAGTGATATTGAGAGATGAAGGGCTTTCTTCACACTAGGGCAGTTCTGCTTGCATGATATGGAATTTCTGTGAAATGGGGGGGCTGAGCTGCGTGTCCAGATCTCCAATAGTCCACACAGACCAGGACTGAGGGGCTGTCTCTTGCCATTCAGAGACAGGTTCTTTGGGTGTTCAGAGTCCCATTTTAACAAAACATACTCTTGCCTTGAGGGAAAAGCCCTTGACAATGACAGTTTGTTAGAATTGCATTGGATAAACCACCGCTTGCCCTAGTGAGTCTCCACAGGCCTCAAGTGAAAGATTTGTCACTCTCTTCCCAAACTGCCTGTGACCCACATGCAAGTGTTTCAGTTTGAGACGGGTGTGTGCTCACTGTGCTGTCAAAGCAAACATTGTTAGGAATAGCTGTCAGTTTTCAGAGAAGGCTTGATATTCGATTAGGGATCTTTTAAACCCTGTCGAAGGCACATGCCTCATAAATGCGCAACCCTTTTTTGCAATCCACCTCTGTGTTGAAAATGCTGTTTCTGCATCATGCCAACTGGTCTTCCTAGAGAAGTACAGCCATTTGCCCTAGAGGGGCTTTGTGGCATGTGGTTAATCTTGAGTTCTTCTGCCTCCAGGGTCGCTTATTTTCGTACCCGGATACGCACCGACACCGCCTGGGCGCCAACTACCTGCAGCTGCCTGTGAACTGCCCTTACAGAACCCGGGTCGCCAACTACCAGAGAGATGGGCCCATGTGCATGTTTGACAACCAGGGTGCGAGACTCTCTCTACTTTTTAAAAAGCAGTCTAATCTTCTCTTTCTGTGTCCTCTGTCATGCTTAGTCATGTGGTGCGTTGTTGGAATCTTTGTACTGGCACAGGAGAGGTGGAGGTATGTCAAAGCTGAGCCTACAGCACAGGATTAACAGGGGCCACCCCAGGGTATCTAAATCCACTCTAAACAAACAAGTGCTCACATTACTCCTGCCCCTGCGTCCCTGCACTGGCTTCCTATCAGGTTTCATGTCAACTTCAGAATCCTCATGCTCACCTGTAAGGCTCTGCATGGCTTGGCACCTCAGCACCTGTTTGACTTACTATCTTCCTGCTCCCCATCATGATGCTTTTGCTCATCTCCTTCTAGTCTTTTGTTTGTCCCCCACGCTCATTTATGTTCTGCAGGTGACAGGGCTTTTTCTTGCTGCACACCAAAGCTCTGGAGTTCTGTCCCTAAGAATATCAGTCAGATACCCTGAGTGCTTTGAAATCCAGACTCACGACCTTCATCAGAATGCCTTTCTGTTGAATTGGTGTCTCTGTTCATCTACTGCATTTCTAATCGCTTGTCTTTTAACCATTTTCCTTTAAAGCACTTTGAGAAACTACTTGTAAAGATTCTGTATAAAATGTTTATTGCATTCCTCAAGACAGTGTTGGATCAATAAATCTTAACAGAGTTTATAAGGAAATGGGGAAAAAGTAGCTTTAGGTTTAAGATCTGAGCAGAGGCTTTTGTGTTTTTGTAGGCGGAGCTCCAAATTACTACCCCAACAGCTTCAGCGCCCCCGAAGCCCAGCCCAGATTCCTGGAATCTAAATTCAAGGTTTCCATCGATGTCGCCCGCTATAACAGCTCTGATGAAGATAACGTCACCCAGGTAGAGAGAGAGACAAATAAGCTGGATGGGCTGAGCATCCCTCCTTCATTTGTCATCTTTCTCGTGTTTCTGCTCAGCTCGATTTTCATTCTTCTCTTTGGAGAGATGCTTGGTTCTTCTTCACGTGGGTAAAAACTGTGCTTTATACAGTTGCAAAATGAAATATTCAGCTTTCAAAACATGATTAAAATCAGTTTGTTTTAATGTGAGATTTATTGAGAATCTGTCCGTTAACCCGTTCAAATGTCAACATCTTTTCAACATCTTTGCACATATTGGCGTGGGATTCTGAGGATGTTTAGTAGTTCATTTCTACGTTTCAGCAAGAGGAGTCCATAACAGGAATTTGTTTTTCTTTTTGTGCTTTTGTTGTAAAAGGAGAAGAGTGATTTTGTATTCTTTTGGTACTTTTGTGCATCATTGTCCTGATTTAGATTCTGCATTTTAGTTACAATTTGCAATTTGTTTCTTTTGAACTAATTTACAGCTGAGCCAAGTTGTGCTTGGTAAGGGATATAGAGGGCATCTGAGCTGAATCGGGGGGGAACATCCATTTTGTATAGGTGCCTGTAGATAATTTGTAATTAAACTGTGGTTAAATTCTTAACTTCTTAACATGCTGAGATCTGGTAAGGTCAGTAAAGTTGCTGATAAGAAGTACTTTTGAGGAAGAAGAGAAATCTGTTAATGCAACCTCAGACAGGGTGATACAATCCATTACATTACACCGGAAAATTAAAATTCATGTAGAAGTAAGAGCACTGCTGTTTGTACCAGCATTGCTCCATCTCCATTATCACAACTCCACCTGGCCTGTCTGCAACAGCAGGGAAGAGGGAAGCCGTGGTTTGTGTGTAACGCAGCAGACAGCGAGGGGCCAAGGCTCTGCATCGGCCGGTAGATAGAGCAGGTCTGCAGCCGGGACCTGAACCCACAACCCACCCTGATGAGTTGAGAGACCTGCCCCCACAGGATAAGCAACGGGATTTTTTTTAAAAAGTGTTTGAACAGTGTGTCTCCTCCCTGCCAGGTGCGCACGTTCTACACGCAGGTGCTGAGCGAGGAGGAGCGCCAGCGGCTGTGCCAGAACCTGGCCGGGCACCTGAGGGGAGCCCAGCTGTTCATCCAGAAGCGCATGGTGAGTGAGCACTGGCGCCCCTGAAGGCAGCTGGGTTCACACCGAGCGTGATCTGCGAGTGGGGCTGAGCAGGCAGCACAGGGAAGAGGAGGGCGAGAACAAAACCCGCCAGGCCGCCATGTGAAAAACCCCTGAGCTGACACGGGCAGTGTGCAGCCTCCAGGGACTCCACAGCCCGCCTGTCCTAGGGCAGTCTTGGATCAACCTTTTTTTTTTGTGCTAAAGGGGGGAAAAAGGTTTAGGTTTTTGGTTGTAAAGAAGGTTGAGACCCAATAAAATCATAGAATTTGCTTACAAAGGAGGTAGTGGGTTCTGAAACCTACAGACTTTTATAGAGGTAAGGGATGAAGTCTCTTGCTCTGCTTTTTAAGACCCGTCATACAAGTGTGGCCTACAGTGTTTTCTCTTGCTTTTGTAGCTGCAGACATGCTTGCAAGACCACAGAGCCTAAAAGCTTGTGCTGGCGCCATTGTGGCAAGAGGCCTTGCAGATATGGGCTGAAATGGAAAAGTTTTTTCAGGATTGGTAGGGTAGTGGAACAGTAAGTGCTGAGGATGAACATCCTAAATTTTTTGGGCCCTGGCAGATGATGCCCATAAAAGCTCTGTACACTGCAGTACAGCAGGAACTGTCCTGATGCCCAGCATCTAAAGCATGCCACTGTTGAGCTATCTTGCCTGTGCTTGATATGACTCTGAACAGTGCTCAGCTGAGCTGCTCAACCTGCTGAATTCCAGTCCACATCACTGCAGAACCTGAGCTCGTTGATCCCGCTCGTTACCAGTTGAACAATCAGGGAGACGGCGCAGGACTGAATCTGGTCCCCTTGGCTGATATTTCTGCCGCCGGTGATGTTTCAGTTGCAGAACCTGATGGCTGTCCACCCAGACTATGGGAACCGAGTGCGGGCTCTGCTGGATAAGTACAACGCTGAGGCCGACAAGGTAGGTCAGGAGTGCTCTGAACACGAGGCGCTGCCTACTCCCGTGTCCCTGATCCACGGTTCCTGCGTTCCTGGACCGTTCAGGGACAGTCGTTGAGTAATAAACCGCTCATCATGGGGAAAAATTGAATAACATTTCGCATGTTAGATTCATGTTCTACAGCCTCCTTTTGTACTGCAACGGGCGTTTGTTTATCAGTTATCTGATTTGCCTGTACATTGACATTCCTGTATGTTTTTTTTTTTTTAAACGGCTGGGTTTGAACATTAGAACATGAGACTTGCTCCGATCAAGAGGAGGCCATTTGGCACTCGGTCCCTAACTGACCTGAGGAGAGGGTCTTGGGTGGAGCCAGGGTATTGGGTTTGACGAGACTGCAGGGTAGCTTGTTCCCTGCTCCCCCACCCCTTGGTGCAAACGGGCTTATTTGTTTATATACTGTAGTTTTATTCCAGCATGCGTTACGTATGAAAATGTTCATCATTATAAATATCCATTTTAACTGTGAACTGACTGGGATTTCAGGATTAACTGACCATAAATGTTTTCGTTTCCTCCAGAACGTGATCCGGGTCTATTCCCCCACCTCCCAGTCGCTTGCTGCCTCCAAGATGTAACGTCCCAAGTCCATGGAGAGCGTGCCAGTGGACACCACAGGCTAATGGTGTTATTCCTGCTGTTTCCTGACATGTAACAATAAGCTGAAGAATCAGATTTCTAATGACGACTAGTAATTGGATTCTTAAACACTTAGGATAAGAATTGGTTTTATAAGCTAGGTTTTGAATTTTTCAACTAATCAAGTGGGGTGGCCAGGCAGGGGTAAAGCCTTAAGGTCTGGCTTGGTGATCACACTTTTTTTCCCAGTTTGTGTAAAAAGTGATTGGTGGGTTTTTTTGGGTCAAATTTGAGTCCCATTAACATGGCTAATAGGACTAGTTTCTGAGACAGACACCTGTATTAGGAGATGTAGTTCCACTTTTCTAACTACTGGAGGGCCAGATACTGCTCACCTGTTTAGTGGGATGAGGAGCTGAAGGATTTGCAGTGTTTTAGAAGTGGCATTGTGTGATTGAAAGGCAAAGCCTTATCGATTTCATATCCTGTTCTGTCATGCATGTCAGTTTTGTTTTTTCATCCAGATATTGGAGACTGCACAATCCTGCAGTTGTGGGTTACTGGCCAGGGGGAAAAAAAACTTCCCCTGCTCCTCAGGATCCTTGCATTGTACAGTTGGGCACCAATTTTGAATGGGGGGTGTATTGTTTGTACAATGCACTGCTGTAGGCTCAAGGAAACCAGGCTCAGCAGAGACATCTTTTCCATTTGGATAAGATCCTCTTACATCAGTCCCAGTTAACCTGGCACTGGAAAAAAAAATGCTTTTCCTGAAAGTAGGAATTGGTTTTCATGTTTTGCTCATCCGAGACATGTAGTGGCCCACTGGAGCAGCACTTACAGAGTCTCCAATGCCAGAATGAGGCTGTTAATTTAGGATTTGTGCTTTCTGAAGGAACCCTGTTCTATCTCCTTACTCCGTCCATGTGCATGACGAGCAGTAGTCAAAAACTGTTTTGAGCAGTTAAGGTTGAAATGTTCAATATTTCGAGGGAATTCGTCTTTTTTGTTGGGGAAAGTAAACTGACTGTCAATGCAATTTCATTTTCGATTAATATACCTGCTGATTTATTATATACAATTGTTAACCTCCAGCTATGGATGCTTTCAAAAGCTTGGATTTCTAAACAAATCTGCTAATAAAGTTACTTTCTTTTCAATGGATTTGAAAGTTTTCCCTGGTGATCTTTTTAGATTTATTTGAAAAGACACATTTATGGTCTGGGAAATCCAGCTTTGTACCCTTGAGTTCTTGAGGTTTTTTGGTCAGCAAATGTGTAGACACTTATAGCACGTCAACCCAGACAGCAGCCTTACAATGTAACTCTATGCCCCACAGCGATGTTGTTTTACAATTAATTACCTGTCTGCAGGTATTGGTGGAAGAGACTTGGATGGACCTTGACCGATTCAAATTACACCTTTGGGAAAAGAGAATTCCAAGCAAGATCTTTAAACTACAGACCTGTCTGAGCAACCAACCTCATATCTAGGTGGTGCTATGAGAGGAGGGAGAGTAATAAGAGAGAATGCCAGCGCCTGTCATGGGAGCAAAGGTGAAACCATGGTTTACAGTAAGAATCGCTAAATCCTCTCTGGATTTTTTCTGGTACCCAGAGGGAAACCCTCATGAGCCTGGGGAGAACATGCAAACTCCACACAGACAGGCACCCAAGGCTGGAATCTGCTGAATCAATCCCCCTCCCCCTGTACTGAACACAAAATAGCAGCATATTTGTCAGTTATTTCCCCAATAGCTGTTGCATTTCAAGTATCCAAACCACCAAGGTATTTATGTACAGCCACCACTGAGAGTGGGGGGGGGGGGGGAATCTTCCAACCGTGAAAAACAAACCAGGATACACAAAGTACAAAAGAGAATGAGGCTGTTGATTGTTTTTTGTGGATCTCTGATCTGGCAATCGGCTTCTGCAATACAGCTGGGGAGCATGAGGCAGAGCCCACCCATTAAGTAATAAAGTTTTCAATTAACATTTGTGGGCTCTGGCTTCTGTTTTACCAAAGTGTCTGAATTCTAAGGGGTTGATGATACTATTGTTACTGAACACTGTCTATTGCTAGATTTGGACTGAACCGTGAACCAAATTTTAAACCTTTAACAATTTTGTACACATTCGGGTGCACCTCTCTGAACATCCTGTTGCCAGTCTCTGACGTCCATAAGGGCTTTCAGCTAATATCCTATTCACTTACACCTTGCAAAACACATACAGGCCTGAGCTTGTGGTTTCCATTCTCGAGCAGCTCTGTGCCAGCTTGGTTTCCTGTAAATGCCAGTTTGTTGCCAAAAATGGATTAGTTTCTGGTTTGGAATGAAAAAATAAAAATGTGCTATGTTCTACATTTCAAAGACTTTATCAACATATCTGTGTGTTTTAGTGGAAAGTTTTACATGCAGCCATCAATTGCTTGTTAGGCAAAGGTGATTAACAAGTTCAGGAAGGATAACCATGACATTTATTGGTAAATAAACTTTGATTGAAGTCAGTCTCACACAGCTGGTCCTAATTGCCACCATTCCAGAAATTAGATCCAGTACAGTGTAAATCAAACATCTCCGTTCACATTTGTCTGAAGCATCCCTCCACCTTACAGCTGTCCCCTGGTTCTCTCCTCCCTGACTGGGGTTCGAGACCTCTCATCCTGGGTCCAGGAGGCTACCCATTAAGCCAACAGGATCAACCAAACCTACAGCATACCGTCACAAAAATCAGAACATTCACGATGCATCTCATTCTTGGAGATTGTTGTCTGTAGTAAAATATATTTTCTGAATATACTTTTACCAGTTCAGGTCAAGTATTTGCTTTTCTGTTCGTGGGCTTTGAGAGGTCTTGCAGATGGCTGTGGTGCAATCGGTCTGAGCCCGCCCCCCGCTGTCAGAGAGAGATATAAAACAGGGCGAGAGAGCTGGGACCCACCTCACTCCTCACGCCGCTGGAGCCCCGGACAGTCCTCAGCCGCCATGACGTCCACGGTCGCCACCTCCAAGTCCGAGGGCACAGCTCAGTTCCCCCAGACCGTCGTGGTCGAGGTGGGAGATAACCCGAACCTCATCCGCGATCACATCGTGTGGTCAATCTGCAGCTTCTCCATGCTCAACTGCTGCTGCCTGGGACTGGTGGCGTTACTGAACTCCGTAAGGGTGAGTAGGCTCCGTTTTTCGTGCCTTTCTCTTAGAGCGGATTTCATGCGAAAGTTTCTTTAATACACATCAGAGCTGCTGTTCTGCGGACAACTTACCCCATTATACACTACAGGTGCAATTAAAAATGTGATCATCTTTTCTTGCCTTAAATCTTTTGGCTGTTCTGTTGCAGGTGTATAGGTGTTAAAATTCCTATACTGCATCACATCAACTGAATCTTTGTCAGTTATTGGTTATACATATTGTAACGCTTACGGCCGACAGGCACTGTGTAAGAGCCGGCGTACCAGAGCAGGTGATGTCACCGCCCTTCCCTGTGATAGGGATGGGGAGAAATCTCTCTTTAGCTCACGGAGCTAGATCGCTGCAGAGAGACGCGGGAGTCCTGGGTTCGAGCCCCCGACGGTGGGGGGCCGACCTAATGCGGCAAGGGCGCCCGCCTGAGCCCCCGTTGTGTTACAATATGTATAACCAATAACCTGGTAAAGTTAAACCATTGAAGGGCTACGGCGCAGTACCGAGTACAATCTGGAAACAACAGTAGCGACAGAAAAAAAAAATAACAACGATGAAAACGGTCAAAATATACAAAATAAGGGATTGTTCCACTTACACTGGGTCTCGCTAGACTTCTACATTTAGATTTTTCCGGGGATGTAAAAACTATTAAGTTAACTTATTTTGTATCACCACGTTTGTTTGTTTTTTAACAGGCGAGAGACCAGAAGCTTGTGAGGAACCTGGAGCTCGCCAGAATCTTCGGAAATCGTGCGCGAACTTTCAACATCGTCTCCAACGTACTGTCGCTTCTTACAATCGTGATATTTCTAGGCATATACGCGGCAGCAATCGGCCATGTCATTTCATCTGTGAAGAGAACATAACTGGACCCTTTGAAAGACCGCAAAGTAGTTTTGCTTTAGTCTGCTTTTCAAAAAGGGAATTTAGTATGTTAATTTTTTTATTTCAAAAGCTAAGGCTATAGCAAAAAAATGAACTATGCTTTTGTGAAGCACCCTTGATTTCTGTGTGTAAATGCTTGTGATTTTGTAATCATCCTACTGTTAGTCCCGCAAGCAAGGCTTTTGTCCGTATGTCACTTTGAGCTTATTAACTATAAAATCATATTAGCAGGAAACGCACGATAAGAACTGTTAAGAGCCATTACAATTGCCAAAGCAACCATTAAGAAGCAAGAAGCGATTTCTTCTGGGATTCTCAACTGCATGTTGGGCTCAAACATTTAAAAATCTGAAAAAGATGAACGATCCGTGCTCGATGTGAGTAATCTTGTAATTAAAATTGTGTTGGATAATATGCTGTGGATTTAATGTTTCCTCATTGTTGCCGGGAATAAGGTGTACATAGATTATTTTGTGTACGTTTATGAGAGTGTGTATATACAGTGTACGGCATATTACGGTTTTTGAATATCGCATCATGACTGTTCCTTAAATTGAAAAGAGTTCTGAAAATTCAGAAAATTGCTTCAAATCGATCATTTCAATTGATCACTGAGAACTAATATACAGCAGGTATGTCTCCTGCGGAAGATCCTGGCCATGAATACTGTGACTCGAGTTACCAGCTGCCCATTCACTGCTTACGCAACAAAACCGTTCGGCGATCCTTTGTAGAAGGTCTTCTTTGACGTAAGATAGTTCAAGACAAACCACAGACCTGCACGCCCGTTCTGGGAGTCGTTAGTGTACTACGTTGTAACCTACAGGACTTAGCTACAAAGTGAGATCAACTAAACCGATGCAATTTGTGTCACTAAGACTCAACCAAAGATTTTTGTATCAGTGACATTAACAAATCGAATTAATTTAGCATGGAAAAGTGAAAGTAGGCTCAGCAAACCACTGCGATATAAAATAAGAATTTTTAAGATGTTGCAGAAATTTAAACTTAGATTTTTCTTAGTTACGATTGGTTAATATAAATCTGAGTTATGAGGTATTCACTTTTCAAATATATTAATGCAATTTGGATTAATGAAGTTTGTCTTAACTCTTGTACTAGTTTGTTTTAAATATATAATTAAAAACATGAATTCCCTATTAATAATTACAGTAAATAGGTAATTATTTAAAGATCAACTTTCTTATAATGTTGCGTTAAATTCATTCAGAATCGTAAAGAAGCAAAGAAAAATACAGAGCACGGTTGTCTCAGATCTAGAAGATCAATATTATCACTCACGAATGCAGTGATAACACGATTTCAATAAAAAGTGGTCACCGTTTTTACTAAATACGACACCAGAGCCGTCTTCCGGAAAAAAAAAATCCATCATCCAATGAACGTGCAGTAGCTGATTCAAGGTTGTGATCAAGTCTCAGTTACAATGGATTTTGTACAGACTCGTTTCAAGCTCTAGAGGTGTGGTTTTCCCACATCTCATACAGCATTCCTATTTGTTAATGCACGGTGAGCCTCTTGGGTCACTCAACGAACTTCACGAGTGAATAAGCAGCTGCGTACTAAATTGCTGTTTAGTTAGTTTCGTACTTTCCGGAGATCATCTCCAGCGGAGTTAAATTGCAGCGGAACAAAGTTGGAGTTCAGATGAACTTGTTCCTAATCCAGTTCCCAGGGCTCGGCGTTGTTGTACTAATTAGCCCGAACTGCAGGGGACTGTGATTCAGAACATTCCAATTCATCTAATTAGTAGGCTAATACGTAGGTCACGTTAATATACAGTTATTACTTTGTATGTTTCTTGTTTATTTTGAAACTGAACTTCCTGAAAAATTAGTTTTTAATTTATAAATTGCATTTAGGCTACAATTCACCGGATGAGGGGACGTAGTTATTGATGAGATACTCAATTGCAATTAGTCACGAAACAAATGAGAAGCGCAGCCGCGCCTTAGGAACAGACGCACAGTATTATTGCGGCTTTAATTTCGTGTAACGAGACACTCCAGACGAACAAGCGGACACGTCGCTACTGCTACATCGTTACGAAAGACACCAACTAATGACCAGTAAGGTTAAGTTTTATTCACATATCTGGAAATTCAACTTTATAAAATTACTTGAGCAAAAAAAAAAACATTGAACAAAGCTTTTGGAATTGTAAAACAACGCTTTGCTTGTTTGTCATTTGGTTTGCGTACCAGTCCGTCAAGAGCCAGCACCCTCATCATGGTATGTGCAGCCCTACACAGCCTTGCGATTGACTGGGATGAGCCAGCTCTTCCGTCTCCGAGGCACGCAGCGCACTCCGGCTGTTTCAACACGGTCATTACTGGAGCACAGCCACACCACAGAGAACCATCAGAATCACTTTCAAGATGCCGAAACGTACCACCCATTTCCTCTGATGACCACAAATATGGATCACCATCACAATAAAATATTTCACAGATCCTGTTCAGTTGACTCCCCGATATTGAAGAACAGATTAAAGCTCACGCTCCATTTCTATAATCATTGGCTTTAGTTCCGTTCTCTTCACTCCCTATGAGATCTTAATTCACAGCTAGTAATAATGACTGGCATTAGACGTATTTATTAGAAAATGACACTTTTGTCAATACACACGTATTAATAAATTTCGTTATTAATAGATGTGGTATGACTGTTAAGCAATTCTCCAAGCGATGGATGCATAAATTCAGTTCGTAGTGACGATATTATCTCCACTACATTCGAGAGCCTTCTAATGCGTTACGCCGTATGGTACTAAGTTGCTTAAACCCTATGAAGAGGTGGTTTAAGTTAGTCCGCTACTTCTCTAGAGGGCAGAAGCTGTTACCTTGTGTTCATTGCAATTGAGAACAGGTTTAGTACGGCGCTGCGGACTAAGCATAGCAGCAAAGTTCGTTGCAATTAGTCTTAAGGTAGATCACACACTTAGACTGCAGATGCCTACTAAGCACGGGTTAAACTCCCGTTAGTACGCTACTTTCAGTTCATTGCAATTGGTCTCCAAAACACGACTTTGACGTCCCTTAATAATTGCTTTCACTTATATAGTGCTTTTCTGGACACTCCACTCAGCGGTTTACGGGTAATGGGCACTCCCCTCTACCAACCCCACCTGGATGAGGTGACAGAAGTCATAGTGCGCCAGTATGCTCCCCCCACAGCACTCTCAGTTTTTCCCAGCAAGTCTCCCATCCAGGTACGGACCAGGCTCACACCTGCTGAGCCTCGCTTGGTTGCCAGATGTGAATTGCAGGGGGACATGGCTGCTAGCAAAAAGCTTTGCCCCGTGTGAGGATCAAACTCACGACCTTCAGATTATGAGACTGACGCGCTACCTACTGCGCTAACGAGGCTCGGTTGTAACATCACGCTCCAGAATGTCCAGAATGTCTCCATAATATTGGAAGAGCGCTACAGTTCTGATCTCTACAGAGAGAATTGTGAAGTAATGGTTTCGTTTTAACAGTCTTCCCATCAAGCTACCCCCCCCCAAGAGACAAGTACTCTTACTGGGCCAGGCGTTGTGTTTGGACCTGAATAAAAATCCCACTTTTGGCACAGATGAGGAAAAACAGGGGGAGACGCTGAAAAAAAAAAACCCGAAAGCAACTCTGAATATCTATTACAATTGTAAAGTGAACTTCCTTTCTAAGTTTCGTACAATAAAATATAATTTAAAAGGCTGTCTAGCTATCGTATTAACGTTTTAGACTGACTTAATAACCAGTTCCTAATATAGTTAACAGGCAGGTCTATTCGTCTCCATGGTTTTCTAAAGTGGTCTGCCTATATTTTAATACAATACTTTAAACTGTGAACTGTTAAATCATAAGTATTTCACATAAATGTAACTGAACTCACATTCAGTGTGTAACTAGACTGACAAGCTCAACCTCACAAGCAATCACACCAAAAACCACAAACGTTGCACGATTTCACACTTTCCTTACCAAATGCAGCAAAAGCGGAATGCACAACAGGCCGAGATGACGGTCTTGTGTCTGCAAATGCTTTTGAAAACCGTGATCGTGGGCGCTGCGGAAAAGCTTCGTTTTCCCCACAGTTGATTGCGAGCCACAGTTCGCAGTTCACATTGACGCCACTAGATGGCGCCGAAGGCTTTCAGGTGCGGCGAAGTTCCTGACTCCGGCTGCTCCCCATGCCCAGCAGGAGCCGACAGTGGAGGGTGCAGTCCAGCGGAGGACCCTCCCGAAGAAGACGTTTTAGCCGAGTTGCAACACATAAAACCCGGGTACTATTACAGACTTCATGTAAAGTTATTATAGTATCGTTATTGGTTTTCTGGCACTGCACTACTGCACTACTTCCAGGAAGGTGGGTATAGGTCAGTTACCACCTGGGGATCCACTGTGAGACCACAACCCTGCAGCCCCCCCACTAGGAAACTCCGGGTAAACCCAGCTGAACAGGCATAGAAAACCCAGGGCCAGCCGCTAGTGGGTTGTTCTTTACTCACACCAATGCCGACGGGCCATGCCTACAGGGGCGGACACGTTCATGACCACCTCTGCTCTGTGCTGATCCCAGGACCACCGTGGCGGCAGGACGAAGGGGATTCTCCAGTCAGCGAGGACTCCTCTGGCCTCACCGAGCCGAGGCCTCTCCCCAGAGCGCAGGAAGGTGGCGGCGGGAGCGACTCTTGCCCCCGCAGGAAGCACCCGAGGCCACCCGAGATGCAGGCGACCTGCTGCTCAGCACGGTGGGCTTGAGGGGAGCGCGGCTGCCCTTCTCCGGCAGACATCGTCGACACGGGCGGCCATGGCAATCCGAGCTCCTGCTCAGGGGGCAGCTCCCCGCAGGCCAGACACGCCCTCTCGAAACAGGGCCAAGAGCGCCTCGTCCCCCCAGCCGCTCTCGGCAGCGGAGGCCGTAGATGGCCGCCGGTCGACCCCCCTGCTGGAGACCGAGAGGCGCGGTCGGGGACGTCACACGCCAAGCTGAGCTCAAGAAAGTTACCTCACACCGGACCCCCTCTCTCCCACACACAGGGCGGCCGCCTAGGCCAAAGCATCTCCGGACAGCAGAGAAGATATACGCCACTTTGGCCAGGTCAGAGGGAAAAGACCAGGGCTGCATAGAGAACACAATGACACACAGCGTTGAGAGGCCACGGCCGCTTGCAGGGTCTCCAGAGAAGGGCTGAGGGGCGGATAGGCGGCTCCCGGTACCTCTGAACAGGGCGCGGCACCTCGGGAGAGAACGGAGGCCGGACGACAGAGCGAGGAGAGCGCCTTCAGCATGGTGCTCGTAGTAACGCACAGGTTTTGTACCGCTTTGATCAGCCGGGATACTATCGCCTCTTGGGAGCTTAAAGCGGAGCTGCGACAGGCCAGTGTAGGAAAGGTATCCTCAGAGCTGGACTCCGCCGTACTGCAGCGCCTCTGCGCTCACCGGCAGAGCCGCGACGGTGCAGGTTTTTTTTGCCGTTCTCTGCCAGTTCCAAGACATGTACAGGTACAGTAAAGAGCAGACGTCTCCCGAACCTGTCCATCGCAGTCCCTTGTTTTCCGCGGTGTAAGTCACGCTATGAGCTCATACATGGAAACACAATTAGCAATGACAAGAAAATGTTGTTGATGCATATCCTTCAATTTGAGAAACGTTAGTCCTGAAGAAAACCGATGTCAGATGGAATGTTAACAACTGTAGTTTTATCTGTAGACATTATTTTCCCAGATCGTTGCCAAGGTGCCATAATATCAGTTCACCACTAAACTTTGTCTGCTCTTAACAGCTAACAGAAATGAACTTAAATGTCTATAGGTGTTTCTTTGCCATGAAGTATATAGTGAAACGCCCACTAAACTTTGTCTGCTCTTAACAGCTAACAGAAATGAACTTAAATGTCTATAGGTGTTTCTTTGCCATGAAGTATATAGTGAAACGCCCACAGAAAACCATTGCATAAACGCTGTGTGCCTAACGTCTTTTTTTTAATACATCAACAAAAAGTTTTGACATAATTGCAGAGCTTAATCTCTAGAGAAAAGAAGGAATGTAGTTGCCTGACATCACGAATGGGGATGACGTTTCCAGGGTGGCCCTGGGTCAGAGACTGGGCCAGCAGCAGTCTGCCCGCTGCCAGGAGAGCGCTGTGGCCGTGGGCGGTGTGGAGCCCGGATCTGGCCCTGAGGCTGCGGAGCGCACAGGCACGGCCCCCTCTAGAGCCGGCTCCTGTGCCGGGAACGTCGTTAGGAAAGGGGGCAGTGGCACTGGGAAGGAAGTAGGAGGCTGTGGAGAGTTTCCCGTAAACCCATTCGTGATGTCAGGCAACTAAATTCCTTCCTTTCTGCAGAGATTAAGCTCTTCAAATAAGTACTGTTCGTATGTCCATATCTCACTGGAGAAACCCAACGTGTTTTATAGTGGGATCCTAATGTCTTGTGTTCAATACGTGCTTTATAATTGTTTGCTGAGGCGCACTGTGCGCATTCGAAATAAAACATCTCTCCCAGTAGCTCTGCATTGATGTGAAAGAGCATACACGGTTTTTGACAGATTGAACTACAGGCTTCGGAAACCAAAGCTGAGTGACGCTAAACAAGATACCAGCAACAGAAATGTCGCTACTAATGCAGTCTCGAACACTGCTAGAAACGGAGACAGACAGTTTAGGAGCTCCGACTGATTCAGCTCGTTACGGATTTCTTCATGCGATTTAAAGTCTATGCTTTATATAGCTGCACAACATTACTCCAAATCATAAAAGTGAGCCGTGATGAAAACTTCCGGCATTTTGGTGGTTTTCTTCAAAGTGAGGGCGTCATGGAAAAAAAGAAGAGAAGAGCAGGAGTTTTTTTTTCTTTCGACGCATTAATTTGGTTTTCGGGAAAGGTAAATGTGAGGAGGCAACAGCCTCCTGAATCAGTGGAATTCAATTCCTTATTTGGGAGCAAATCACAGAAGCCCGACTCCAGCTGCCGGGGCGGAGGCAATGACGTCACCTATTGGGGAGAACAGGGGACGGCGATCAAACGGGTTTCGTGCGCGCTCGGGGATAAAAGCATCCTTCCTTTATATTCCGAACACACTCTGCAACCTCTGGTGTTGTTCTCTGTCTTCCCGAGCTCGGTTTGTGGTGCCTTCACTGGGCAGGGTCGATAGCCAGCATGGAGAACTTGAAGTATTCGCCAGAACTCTTGCCAATGCAGGGCAACAGCTACGAGCGTCTGAAGGAGCCGCGGGTCGTGACTTTGCCGAGCAATGCCGCGGTGGTCACCATAGGTCCCCCTGCGAAACCGCCTCGGGACCACATCATTTGGTCCCTCTTCAGCACCATCTATATGAACTATTGCTGCCTGGGATTTGCGGCTCTCTGCTACTCGATCAAGGTGAGTGCGAACAGCCGAGCTCTCTACCGTTCAAGTCCGTTTGCGCTTCGCTTGTACAGCGCGCCTTGATTTCCGAGGCGCACAGTTGAACGCTTCTATCCTTCCAGAGCACCCGTTACTGCGGTATACGTGTTAAAAATTAAAGCAGGTAAAAAGTGATCCTTTCTGGGGTCTTAGAGCGGTTTCTCAAGTGGCGTGAACCGTAATTGTTCTACCTTATCTTTTCTCTGTGTGTATATATATATAAACAATATATATATATTAATATAAAAAGACCCGGTTTAAAGAATGGGATTTGAAGGGACTGCAGACAGTTCTTTTCGTTTCTTTTATGATTTGGGATCTGGTCAGGCTATCACTAGAAAAAGTTTGCGTGTTGGAAGTAAGTTTTTTTTTTTCTACTCCAGGAATAGTATAAGTGATTTAATGTTACTCGCTATGATTTAATTCTTCTACAGAAAAAAATAAACAGATCGCACATAGCGAAGCATGTAGACACGTCAAGGTCCTGTGCACAGAAACGGCACACATTGCCTTCCAATGGAAGCCCACTATCCGTCTGTTGTGCCCAAAATGCCGTAAACAGTAAATGGCTCCATCGTTCTAAGCTCGGGAAGGGTGTAAAATATCCCGTTTCCGTGCTCGACAGCGCTGTAGGTTAAGAGGAGCACCGCTAACAATGAGACTTCGAGCTCAGAGTAATCTCCCCCACAGAATCTGGGGGCCCTACTTGGGGAGTCTCTCTAAAATACAACTCCTTGTTCACCGGGAACGAATGAAATGCAGCCCATCATTAAATGCGATTGCACTCAGACATTCAATTACCTTGAACCAGTCTTGTCGTGGTGAATATGGAGTAACTGCATGGGACGTCGGTGAGATGTCACTGGAATATTGGAGGTTCGGATCACAGGACTTGTCAGAACATAAGTGTTTGCTGAATCTTGGGGCTTCAGATGGTCCCGAGAGTCCCACTGAGTGGGTTCTCGCCCTGCGTCCTTCCATCAGCGCAGATGGACAGCTCGCTCCAGATTCCCACAGCGCAGAGGCTCTTGCTTTGCTGGAGACCCTTCCTGCTCTGTTCTGGACGGGGCTGCAGCTGGGCTGGGCTCGTTCCTGGACGGAGATGCGTGGCAGCGCGGCCAGTTCCCATCCTCCTGATGGTGATGTGTGTTTGTGTCTCCCGCTGCAGGCCAGGGACAGGAAGGCGCTCGGGGACCTGGAAGGTGCCCGGGGGTATGCGTCCACCGCCCGCTGCTTCAACCTGACCACGCTGATCTTGTTCCTCATCACCGTCCTGGTCCTCATCATCCTCATCTCGGTGGGAGTAGTGTACCCCATGGAGCTGCGGCCGTTCCCACCCTCCCTCAGAGAGCCGGGGGGTGTCTAACGCGCTAGCCCCCTCCAAGAACTTCACTCGTACTCGGTTGTTCTGACTCTTTTTTGTTTTGTTTTTTTTGTACATGAGACTTGAGTTTTCTACTTTTGTACTGCTCTTTGTGTAGCGTCTCCTTTGAAAAGTTTGTCTGACTTTCTTCCTGTGCAGCCATCTGTGAATGTGATTTAGTTGTTTTTTTTTTCCCCCATCTGCTTGTAATTGTGGTTCTGAGTTTGGATTTAGTTTTTCTTCTCTTGGTGTGTGTGTGTGTTGAATGAAGCCTACGGGTCAGAAATGTAAATGGAACGCATTAAACTTTGACTGGCAAAAAATCTGGACTCAATGTTATTTTTTTCCTCAGATCTTTGAGTAAGAGCTGATTTGCCAACTAATATTTTTTCTAATAGACTTCTTCAGAATCAGCTTTGAAACACTCACTAGTGTGGCACAAATGGAACACTCCAGTGTAAGAGAACTGTGCGCCCAGAAAGCAGTCACCTCTCTGGTGGGGTGGACAAACAAGCGTACTAATAACTTTCCACTTGACTTTGTTATTGGGGAATTAATAATACATTTCTTATTACAGTAGAACCCAAAATGATCACCACTTGAAATGGCCAACCTGATCAATGTTGCTACAGCACAGCTGTGTCGGTGGTACAAACATCAGGCTTTTACAAGACTGTAAGCCTCCAATCCCTCATAATGCATTAACATGGTCCTGGAGGGCTGGGGTATCTGGTTTTCAGTCTTGCCAGGACATTAGAGACAAACATCAGGTCATTATTGGTTTCACTGGACCAACTGAATAACTTGTTCACACTCTTCAAGGTGCTGATGCATCAGAGATCTCCCAAACCTGCAGACATTCCAGCAACCCAGGACAAAGACTGGGGATCTGGCGGCAAATACCTAAGGTTTTTCTTAGGATGATGTTTTGTAATAGCTGGGTTATCCGTGTCTCAAGGCTGCCTACTTAATCTTGAAATGAGGACACAGGCTCCATTGCAACAGTTCTTAAACTTGTTTTATTGAAGAACCAGGCTGAAGGAACAATAAAGAGAAAGCTGAAATTACAGGAGTGTCCTATAGGCGACACAATGCCTTGGCAAACTGAGGTTTTTCTGTGTAATCAGGTATCAACGAATGTTAATACATCACTCTCTGGGTCCTTTTGTGAGGAATGTTCTCAATAGTGGCACAGCCCACTGATTATTGTTATTTTTTAGTTTTTAATGCAAACATAATTCCAAGGTTTGCGTAACCTGGCTGAGGGGCTCTGTAAGCCAAACTTTTTCCATCTTTTGTCAGGGTCTGAGAACTGTGATAGACAAAAATGGAGATGTTTAACATCTAGCTAGGTCCTTGCCATTATTCCAGGCTCAGGCTGAATTTTGATGGGTATCCAGAAGCGCTCATCAACAAATTGCTTAATCACCTTAAGCACAACTTTATTTTTTATCCCAAAGAGCCTCTCCTTGCCAAGTTTTTCTTTTTACGTGTTTGTCTTGTGAGAAAAAATGATTGCATAACAGTCATGTGGAAATGAGGGAGGGGGTCCCCTTTGACAGGGTGGGATACCTTTGAGTTCTTTTGGGGTTATATATAAAAGATTACTTGCCAAGTTTAATGAAATTAAGAGTGTGGTTACACGCTTGGCTGAGTGAAATATCCACAGGAATTTTCCCAGCTTATCTCCACTGTAAAGCAGCCCAGACCAGACAGAAATGTAAGAAAGTTTGATACATATGATCTCATGCAGTCGTTTTTTTAAAGAAGCCAGGGTGTCTCCTTCAACAGCCTGGCTGGGTAGTTTGTTCCACACACCCCCAACCATCTGTGTAAACCTGGAATAACAGTGTGACTGAGAAGATGGAGCAGCTTACTCTTGTATAAGGAGTCCTGTAGGACAGACAGTTCAGGTTTGGGGTGGGCAGTCCCAGAGGGTTGGTGTTTCTGCGGGTTTACCTCTATTCTTAATGCCCAAAGCCAGTTCATAATTGACTTAATGGGATCTTTTGATCGCCCGATGGGAGCTGGTGTTCGGAAGAGATCTAGAAAGCCTTCAGACTCAACAGCCCTCCAGGACCAGGACTGAACACCCCTGCACTAGAGCGTGACCTGCAGAATGAAGTGTGTGATCTGGGTCTGCTTCCTCCCAGATACCCACTGTTTGCTGTTAGGGGAAAATCAGGAGCAATAGAAGATATATCTGTCCTTAACTTCCTCTGAAAGAAGCCAAAGAAAATTGTTTATTCCATTATGCAGGAAACTCATTAGGGGAAGGTTTTGCCCTGTGATCCCAGGATAAGATACTGTGTTTACTGTGACCCTATCCAGGAAAAACTGTGTGAGAGAGACCACATGATTTCTCACTGGGGACGGAATACAGATCCATCTCTGGGAAACAGAGAGAAAAAGACAATTTTTAAGCCAATAATACCCAGCCTGCACTGCTTCAGAGGCTGAAGTAAATGGAAAATGCACATGATCACATCTGGGTACCACGCAAACTCCATACAGAAGAGGTCCAGCACATAATTGAGCCGGGACAGAAGAGTTTTGAGGCCATAGTGCTTAACACCATGCCAGTCTGCTGCTTATTCCATGTAATATTTTTAATGAGCAGCTCCTTATTTTTCTTACCATGCTGCATACCATTCCATCCCATGCTTTTTCCTGGAGCTATCACCCCAAATCCTCAGGCAAAAAGACTGACCAAGAAAACAAAAAAGGTTCTTTATTAGTTATAGTCATTCTTTACCAGTCTCACATTGTTATTGTGTTTGTAAAAATCAGCCTCACATTGCTTATTGATAACTGTTGCAGGGGAAGGTTTTCTGTTAACATTTAGACAATTAACATGTAATTTTCCTTTCTTTTGTGAAATAGTCACTAAAAAAGGATTTTAAGAGGAGCCTGGTATTTAAGAAAATCAAGAACTGTTTTCACTGCAGTGGCAGCTACATTGAATCTTTCGACAGGTTGGAAAATGGCACTAGAAAGAGGAAGAGAATATCTGAACTCCAGACTTGGGCACACCAGTGGTAATGTTTTTATAACTTGCTAGCTGTGGTGCTAGTCCAGAGGATAAAACAGGCCTTTATTTCTGGTTTGTTTCTGCTTGGCTGGGACAAAGACTACAGCTTCCAATAAATCAAGCCAGAAACAATGGTAACATTTAACACTGACAGAATGTTTATTCACAGAGCCAGAGATAAACGCCACAGAGTATCTGTTTATTTCTATGTTATACACACATTTAAATTGAACTGTGTTTTGCTTGCAGGAATGTCCTTGTTTTCCTGAGCGAATGAAGCTTGACAATATTGCCTCAATGCTACTCTCTAGTCTTAACATTTTGTTTTTAAAAGGAATGGAGTCCATTTGTAAAACACTTTGTGTTTTTCTTTCTTCACTAGGGATGATATTGAAAACCTCATTTCTCTCTTGGTTTATTTTTACATTTCTGGAACACATTTTATCCTGGTTGAAACAGTTTGCAAGAATGGTCCAAGAACTTTCTTTAATATAGTCCATTGCAGCTAATCAAGCCATCACCTAAATGCCAATATTTATTGCACCAAATGCAAATTAAATGTAAAAGACATTTGCAGGCTTTTTTAAACCTTAGGTTTAAGAAAAACCTAAAATTAAGAAAAAACATGTTTCTAATCCTTCCAGACCTTTTTTCTTAAGTAGTGTTGTTACTGGATGAATGAGATAATGACAAAACAGAACTAGATCATTAAAAGCACATCAGATATGTGTTACCTGCAAAATAATGGATCAATAGTAGGAGGGCTGAAATGTAGGAGTTATCTATATTGACACGCTTCAGCTCCAGGTTATGGGTGTCTTTACATTTTCCCTGATTTCAACCTGGGGAAAAACTCGAGAGAGTGAATAAGTAGTTCTGTTAAGCTGCAGAACAGATGCAGGATGAAAATCAAGGACTCTTTGACACTCAAGGATCACTTGGCAGTAGCCTGAAATATGCTATTCTGACTTAAAAAAACATTGTTTTGAAGGTTTTGCAAAATTTGTTTAATTAGCACAATGCACAATTAAGTGACGCAGGAACTGCAAATATGGTATATGTTATGCAGAAATTTAGGAAACTAAAGGTTAATTATTGATGTCATACAGTAGCTCTAGTTATTCAGTGTAAATGTTAAGCCTGTCTGTAAAGAATTGGTTGCTGTACAAAAACACATGCCGCAGGGCGTAAATGTGCAGGAATTTCAGTTAACAGTGACGCATTCAGCAGACTTGGACAGCAGCTCTTCGTAAAGATCTTACAGAGACTAACCAACAAAGCACAGCTAGACCTGCAAGCAATTCTGTTGGCTTTGAAACTATGCCTTTGAAAGTTCCATTGCTTGGAATGTTTTCATTTAATCCTTGAAAGTATGTTTTAGCCTGTTCATGCTTGCATTATGCTGTTATACTCACACCAAAAGTGAAGATAAGCTGGGATGCTGATTTTCAGAAACTGTAAACGTGCTGTCTGCATTTTCATTCTTTCAACTTCCTCTATCCCAATGGTGGTGTCTGCTCCAGGGATCTGCACGATTTTAATACTTATTTGTAAAATCAGTGCAAAGATTGTGGTTTATTTTTGTAAGAGCTCAGAGAGTGTCTTTAACTATATGCAGACATGTTTATCACTAACTGTTATTAAAAAAAAACATAAAACGTTTATATTCTGAGGATGAAATCAATTTGATTAGAGGTACAAACGAATAAGATGTCAATGATTATGTTAATGAAGTTAATGAAGTCAAACTCATATACACTATTTTTTACAATTAACATCCATTCTATAGAAACTTAAATGTCACAAATATTTACTGCATGGACATTTGTTTGTTTATTCATATTAAATTCTTACACATTCTTTGAAGTAACATTCATTCCATAGCACCCTTGGCACATTGTTTTAATATACAGTACTATTCTACTACAAAACAACTGTTTGCAGTGCAGTTACCACTTCAGACTCAAAGCTTTGATATTTACGGTTGCTCCCACTAGAGGGGGGTAGATCCACATCCATTCCAGTTATATTGTATTTTATTTCTGTCCATCCATTTTCAAACCACTTGTCTAGTACGTGGACGTAACACAGGACTCTGGACAGGACACCAGTCCATCACAGGACACACACACACTCACAC